TTATAAATACTTTATTTATAAATACTTTATTTATAAATACTTTATTTATAAATACTTTATTTATAAATACTTTATTTATAAATACTTTATTTATAAATACTTTATTTATAAATACTTTATTTATAAATACTTTATTTATAAATAATAGAGATCTCTTTTCCTAAATCGAATATATTCTAGGTTCTAGTAAATAGAACTAGATATACTAATATTATTTACTAGTTTTCTACTAATATAAGAGAGTTACTAGAAGTATTCTAGCTTTAGAACTCTATAATATAGCTTATAGTTTTAATATAGGCACTTTAGTTAAATTTATAATTAATAGAATACTAGAAATAGAACTATTACTAGTAGTCTATACGAATTCGAAGTTATTATATAAATGCCTCATTAAATTAGGAACCTACTCGAGGAAAAGTATCTAATAATTAATATAATATATATTTTACGTAGATATATAAATAATAAGAATTATAGAAAGTTAAATAGATTAAGAGAGAATTAAATTCCTGCGAATTCTATAATAAAATCGAAGCTAATAAACGCGCTTAAGTACCGAATTAAATACAAATACTATATAATTAAATATAGAAAAATAAGTCGAGATAAATAAAACAGGAAATAGATATATGAAATAGAAGAATACTTATAAGAGAGAAAGTTATATATACAAGACTATAGCCTAGTATGATATAACTAGAAACCTTAGAAGTAATATAAAACTTATATACAACGTAATTTAGGAAATCTGGTACTAGCCCGGATTAAGGGAATTTACTATATTAATTAAAAGAAAGATACTATTTTTTATATATTTTAGAGAGTTTCTAGTATTAGTATAGCTATTTCTTTAGAAGTCTATATATATATTAGACTCGGGATACGAAATACGAGATAAAGTAATAAGATATAGGTAATACGATATAGAATACGAGATATGTTATATAACCGTATCATCTTATTCAGATAATCAACTAGTAAAACTAGGTTAGGGAGCGTAGCAGAGGAGGACAACGAGATATAGCAAGCACGACCATAACACTACGCTGCCGCCGCGGCGGCCCCGGTACCCCCTCCCTTGTACCCCCGGGACCCCCTTGGATCCGCGTCCCCTCTATTAACGTCTCACGCGGACTCAACAGATAGGTAACCGAGCGCGGCGGCGCCGGGGTGCGCGATAGACTTATAGCTCTAGCGAGCATTTAGGAACCCCTTCTATACGCCGCCCTAGATACTATTACATACCGCTAAATTCCTATTTTTAGAATAATACACTTACTAATCTCTTATATACATGTTATTGCTATAACTATATAATAGTATTATACTATTAACTAGTAAAACCGGACATTTATAAATATTTAATAAATACCCTTAAATACTTTTTTAATATACTATTAATAGTTAATATTTTTATGAATTTCTTTTTTTTCTTTTTTTATATATTGAAATAATAAATAAAAGTATATTTTAAAACTTATTAAATTTTTAATAAAAGAATATTTTAACTTTTTATAATTAATAATATATTAAATATAAATATTTATTACTTTTATAAATTATAATTAATATTAAAGCCTTTAAATATTTAATTATTAATTCTAATTAATTCTAAGCTTTATAATAAATTAATAATAATATTAACCTTAATAAAATAACTAAAAATTAATTAAATTTAATTTAGTATTAAATTTTTTTATTAAATTTATATTTTATTAAATTTATATTTTTTATTAATTTATATTTTTTATTAAATTTATATTTTTTATTAAATTATATTTTTTATTAAATTTATATTTTTTATTAATTTATTTTTTTATTAAATTTATATTTTTTATTAAATTTATATTTTTTATTAAATTTATATTTTTTTATTAAATTTATAATAATAAGAATATTAATTAAATAAATATAATTCTATATTATATCTTTAAAGATTTTATTTTTATTTAACTTAATTAATATAAATAAGCCAGAAATTTATTTTATTACTTTTATTAAATATTAAATATTTATAATATAATATTTTAAATACTTTTTCTTACTTTAAAATATTATATTATAAAGCTTTATTTTTAAATTCTTTATTTATAATTCTTGCTTTTTATAAAAGTTAAATTATAATATTTATATTATTATTTTAGTTATTTATTTATTTATTAGTAAATAATATTAGAAATTCGAATATTTATTAAAATAATTTGAATTTAATCTAAAAAATAATATTAGCTTTAATTACTTTATTATTATTAATATTTTCTATATTTCTAATAAGTTTAAATTTTATATTATTAATAAAAGTACTAGATATTAAACTAATTAATAGCTTTAAAATATTAATATAATATATATTTGAATTATATTTAAATAATATTAAATTAATAATAATTTAGGCCTTTTTAATTAAATTATAATAAATATTAAAATTAATTCTAATAATTCTAATTCTAAATCTAAACTTTATAATAAAACTAAAAGTAATATAAATATAATTTCTTTCTATTTTATTAAAATATAATAAAGAATATTTTTATAAAAACTTTAATATTAAAGTATTTCTATATTAAAGTAATAATTACTAAAAGCTATTAAATATATTACTAAAATAAATATAAGTTAATAATTATATATAAAATATATAGTTTTTTAATTTAAGCTAATTTAATATTTATATTATTAAGAACTTTTTAATAAATTATTTATATATCTAAAGCTTTATTATTTTTATAAGTGTTTTTAATAAAAGTATTTAAATATAGTTTATTAATTTTATTAATTTTATTTTTAAGTTTTTTCTCTTTTAATTATATATTTCTAAAAATATTAATTAGCTTTTTAATAATATTGAATTATAGCTTCTTTTATTTAAAAATAATATAATTATAAAGGTTTTAAATTTATTAAATTACTTTATAACTTAAATATTTTTTATTCTTTAATTATATATATAATAATAATAATAATAATAATAATAATAATAATAATAATAATAATAATATTATTATTATTATTATTATTATATTCTTAATAGCTTTACTAATTTCTTTATTAATTTAAAGTTATATAAGCCTTTAAAAGCTAGAAATAGTCTTAATATATTTATATTATAATATAAAAATAAGAAAATAAAACAAGAAACTTATTGTTTTATTTTATAAGTTTCTAATTTTATTATATAATTATAAACTTCTTTAAAATTATTATTTTATTATTATTAATAAAAAGCTTTTATTAAATTCAAAAAGTATTAAATCTTTAAGCTTTATTTTATTACTTAATTTAATATTTGAATTATTAGAATTATTCTCTATATTAGAGAATTTCTTATATTATTTATTAATAATTATTTAAATTATAGCTTTTTTTTTACTATAATAAGAATTATAATTAAATTAAAAATTAAATTAGTTTACTTATACTTTTAAAGGCTTATAAAAGTAGCTATTAGAAGTATTTAAAAAGGGCATTTAATTGGATTTATAGTTATTAAAATATTAATATAATTATAAAAGAATAATTAATTTAAGAAAGTAGTTATATAATAACTAAAATAAAATAAAAATCATATAAAGTATAAATATATTTGCTTACTTAATTACGTGTATTATAACTTTCTTAATAATAAAGATATTATAATTTTGAGAATATAGAATTAATTTCTAGAGTATAGAGTATAGTTTTAATTAATACGATTTATATTAATTAGTGTTGTAGTGGTTTTTATTTTTTTTTGTCGCTTTTGGATCGGACCGACTGTAAACCCTCTGGATCTCCCATCAAGACCCACAGACAAGAGTCGAACACTCGTCAGTATTCCGCATATTGATGGGGCAGCACGACTCATTTGACTGGGAAAAAAATCGAAACCGTGACGGCTGGTCGCCGAAACCGAATACTTGCTCCAGAGTCCTTGGCCGAAAGCAGTACAAATTCCCTGAGATAGAGCGACCTCTCAGATCTAAGGATCTTGCCGCAAGGTGCGTCGCACATCAACGGCATGACTTACATTTCGGAGAGAAAGATTGTTGCACGATAAGAACTTTCGGCAATTTGACTCGGCAAACGGGAATGCAGAAACAGGCGAAGGATGAGAGGGAGGGACTTCTTCTGCTCTTGGCTAAGCCCCGAGGTTATTGAGACGTTCTTGTGGAGAAGGGAGGAGGAGCTGATGCTGATTTATGCTGAGAAATCGAGTGCACCAGCCTCTCTCTGAACTGTGCACTTTTGGACATTTTTTACTCTCCCACCCCCTGAACCGGATTTTAATTGATTTTTGGTTCCCAGTACCTAATTAGGGTATCCCACCCCCTACTCCGTAAATAAAACGTGGCGTGACAAGGCTGGCACGGCCGTTCTGATACCGTAACCCTGGCTGCGCTATGGTTTTTTTGGGGGGAGGAATATTGACTTAGTCCGGCGAGATAGATGTATACGCAAGGAATAAGCCTCGATTTCGATTCGATAGCTTTGCGGTCCCCCCCTTGCAATCCACCCGCTCCGGCCTACCAGATGCCGGTAGAACCACGGAGCGGGGTTTGAGAAGAGGTCTGAGACACAAGACTTCCGATGGGGCGGTCGTCGGGAGGTTTCATGTTGGTGGACTGGCTGTTTCCAAGTGTGGAAGGCTTCTGGAAGGTCCGAAAAGCTTGGTATTTTCGACGACGGGATGGAAGAGAGGTCTCGAAACTGGGAAGGGGAAACTCAGAACTGACCGCGAGATAACGGCCATAAGATTCCAGCTCCCCCTCTTTACTACTTTCATATCTGCACTCGTATTCTCGAAAGGGTGCGTCACGCGGGCTGCGGGGATCTGATTGGATTTCCGGAGATGAGATCTTGGGATTCCCTTGCCACAATTGCGTAACCTTCGGCACCAGCCGAATGAAGTGAACAAGGCGGGGATGTAAATGACAATTGATACAAATATTCGGTGAGTAAACCTTGACAGTGATTTTTCCTTGGCATCAAAAGTCTTTGTTTCGTTTTCTTTGCTCTTATTTTGACTGAACTTGTGTCATAATTTGTGCTTTTCGGAATAGCTTCCTTCTTGCGGTGAAGTAAACAAAGCGAAGAGGCGAAGGGGAATCCAACCCATAATCTCCGAATCCGAACTTTATTTCAAGTCGATCAGCATCTCTTTGATTCTCTTACGCAGCAAACAACTTCAACTTCAATCTCATCACACCTCACACCTTTTCAATATGCGTTTCCCCACATCAACGACACTGATCGTCACGGCTTTGGTCTCGCGAGGATTTGCCACCTACGCACCGATCTCAACTCCATGCCCCTCAACTTCTCTCGTCCGAACCGCAACCGGTCTTTCGGATGAAGAAGAAGCCTACCGAACAGCCCGAAAAGCGAAAGCTGATGTGGCCTTGGTCGACTGGCTTCTCAAGACCAACTGCGGGTTCGACACTTCTGGTGAGCTGCCTGCAGTAGCTCTCACAAGCAGTGGAGGTGGATTCCGCGCATTGCTCGCTGGAGCTGGTGTCATCCGAGCATTCGATGGGCGGGACAGCAACGTCAGCACCAGCGGTCTCTATCAAGGCTTGACATACCATTCTGCCTTGTCAGGGGGCTCTTGGTTGTTGTCTTCCATCATTGCAAATGACTTTGCGACCATCAGCAGCTTGATGGAGATCTGGAAGCCAAATTTTGCAAATGGTCTCTTCAGTCCTGAGGGAAGCAATGCCACCGCAGTCTTTGCTGATATCGATACCGATATTGCCCTCAAGCAAGCGGCTGGGTTCAAGGGAACAGTCGCAGATGCTTGGTCCCGCCTCTTGTCCTTGCAATTGCTTCCAGGAGCCAACTATGGCGCCGGCAACACACTGTCCGCCATCACCAGTCTCTCAAGCTTCGTCGACAACGAGATGCCCTACCCAATCATCACAGCCATGAACGTCGACCTCAGCGGCACCTCCTGCATCCCGCCCTCTAACGGCTCAATCTGGGAGTTCACTCCTTATGAATTCGGTACCTGGGATCCTGAAGTTGCAGCCTTCACACCCACGGCCTACCTAGGCACATCCCTCTCCAACGGAATTCCTGTTTCTTCAAACTGCACAACCAACTACGACAACCTCGGTTTCGTGCTCGGAACCTCATCGACCCTGCTCAATGACCCTACCATTGGCACCGCTGGATCCCCAGACCTGCTGTTGGCGAATCTGTGTACCTCGACTGCTACCTCGAACTCTACCTCTTCCGTCGATGAACTTACATTGGAGTTTAAGGAGGACATCTTCGCCCTGCTCGTCGAGATCCCAGACGTCACATTCACATCCGCAGCGGATTTATTTGCAACCTGGCCGAACCCCTTCTACAACCTCTCTTCCTCTCCTCTCGTCTCAGCCCAGGAAAACCTCGCCATGGTAGACGGCGGCGAATCAGGACAGGTGAACCCTATCTTCCCCTTCCTACAGCCAGCTCGAAACGTCTCTGTAATCATTGTAAACGACAACGATGGTGATACCGCTGCCATTTATCCCGATGGCGCAGAACTGTATTATACCTATCTCGCCGCCTCGGCTGCTGGCTTGAGCAGGATGCCGTTTGTTCCGTCCCCGGATGTGCTGGTGGCGAAGAATATGAGCGATAGCCCGGTGTTCTTTGGTTGTGGAGATGTCAGTACGGCGACGGTGGTGTGGATTCCTAATGCGCCGCTCACGCCTGCCGGGGGCGTGATCGAGACGGCGCAGATGCAGATTAATGAGACGCAGACGGAGAGTATGGTTGCTAATGGAGTGGCGGTGGGGAGCCAAAATGATAGCGCGGAGTGGGCTACTTGTCTTGGATGTGCGATTATGGAGGGGAGTGGGAAAAGGTTGCCGGAGGACTGTGCGGCGTGCTTTGGGAAGTATTGCTTTAAGCAATAGAACAGGAGAAGGGAGGGGATCGTTGCTTTCTTGCACATGTTTTTAAATGAAACAGTGATATATGTTTAATACATGGTTAAAAGCTATGAGCTTCACTCAGGTCCTTGCCACAAAGACATGTCGACCAAGTCTCTTGTGCTTGAATGCCGGAGTGAGTGAGAGTAGAGGACGTGAATCTCTCATTGCATCCTTTTGGATGATTAGCACTTTTTCATCGGATCAAAAGGAACCTTTGGTCTGAAATTTTAAGCTTTCATCTGCACTTCACAGAACATCAGTGAAAATCAGATATGCAACGAAACATTTTAAATAGGAATTCACTACACCAGGAAGCTTTCATCCGAGCTTTGCTCAACATCAGTGAAAAGGATCCAAACGCAGATATGCAACGAATCTTTCAGCTTTAAGTTCACTCTTGACAACTGGTCAAGATGGAACATTGATGGCAAGCTCATTGTCCAGAGCCACTTGGAACATTGAATCGATGTGCAACAAAAACCACCAGCTCAGAGCAATCATTCACCCTCTTAAAACTATGACCGAGACGAACTCGAAGTTACCCTAGACAATCTCATTGTCCCAGACTAACCTCGAACATTGATACAACTGTGCAACAAACATTCTTGAGGCACGATTCACTTGAAAGGCATTGTCTCTGAAGGTGACCGAGTCTAGCGGAGACCAAAGTTCGATCTCATTGCACCACATCATCCGTTCGAAAAGCTCATGAGCCAGTCCACGGTGCTCATCGGGGGAATCCCATCCTAGCCATCTCTTAGCGTCACCGCCCAGCCTTATTATCATCAATTCGAGACTGCAAGTGCAGAAGCCGCTGCACCCCATCGTCGACAACCGTCTTGTGTTCGTCTTGTGTTCGCAGAGAGGTGCCGGCAACTGCGTGTTCTCGAGGAAGGCGATAGATTGTATGAAGCAGTTGTACGAGGGCAATGCAACGTAGTAGTATTGGAAGGTCAAAGCTATAGGAACAGAGCTCCGAATACTCTGCGCGGATTCGTTGTCAGCAAAGCGCAAGACAATGGTCCGGAGAGTTATGTCCTGGCTACCCCAGCGTCCTCCTAGCATCCTCAAGGTCCAGCCGGTCTAGGCCCAGTGGCGTTGCCGTGCTCATCGTCCTCCAACCTGGAATTACTGTAATTTCTGAGATGAATTTCAGCTGGTCTCGGCTCTCTCGCCGTGCTGGTGATGGGTCGTTTTGTGAGATGGCGTGGTTTTGTTTGCGGAGATGGAGCTCCGGCCTCCCTCAGAGCCCACTGTGTCGGCGAGGGTTCGCTTCTCTCTGCCAAATGGACGTTCCGCCTGCCTGGGTCCATCACCTGCTGTGCAGCGAACGAAGTAATGGGCTCATGTAGAGTCACGGAACAGATGGATGGTGAGTGTGTGGTTCAAGGGACAAAAACGCATGTCTTGGAAATTCCAAGCCGTGCGCACCAAAATGGACTCCAACCCCCCCCTGACATCGAAACAGAGCATCCCATTGGACCGGTGATGCCTCCGTTGTTTGCGCCAGAGGCCCATGGCAAAGTCAAAAGAGGTGTGCTGGGCTGAGCTGCTTCACAACATCGCTTCGCCATCTCGAGTGACACGGGCGCGCGAAAAGAGGCACCAGAGCACTTTCTGCCTCAAGTGAGAGCTTCCCATACCCGCTCCCCCATCCGACTTGCTCAGCAGCATTCTGTTTGTCTCCCAGACTCTCCCTCACGCTGCCCGCCTACAAGTACCCGCCGGCCAGAATCCTGGTCCTGATATATGCCATCATCGATCCTGGCCCGGCAAGGTGCCGGTGCGCGTGGCTCTTTTATTCGCTCTTCCCACCACCGGATCTTACATCCGGCCCAGTGACGACATCTGCCTGTGGCTCGCACTGGTGGTCGCAATGGCAAAGATGGTTTGGCATGCTTCACAATCCGGTACAGAGAGAGCTTCTCCTTGTCCTTCCACGGTCATGTCTCGCTGCTCCTACACCTCGAGCTGCTCTGGCCATCCAGGAATCGCCATTGTGGACTGACTCCCGCATGACGCTGTTTTCTGCTCTACATTGCTATTCCAAGTCCCCACGAGCCTGCATGTTGCCCTGGCTATCCTCTCAAGCTCGCGAATAGGAATGGGAACGTCACTGCGCACAAATATTTCAGATGCTTGCTTGTTTGAGACCCACGCCGCCCATCTCCATCACCACCGCGAGATTCCTAGACCTTCACAGGCGGTCTCGACGATAACCAGGTTCCATTACTGCGGATTGTCCAAGTACACGGAGGACAATCTCGCAGTCCCTACCACCTGGTTAAGTGCACCCCCCGCGCCTAATTGCCTCAATTCGCACAAGCTCCAATGTCTAAGCAGGAGAAGCGTTCCAGAGGGAAGCGTCCACGGTACGAGGCCACATCTTCACGTGAACCACCCCAAGTCCGGGGCTTCCCCCCTATCAATTACCAATCTCAATCGAGTCCAACGTTCGCAGGCAACGCGGAGCAATCCCAGCAACCTCAGAGGTCCGCCTTCCACGGCCAGGCGCAAGATTCTCCCCGAGCTCAGCAGCAACTTTCTATTTCAACACAAGCACCGCCAGGAAAGGTTGCGATTCCAGCTCTGAAGACCCCACAATCTGCAGACCCGCAGAAAATCTTCAAGAAAGGGAGAACACCACACGCCTGTGATTACTGTCGAAAAGCAAAGGCAGGCTGTACAGGGGAGCAGCCATGTTCCAGATGCCGCGGTGCTGGGGTAGATTGCGTTTACGGAGATGGAAAGCGCGTCAGGGACCGAAAGTCGGGTCAACATTCGTCTTCAAAATCAAGAAGCTGACGAATGACAGGCAAATGTCAAAACTGAGTAAGGAGACTGATGTCCTATACCAGCACAACACCGAAGTTACGGAAGCATTACGGCGCATCCGTCTCGATACCCATCTGTCTACAGATGACATGAGAGCGGCAATAGATGAAGTTCTAGCAATGGTCAGTGCCTAAGTCAATCCCAAGTCCCATCCTAAAAATTCCCAGACACCGAATCCTATGAGTCTAGACCAGAAAGAGGCCCGTCTTCCGACATCTAAGCAAGCTTCGATGGAGACAGAAGAACAAGACAGTGACGAGTCCTTTGCCGACGCAGAAGTTGGATCTACTGGCTCCTTGGATGTTATCAACGTAGATATCGATCAAGACGACAATCGAGCGACAGGGCATATTGGCAAGGCATCTTCAGTGGCATGGGCAAAGAGAACCGCTGAAGAATGTAGCCAAACCAGCCATCAAGAAACCACTCTTGGAAGGCATGACACGGGTTTCACTCTAGCATCATATCACACCGAAGATGCAGACGTGGAATACGTTGACACCAGCAACATCGATCCTTACGAATGGCCTGAAACAAAGGATGCCGAGAGGCTAATTCAGTCCTATTTCGATCACGTCCATAACACCTTGCCTATACTAGACAAAGCAGTCTTCATGTCTAAGTATCACCAGTTCACCAAGGGCTCGGATAATTTAGGGATTGAGGATTCTATCTGGCTTGCGATGGCCAATACTGTCTTCGCTATCAGTTCTGTTTACTTTGATCTTACAAAAGATCCAGACCGAGGGAGTCATCAAGATCATCTGATCTACTGCGCAAGAGCGAAAACGTTGTTTCTCGATCAGGGGTTGCTCTATCAAGATGCACGAATATCTACTACCTCTGCACTGGGTTTACTATGTCTCTATTTCATCACCACTTGCAGGTTAAATAGGTGGGTTGACTCTTATATCAACAACAATGGCTAATTTGTAACAGGGCTTGGACATTTTGTGGTCTTGCGATCAGATACGGCTTAACTCTTGGCTTACATGTCCGAAGTGAAGCACAAGACCTCTCCGATGTAGAAAAAGAACACCGAGTTCGACTTTGGTGGTCTCTATACTCATTAGAATGCTCCTTGAATGAGCTCACAGGACGCCCAAGCTGCATATCAGATCGCGATATCAGCACTCCATTACCCCTCAACATAGACGAGGACGACTTCCAACCCGGCCAATCCCTCTACGAAAAGCCAAAACAAGGTCAACAATCTGGATCATCTAGCCGACGAACCTCAAAAAGCCCCAAAGGTAAGAGCACGCACTTGCTGGGTTTACAATATGCTAATCTTCCAGCCCGTCCTTCCGCAACCTACCAAATGCCAACCGGCGTCTCCCAACCTCTAGCCTACACCTTCCCCATCTTCCCCCTGCCGTTGACGCCGTCAACCTACTTCATCTACCGCATCCAACTCGGCATCCTTTCGCACGAAATCGTAACCCAACTCTACTGCGCCGCCACCATCAAAGAACGCTGGACCGACGTCCAAGAAACAATCCGCCGCATCGATCGGCGTCTCCTAACCTGGCGCGACAAACTAACCACTGACTTCGACATCACCTTCGAAGATACCTGGACGGCCCCGGATTGGGACGACCCTAGCATCTTAAGTCGCATGGGGCTAGCGATGCAATTCTTCTCTAGCAGAATGATCCTCTTCCGCCCTTGTCTTTGCCGTTTCGAAGGCAGGATGAAAAACCAATCCGAGAACTCAATAGATTTCAATCAAGAAGCAGTCGAAACTTGTATCCGCTCAGCACGCAAAATGATCTCCCTACTCTCCTGGTCCGCGTCCAGCCCACAGAAACTGTACGCTATTACACCGTGGTGGAACACGTTACACTACATCTGCGAAGCCTTATCAGTGTTAATGTTGGAGATGGCGTTCAAAGTCACGCACGTCCCGAACGAAGCAGCATATATCCTCGACGACGCTAAAAAGGGGATAAATTGGCTAGCAATGATGGCGGAGCAATCTGTATCCGCTCGAAAAGCGTGGGAGATCTTCGATTCCCTGATCCGACTCGTGGCACCAATGATAAGGTGGAGTGTGTTCGACATGCCGACCCAAGCCCCCGTCCCACCAGGTTACAACTGGCGACGCTTCAACGCCGCCCTTTCTCCCCCCAGCCAACCACTTTCGCTTCCTCCTGCTCCTTCTTCTCACCAAGCTCAGTCCCACCAACAAACGCAAACTCAACAACAACAACAACAACAAACTCAAACACAGCACCAGTCAAACTTCTCCAACTACGAAACATCCCAACCCCAACCACCAATGGCCTGGCAACCGTCCCCTCAACCCCAAAACTATAGCTTCCCGGACTACAACCAGAGCTCCGAAGCTGCGAACCCTTTAGATCAAGACACCGCCATTTCGAGATTTAGTAAGATCGGGCAGGTTCATGGACATTACGATGATCCGTGGCAGCACTTTTTCTTCCCTGACAGCCAGGGAGGTGAAGGGATGTTGATGGGGGGACAGGAGGGGGAGGGAGATGTCATGGAAGGGCAGATGGGACATGGTGCTGGGAGGGTATTCGGCGGGTATGGTGGAGGACCGTATCTGGGAAGTGAGGGATTTGATGCTAATGCACAGTTTGATGGAGGCGGAGGCGGAGGTGGAGAGGGGAGTAGTGGGGGGAGTGGAGGGAGTGGTAATGTTCGAAGTTACATCTGATTTTGATTGGGATAGCTAGAAGTTTGATGTCTGTTAACTGTATCTTTCGTTTCAGACGCAAGGGGCCTTGTTGCGTATGGAAGGGGAAGATACAGGATTCACAGCAGGTTCATGGATAGCGAGATCAACGACAGCATCGATATTAGCGATTTGCAAATGGGGGTGTTAGAAGATAGGATTATTTTTATTTACGAATTGGGACGGAATGGAAGAGGAGGCTGAGTGTGTCTAAAAGCTAGCGCCATCTGCACTTCCGCTTTCAAAGTGGAAACATGCTTCTTGTAATATTCGATTTGATTCGATATCAACAGAGCTCAATGTGCTTCCCTCTAACCACTTCATGCTCAAGTCTAATACTCATACTCATACACACTTCACCTCTCCCTTCCTCCTCAAACCACGCTACCACTTATCCCACTCATCATCCTTCTTCCCCGCCATCGGCCCACCCATCCCTCCCCCCGTATTCTTCTTAATAGCGCTCGTCCCCACCGCGCTCGGCCTCCCCCCTCCCATCCCCTGCTGTCTCGCGGCTCCGGCCTCCGCAAAGCTGTCCCAAAAATCCTTCTTGCTCTCATCGATCGGCACATCTCTATAGGCGCCACCACCCCCCGATCCAGATGAATTCGACGCCGTGCCTTCGACGAACCGGTTAAAGCCGTCTGCTGCGCTCTTCGCACCTGTTTGCGCGCCGCGAGCGACGCTCGCGGCTGTGAGGCGGGCTTGGGCTGCGAGGTCTGTTTCTGCTAACTGGGAGGGCGTCAGCCCCTTCTCTTCTACGTTTTAAGCAGGAATGGTGGAAGGGGGAGGGGCAGCGTGAATGAGTAAGGTGGGGAGGGAATGGAAAAGGGAGGGGAAGCAGCATACCTTAGTAGCAGTAGGCTGCACCCAGCCCTCATTAACCTGCTTCGCCGTCTTGCCCACGGTATTCGTAAACCATCCAAACCCCTTGCTCAACGCAGCCACCGGATCCTTCTGCAGATCATCGAAGCCCGGTAACGCAGCATCCCGCTTCGGCGCTTCCGCTGGCTGGCTTCCAAAACCGGCGTATTTTCCGCCTTGAGAAGGAGGTAGGTCGTCTGGACGGCTCGCGTTCGCGGCGCCCAGGCCGGCGAAGTATTTGTCGTCGACTTTGGCTTTGGAGCCTGGTGGGAGGGAAGCGGAGGCAGAGGGGGTGGAGGTGCTCGCTTGACGAGTGGAGATGGGGGTTTGGGAACGGGGCGTTTGGGAGCGGGAGGTGGTTGAGGATGGCGGTGGTTTGCTGCCCGGTACGTATTCTCTTCCTTCGACTTTGGCGGTTAGACGCTCTTTGTATTCTTCGCCTACCTCGCCGGAGTAGCGTTCTGCGATTGTTGCGTCGTCCCAGCTGTGCAGGTCCACTGTCAACAACTCTCTTCTCGATCTTCCCCAGTCCCATTTGTCACTCCTCCCCACCCAATTTCTTCAGTTCCTTCAAATATGAAATAGAAAGTAAAACAAAAGCTTACGTTATCCCAGCCATCTGATTCCCCTCCGCCTCCCCAAAAAAGCCCTTCCAAACACTATTCCCCCCCTCCTTCATCCGCTGAATCTCAACAGCCTTAAACGCATCCATCGTGATACTCCGCACAAAACTGATATGCACACCCAATCCCCTATGTACCCCCGCACAACTGAGGCATATAAAGATCCCGAATTTCGGGGACGCCCATTGCGGAGAGGGGGCCCCGCAGTCGCAGCACCGGTCGTTTTGGTTGGTTTTTTGGATCTCGAGGAGCTGTGGGGGAGGTTAACTTCCCGTCATCTATTTCTTTGTATGGTTTATGGGGGTTGGCAGAGCGAAATTGGGGAGAGGAAGGGGGAAAGGTACCTTTGATCGAGTCTCCGGATCCACCTCCCACATCGCCTTGCTGGCCATCTTGCCTCACTCCTTGTGCGAATACGCGCACAAAGTCTTTACTTCAATGTCTTCCCTCCGATCGCATTGGCATCCACAAGGAAGGTACCGTATCTCGACGTTGTAAGAGAGAAGTGTCGTTATGAAATGTTTGGCGGGTAACTTGGCGGCTGCTCGATATTTACGGGTAGTGACAAAGGGGTGTGGGTTTCAGCCGAGCGCAACGGCCCAATGACGATGCAGTAGCATGGGGTCCATGTGCAAGGCTGCGTTCCTCTATTCGAGGTCACACGACTACTATTTGCATTCCTGAAGAATTCTATGTATGGATACCGAGTCGAACGGGCAGATTCAAGCATTTCTCTGGCAGTGGTCTCATTTTATGGTCGAAGTGAAACTTAGAAACACACCTCAGATGCCAACTCAATTATCAATGCACCATGGTATCACTGGATAGCTTTTCCATTCCTTCCCTTCCCGAGAGCACGTCAGCAGAGAAATCTAGTGTACAGCCCTGAGAAGAATGAGAAAGAAATGGTAATAAGACATTGTTTTTGAAGAGTCATCGAGAACTATGAACTCCACGCAAGAAGGAAAGTCAAGTTGTCGAGAAGAAGTGAGCCTCGAGACCACAATTCTAAAAAGACGCCAGCAACGATCCACCCACGATGGTGCACACATGTTCCACCATAAAAAGGAAAGTCATAGAAGTCGGATTGGACCAGCTTCCTCCCGCAGTGCCTCCACAAGGCGCCGAGCAACGGTCCAAAAGCAAATAAAGCAATGCTCCTTGTCGGCGAATGTAGCACCTCCATCGTACAATGTAATACACAGACTGCTTAGACGGCGACAGTCTCAGTGGTACCGTTGGTAGCCTCAGTACCCTCAGCAGCAGGGGCGTTGGCATCCTCATCGGTCTTGTCGGGGCTGTCAATAGCGACCTTGACAGCGATCTCACGGCCCTCGATCTCCTTTCCATTCATCTCAGCGACGGCCTTTTGTTGTTGCTCCTCAGAGGCAAGGGTAACGAAACCGAAGCCACGGCCCTTGCGGGGTTCGTTGCGAGCCTGGAGCTTCTTAACCATGAAACGAGGGATAGGGCGAAGGGCGATCTTGGCAGAGGATGGCTCATAAGCAGCAAAGAGTTCCTTGAGCTGTAAAATGGATTAGCAGTGAAAGAGTATGAGAGTCTTGGAAGCCGCACCTTCTCCTCAGAGAGATCATACGGAAGGTTTGCAACCATGACCTTGTTCTTGGATGGAATGCCATCGGCAGGGGGACCACGCTCACGTCGCTCACGTGGAACACGGTTGGCTGCAGGCTTTGCCTCCTTGTCCTTGGTCTCGGTAGCGGTTTGGTTGGTGGTTTCGGTCAAGGGGAGGGCCTCCGAAGTCGGGACCTCTGCACCCTCCTCACCGCGGGACTATTGACAGATTAGAATTCAGCTGTGTTGTTCAGGGCTTCGCAGACTTACACCACGAGCGGCACGGCCACCTCGTCCTCCACGACCACGTCCTCGGCCACGTCCACGGCCCGATGGTCTACGACGACCGCCTTCGCCTCCAGAAACACCCTCACCTCCGCTTGTAGCACCTTCACCCTTCTCGCCAGCTGGCTCAGGCTTGCGCGCAAGCTGAACAGAAACCTTGCGATCAAGAATCTCCTTACCGGAGAGTTCAGCAATGGCACGCTCAGCCTCGCTTGGAGTGGAGAGATCGACGAAGGCATATCCAACAGGGCGGTCGGTGCGTGGGTTCTTTGGGATAGAGGTGGATTCACTGTGGGAGGTTTTGTTAACAGCTGATCCGAGATCGAAATTTCCAAAAGCAGGTTTTGAATTCCGCTGTGACTCCAGCCCAGGGCTGTTCAAAAGTTGAAGAATTGGAAGTTGCCACTGTGGCTCCTTCCATTTCTGGAAAGGAGTCACGATTGAACCCATCAAGGTGCCAACCCAAAGTGCCAGGAAATGAAAAGGTGAGATGCTTACACGAGGTATCCCTTGAAGAAAGTGGTCAACTCCCCCTCGGTCGTCGCGTACGCGAGGTTTCCGATGTAGAGTCTGCGACCCTCAGCAGCGCTGGCCAGAACGGCGTCATTCTTGTCAGCGGTGGCAGAGTCGGCAGCCTTGTCGGAAATGGTAGTGTTGCCAAGAGCGGCAGTAACGTCGTTGATGGCATCAGAAACTTTCTCCACGACGGTAGACATGGTGATGTGCGGTGGTGGTTGTTTACTGAGAACTTGAGTGTGGATAGGAGATTGTCGACGTTCGCTGAGTGTGTTGACTCTTGAACAAATGGGGGAGTTGCGTAAGGGTAGCTTGGTGCCCTAGGTGACTTGTTTGGGTTGATTGGGGGTGGTGTTTGATGAACTTGATCTGATCTTGTGGTTGTGTGAAGTCGGGGAAGGAAAAGGGAGGGAGGTCGCGCATTTGCGAAATATAAAATTCCACAGCCGCGACCCTGGTAAGCGAGATGGCCGCGCTTACCTGAAATGGACGGCGTGGCCCGGCCAGTGGGCAGGCAGAATGGGCAGCCGCATTTTTGCTATTTACTTCTGGGGAAAAGGGGAGTGCGAAAGGGTGATGTTTAGTATATATTAGCAAGACAACGATTGGTTGAAGCCAATGGCTTCCTTTTATGAAATTAAATTGTCTAATCGTTGAGATATTTGCCAAGGGAAACACTGTAAATTCCGCCCCCAAATCTCCCCCTACCCCCGCGCCCCCAAAGCCAGTGTGTCGTCTCGCCCAGCGTTTGCTCCTGCCTGCCTCCTGGCTTGCCCTGCAGAGCCGCCGCCCATGCAATCCCAACTTGCATTGGATGGGAAGCGCTAGGCAGCGGAACAGCAGCTTGTTCGCCTTGTTCCGGCTGGCCGCTGCACGTCAGAGCCTTCTGGAATCAGTGAAGAAAGGAGTCACTCGCCGCGAGGCTGTGGCCCCTGGGCTGGCCTTGTGATGATTTCAGGGGCCAATACCGTGGTCGTCGATCATAGCATACACACCGGGGCCCGGGTTCTGGGTTGCAAACTTCAATCAATCATAGCCAATTGTTTTCGTAAAGAAATGTTTCCGCAGGACTGTCCTCGGAGATTTGCAGACCTGTTGTTCATGCTGGTCCCGTGACCTGGAAAAGATGCTATCAAATCCGTCTTCCTTGCCACCAAATATCCCACTCTCCCATCTCAGGCTGCACATTATGACAGATTCCCCCAAAGGCCAGCGACATGATAGAAATGCCCTCATCCTATATGGCTCAGAGACTGGCAACAGTCAAGATGCGGCCGAGGAGCTGGGCCGCGTTACAGAGCGCTTGCATTTCGTGACCAGGGTCAGCGAGATGGATCTCGTCGAAATTGTAGGTCATCTCATCTCCCTAACCCAGGATCGTTCATGGCTTATATAGTCAGAATACACTCCTAAAACACACAGTCGTCGTATTCGTAATTTCGACTACGGGGCAAGGGGAGTTCCCAAAGAATGCGCAGAAATTCTGGAAGAGTCTTCTGAGGAAGCGTTTGCCTCCTGGGTGCCTCAATCACGTGTCTTTCACCACATTCGGTCTTGGTGACAGTTCCTATCCAAAGTACGCATTTTGAAACTCTGCAGGCCTGTTCACTGTAGCTAATGCAAGTTCAGATACAACTTCTCAGCACGTAAACTGCATAAAAGACTTGAACAATTAGGAGCCAAAGAAATCTATCCTCGTGGTGAGGGAGACGAGCAGCATCCAGAAGGGTTAGTACTTCAAAGACATCACTCATTTCAATGTGAGGCGGTTTCGACGCTTTAGCCTCAATAGCCGAAACCACACAGGACATTGTTAATAATTTTTCTCGCAGAATCGATGGAACTTTCTTATCATGGTCTGTTGACCTTGGGAAGCACCTTCTTTCTTCGTATCCTTTGCCGGAAGGAGTGACTCCCATCCCTTCTGACGTACTCTTGCCTCCCAAAATTACGCTCGAGATTCTGGAAGAGCTTGTACCATCCAGCACGACTTCAGAAAGCATACAGAAGCTTTCCAAAATGGGTCTCCACCAACCCCAGGCCTCTGACAACCAAGCACCTGGCGCAGAGCCAAGAGCCTTGATGGTTTACGAACCTCCCGTCGAGCGTGAACCTCCAACTCCCTGCGAGCAAATCAAAGATCATCTCCCTGGCCTGGACCAGCCTCGCGAATCCAACTTCCCTCCTGAGGATCAGCTCCCGTTCCCCGACCCATCAGAAGTCGAACTTGTTGGGAACCGCCGTATCACGCCCGATACACACTGGCAAGATGTTCGAGAGCTCACCTTCATCATGTCCGCCGACTTTACCTACGAACCTGGCGAAACATGTACGATTTTCCCGAAGAACTTCCCTGAAGACGTCCAGGCCTTGATCGATCTGCAGGGCTGGAATGGCATTGCAGACAAGCCCCTGCGGGTCCAGCCAGAGTGGCCCAACTACTACCTGGATGAATATCTTGTCCCAATGGCGCCTGGCCTCTACCCACTCCCACGTACGACCTTGAGACAGCTCCTAACCCACAATCTTGACATCACTGCTATCCCCAAACGGCACTTCTTTGAGCTGCTCGCTCACCACACCAATGACCACACACACAAAGAACGCCTCCTCGAGTTCTGTAACCCAGCCTTCACCGACGAATTCTATGACTACACCACTCGCCCGCGTCGCAGTATCCTCGAGGTCCTCCAAGATTTCCCCAGCGTCAAGATCCCCTGGAAATGGGCCACGAACTACTTCCCAGTAATCCGCGGCCGAGCATACAGCATTGCCAGCGCTGGTAAGCTATCAGAATATATGGAAGATCGTCGCTTCATCCAATTCCAAATTATCGTCGCTCTCGTCAAATACCGCACCGTCCTCAAGAAAGTCCGCCAAGGTCTCTGCTCGCGCTACCTCGCCTCGCTCCCCATAGGTACTGACCTGCACGTCAAGTTCACCGTCTCCGAGAAGTTCTACGAAAAGGCAAGGTTGTTTCCAAAGAACCCTCTCATCCTCATTGCGCCTGGAACAGGTCTCGCGCCTTGCAGAGCATTGGTATGGGATCGAGAGCATCTACACCTTGAAAGCAAGAAATCGGTAGGCAAGTCATACCTCTTCTATGGAGGCCGCAACAAGGATGCCGACTTCTTCTACTCGAACGAGTGGCAATACCGTGGTCTTCAGGTAGAAGTCTTCACAGCTTTCTCGCGGGACCAGGAGGAGAAGATCTATGTCCAGGACATCATTCGGCAGAATGGTAAGCTAATTGAGCACCTGATCCGGACACAGGGTGCGATTATCTATGTTTGTGGCAGCTCGGGCAAGATGCCAAAGGCGGTCAAGGAGGCGTTGATTGATGTTTGCACGCAACACTGTCCAGAGCCGAAGAAGAGTCGGGAGGAGATGGAGACGGTCTTCGAGCGGCTGTCGAAATTGGGAGGTTATATCCAGGAGACGTGGTAGATTGTTGGGAAAGGTACACAACTCTGGGAGATGCTTGGCTTGTGGTGGCAGCGTGGTGGGGGAAGGGCAACGGGATACGCATAAACGAAATTATTAGCAGGAGCAAATGCATTGCAGCAATGACATTCTGCGAAATAGTTCAAACCTCCGTTTACCCCTTTTCCACTCTTTGTCCCCACCATCTACAAACTGATTCACCCCTCTGAAAAAAGAAAAGACAGTCGCCAGAGCTCTTCTATGTTCCCCCACCCTTCTCCAAACTGAAGTGCCATTCTACTTCCCCACAGATTTCAGACCTAATTGATATATGATCAACACCTCTTACCTCAAATCACGATGAGCTGCTTTCATACCCTTCAACTTTCCTTCCTCTCACAGCAAGGTAGAAGGATATTGTCGAATTCAGCAAATTATTTACTCCGATATTCAGTCCCTACCTCAGTCCCAATCTTGTTGGTCTCAACTTCATTGTAAGAGCATGCGGCATTGCTCGTCGTACACCTAAGCGAACACGTGACTACCCATCACTAAAACCCACACTTCACTACTTCTTTTGCCACAAACTACCATTTTTCTTCTTTAATTATTATATAATAATAGAAGACTCAGACTCAGACCCAGAAATCTCAAATATCCTCTCTCCGTCCTTTCTTAAGGGTTACTAACTCAATAAGAACTAGAGAACTTCCGTTTCTACTATTATTTACTTACTTTACTAGTAAGAGAAAAGCTATAGCCAAATTAGGAAGATTATAAGCCTTACTAGAGAGAGAGAATTTGGGTTATATATTAGCCGGATAAGAAGTATTACCTATATTATATATAATCTTTATATAGGAATAGTAAAATAAGTATAATAATTTAGGAAATAATTAGCTAAAATTAAAAGTTCTTATTTATTTTCTTAATAAAAAAGCCAGGGAAAAAGGGGTTTTATAATATAGCTTACTTAAATTAAATCCTTAATCCTATTATTTTTTCTTGGTTTAATTTCCTAATAATAAAGTAAAAGAAGAAGTTTTTATTTATAAAAATATAATAAAATTATTTCAAAAGTTATATAAATTACATAAGTTTAATTAGTCTCCCTTTTCTCCTAATTTAAATCTAATTGAGAAGGTCTAGTAATAAATAAAAAATAAGATTATAAAGTTGGAAATTATTTCTATTTTAATTAAGAATATAAAGGAGGTCTTATAAAAGCTATAAAGTAAAGTTAATCTAATAGAATAGTAATATTTGACGGAGAGGCTTACTTATAAGCTAGAAGATGTAATTAATAGCAAGGGTATAACTACTATATAATAAAGCCTTAATAAATCTAATACTTTAATTATTTTGGGAATTATATTGAAGTGTGGACTGAAAAATCGCGATTTTAGTGGGGTTAGTGGGGTAAATCACGTGTACGACGAGCAATGCCGCATGCTCTTACCAAGTCTGGCTCAGAGATTGATGCGTTATGCAACACAAATCATCTTTGAAGATTTACTCTCCACGGCGAGGAAAACTTCAATGTACCACAACTTTTTGGGACATGGAAGCGATGTGAAATAAACAGCGAGGCCGACCTGCTAATCCAATTGGAAAGCAGAAGAAAAGGCGGGGGAGGGGGGAGGGGTTTCTGACCTTTGTCTGAGATATCAGAGATAGGCTCAATGTAAAAACTTACCAGGCCGATCTCGGACATTGACGCGATGTGCAACAGGATGAAAGCGCTTCCTGCTGATTCACCTAAAAAGAGAAGAATGTTAAGAGATTTGAAATTGCAAGTGAATCAAATATTGTGGGCTTTCGTTGCTTGTCTATGTGGGTTTACTTTTCACTGATGAAGTTCACATAAAAACGAATTATTGATGGGATGAAAAGTAATTGCCGACTCGTCTGAAAAGTATGTTGTGCAACAAATATAGATGAGATGAAAAGGGTTTTGATGTGATGAAATTTATTTTAGCTATCTAGTATTTGGACGAATTAGATATGCCCTGTAACGAATATTGATGGGATAAAATGCTGCAAAATAGAATTTTAACCATCTAATCTTTAGAAGATTAAGTGCGTTGTGCAACGAAAATTCACGGGCAGGAGAAAGAGAAAAATAGAGTGAGAGTGTATGTGATTCACACTATTTGCTCTCTTTCAGTTCAGCAACTATGGTCATACAAGACTTCGAGACCGCGTCTTGGAAAAGGGGCCTTCCGGAACGACACGTGATTGCATCGCCATGTGAGATATTATTAACTGATTATGCTTATAATAACCCACTTGGATAGTAGAATTATTCCCTAGTATGACCGGGCTTATTAAGGAAGTGGGAACTAGTCTTAAGGCTGTCGACAATTCAGAGGAAGTTGAAGCTGCTTGGTGCTGAATCATCCCCCTGGCATTAGCTAGCATCAGATCTCCGCAGTTAATCCAGTGTTTGTAAGCCACCCTCTGAATAATCTCTCGGACATTAAATAGATGCAAGATCGATTCAGATCCTGGAACCGTCAATCGGCTAGCATCCCTCGTCTCGTTCTTGGGAAAGGGAGAGGGACCCTGGGAACTCGTAAGGCTTGTTTGCTCACTTTATATCCTGCGGAGTGTTTCTACACCTATCAAGTTGGGCCCCTGTAGGAACTAGCTTTCCTTTTCTAAAACTTAGAAAGATGGTGAAGGACACATTTCTATTTCCCGAAGTCTTCGAGCCACAGCCAAAGCTGGCTGAATTCTCTCATGGCATTGTCTTCCGATGTCCTGAACTGCCGAGCCGATGAGACCCCACGAACACCACAGGCATATCCTTTGCGCGTTCCGACTTCCAAATGTCAGGATCTCACGGAAAACCGCGTGCCTTGCATGGTTTGAGAGTCGTCACATCACGGTCCAAGCGAACGGTTGTGGCTTCATGGCGTCGAAAAAATCTCCTTTCCCCATGCCTTCCAGGGGCTTTCGGGGTTCAAGGACCCTCAGCCAAGACACTAGGAATGCCGTGTCCTCACCCGCGAAAATAGGACACACTATCATTGGATACATCTAGTGTTGCGTCGATCTTCCTCCCCCTCGGGTTCCTCGAGATCTTGCTAATGATGACATTGTTCGCACTGTCTGTTCGTGGAGGGAAGATGCGTGGAGAGTCTGAGCGGAACCATGCGTTCCCTTTGGTTGAGGTTTGAGATACTGCTTCGAGAAGCATGTAAGGAGGAGGCTTCGACCTTTTCAAGCCGGAAGCCGTTGAAATCAGACGTCCCAAGTCATGGGAAGCCTGCACAAGGAGATATGTAACAGTGCAGACCTTGCGAATAACGAAGCACCAACCTCCTCGACGCAAGCCGAGGCGTAGTATGAAAGCCTACACTACAGTACCTACTAAGTATCTAGCCCGAGGTCAGATGGCGGCTGGGGGGGGACGACGGCACGGGAGCAATCTAAATATCCTCCTAGCGACATTCCAAGAGGCTATCGACTATCGAGCTTAATTTATTCGGGCCGTTGGCAAACTATCATCATCGGAACCAACGACTGCCCCTCCCCTCAGAACCAGAAACTCAATCAAGCATATCTCTCTCGATCCGCCGGGGGCAGAAGATCTCCCTTTCCCGCTCGGCGATCCACTGTACAGAGCAATCACACTGCCGAGGTGGCACGCACGTGGAGAGGTTCGGGCGCTGCTGGCGCCGCTGGCGCTGCTTAGAACTAGCGGCAGCGCCAGCTCTCGTCCACCAAAAAACTAATGCGATCAAACACCGCAGGTCGTCCTCGTCCAGGCCAGGCCAGCTGAGCATAGGAAAAACACCATGGCACGCTGCCAGCACTGAGCGAGACAATCATCACCGTCGCCTTCGCTTGCCCCATCTATATCACTCGCTCACCGCTTCTATCTCCATCTGTCGTGCCCTCGTCCCTGATCCTTGCGCGTCGATGGACCCCGCTCAGTGACCCCCTCGTTCGGATGTCGATATCACCTCACCAGACCAAACCCCACTGCGCGGCCTTGGTACAGCCTCATGATGGCCCCGATACCACGAAAACGTTCTCTGGCCGACATGCAGAACGCCGACGGCGCAGTGCCCGCCGAGTACAATGACGCAGATTATTTCTGCGAGGTGTTACAGCTGGAGGAGGGCCAGACCGAGGCTCTGTTCGATGAGAACCTCGCGCAGGAGGCTGAGAAGCTGGGCATAACGATATCGAGACCGCCGACTGAGAACGGCCAGCATGAGAAGCACAACTTGAGGTGCGAGTCTGCGCTGACGGAGCCTTCGCACCATGCGAGAACTTCGTCGTCTGGGTCGCAAGGAAGTGTGTCAACGGGTATGACATCAAGATCCTCGAATGAACAGCTGGATAATTCGACGCTGTTGCATACGAGGAAGCGGCCGATTTCTATGAGGAGCCTATCGTTCACGGAGTACGAGAAATACCTCGCACAGCATGAAGCGCAAGAGGCGATGAAATCAGGTGTTGTGCCACCGCCCATGCCTGCGGAACCTGCTCCTTCGTTATTCTCGGTCTCCACAAGGCGATCTTATGTCAGTGTCAAGAATGGGATCAAGTCAAAGTTCAGATTACGGAGGAGCAAGACAAATCAGGATGATTCGAAGTGAGTTGCTGTATCTCAATTATCAGATGAGAGCTAACTTGATAGCTCTTGTATATGCTGTCGAGACGACTTCAGCAAAGCTCTGCACACTCTTCCTTGCACTCATAATTACTGCGACAACTGCCTTCAAATCCTCATCACTCAATCTGCGAACGATGAATCGAAAATGCCCCCACGATGCTGCTCGAGAGCTATACCTGGGACAGTGATCAGGTCCGTCTTGACAAAGGACGAACAGCATGCTTTTATGGAGAGCGTATTACAGTTCAGCACACCATGGGAATCACGAATTTTCTGCCCCAATCCTGCGTGTGGTGAATTCATTCCAAGACGAGGCAAGATAGATCCAAAACATCCCTTCGAAGTCGTCTGCCGCAAGTGCAGATCCAAGGCTTGTTCGACCTGCAAGCGCGCTGCACACGCTTTCGGTCAAGATTGTCCCGCAGATTGGGAATTGGATGCTGTGCTTCAGATGGGAGAGAGGTCTGGGTGGCGCCGCTGCTACAAATGTAGGACTCTAGTTGAGTTGACGCAAGGCTGCAGCCATATCACTTGCCGCTGCAAAGCACAGTTCTGTTATATATGCGGAGCAGTTTGGGATCCAGTTGTTGGATGTCCGAATTACTGCAATGGGGAAGAAGAACTCGAGCGCCGACGCCTTGAAGAAGAAGCCAGGATTGCTGAGGAAGAGGCCGAGAAAGCTGCCAGAGACGAAGCTGAGAAGTTAGAGGCTGCAGAGAAAATTGAAGCAGAGAAGCGGACTGCTTCAAGTGGCGAGTTGAATGATCTTCGAGCCCAACAGATCAACGAACGCGATCGCTTCGCTGCATTTGAGAGGAAGATGAAGTGGATTATGTGGACCAGACACGGCCAAGCCAAACTCGACATTCTCGATCGGTATGGTGAGCTTCAGACCAAGATGAAGGAACGGCATATCAAGACCGCAACGCACCTCGAAGATCGACAAGTTGGTGCTGAGATGGAACTTCGGGCTACTCTAAAGCAAGCAGAGAGAAGTGTGAAGATTCGTTTGAGACACATGGAAGCTTACTGTGATGGCCTGGGCCGCAGTGCCAGCGGGGATAATCCATCCAGAGTAGTCACCGAGAGAGATTTGAGGGAACTCTGCCAACAGTACAATATCCGCGACGACATGGAACGCCTTCATCAGAGCAAGATCAACGTTATGCGAGATAAGCAGGCCAAGCAGATGGAACAACTTCTTGTTCGACAGGAGGAAGAACTTGACAAGCTGGCGGACAAGCAGAATGTCGAGCTGGAAGCGTTGGAAGAGACTTTTGGGGTTGAGGAAGATGGCTTTGTCAAGGTCTTCCAAGAGAGGAGGGAGAGGCTACGAAGAAGGTGGAACATTGTCGAGGAGGTGGAGAGGAAGAAGCTGGAGACGGTGCAGAAAGCGAGGTTTGCGCCATTGGCTCCAGTTTCATGGCCCGATTTGGAGCCAAAGCAAGACGAGGCGTTGGAAGTTGTGGCGGAATAAGTGGACCTATCGGGAACAACGACGCAGTGGATGAGGGAGCCCCATTTTAGGCCGTCAGGGAAACGATATATAACGGTCACCACGATACATCAACGGACTCTGGGTATTTATACTCACAACATGGCGGCTGGATATCTCATATAACCAGGGTCTCGCGACGATACACCATTTTTGATCTATCTCATTTGTGTATTGGCATCTCATTTCCTCCTCGATTGGATTTAGCATTGGCGCAGTTCACGGCGCATCTTGTGGGCATTTTTGGATCAAGTCATTCAACTGATTACGATTGAAGATTCTAGACCTCTAGAGCTGGGCACCTACCTAGCATGGCTGTTGGGGTCTCGGGGCGCTTACTTAATTGCATATGGCATCTTGAATGAGGAGTGTTGGCATGGAGGATCATGTGAACAGAACATGTGGAAGATCTTATTTATATACCCTGCGTTTGACTGACCGATCCGTACATAGACGAATGAACAACACAGCTTACCTTATTACTACTCTTAAGCATCCAAGTCTCACCTGCAGTCCAGGCATGTACGAATGTGGATGCGAATGGTTGGTGCTCTGAGCCAGCGACACTAGCTTCCTAAAGCAGCAATGGCCTCGGCTCCCTGCTGACTCGCTTAATCCGGGTGAATGGCAGAGGGGGTGGGGTTTAGATCCCGAAAAGTAGATCTCGAACCTCCACCATCCTTGCTCCAATCCCGACGTCAATTTTTCGGGAAAGGTTTTAGAAGTTTCTCTTTTTCAGCTCATGTCTTTACTCTTCTTGTATTTATGACCGAGTTGCACTTCTTTCGGTTTCATTCGTTCGTTCAGTCCTTGATTGATCAAGGGTTAGTTGGGGATTTCGTCATAAGAGGGAAGAAGCGAATCTTCAAATTGCGGGGGAAAGCCAAGCGAAACGTGACAGACAGAGAAGGGAGTTTAAGTTGGGAATTAGAGAAGGAAGATGGCATACAGAGCCCCCGAAATCGAGATCCCAAAGACAGACATCTGGAGCGCGCTGTTCTCGAGGCCGTCAAAGCCATTCCCTGATTCTCAAGGTACTCACTCTCCTTCCCCTCCTCCCCCCCCCCCAACTAATCTGCCTCCCTCTGTTTAGTGATATACCAAAACCCCGACACAGGTCGCAACTACACATTCTCCCATCTGAAAGATACAACTATCTTGTTTGGACGTGGTCTGCGCTCGAAATGGGGATGGAAAAAGAATGATGTCCTCGCACTGTTTGCACAGAACTGCATCGACACGCCTGCTATCACGTGGGGCGTGCACTGGGCGGGCGGGATCGTTTCGCCTGCCAACCCAGCTTATACGGCTCGAGAGCTAGTCCATCATTTGAAAGATTCTGGTGCCCGGGCGCTTTTCACGCAGAAGCATTTGCTTTCCGTTGCTCTTCGAGCTGCTAGCGAAGCTGGGATCCCAAAAGAGAAAGTGGTGCTGATTGGCGATGAGCAGGAAGGGGGCTTGGGGTATTGGAGGGATTTTTTGGTATATGGGGAAAGGGAGGGAGGAGGAGGGGTCGGGGAGAGGGAAGAGGTTGATTGTGAGAAGGACTTGGCGTTTCTGGTGTATTCGTCTGGGACGACGGGGCTTCCGAAGGGGGTTATGTTGAGCCACTATAATGTGGTGAGTAATATGTACATGGTGAATAGTTCTGAGGGCAGCTTTTTGCATTGGAAAGAGGATACTTTGTTGAGTGTGCTGCCGTTTTATCATATATATGGTATGTCCCCTTACTCTCCCCACTTCAAAATTGGGAGAAAAAAAGTTGACGATGAGATAGGCCTCCAATGCCTAGTCCACTTCCCCGCCTTCGCCGGCTTGACTAGCATCGTCATGTCTTCCTTCGACCTCCATAAATTCTGCTCCATCGTCCAAGAGCACAAGATCACCTACACCTACGTCGCACCCCCCATCGTCCTGCACCTCGCTAAATCTCCGGTCGTTGAGAAGTACAATCTGAGTAGTCTGAAGATGATTACGAGCGGTGCGGCGCCGTTGAGTAAAGAGTTGATTTTTGCGGTGTATGAGAGGCTTGGGACGGAGGTGAAGCAGGCGTATGGACTGAGTGAGACTAGTCCCGTCACGCATATGCAGGTTTGTTTCCCTCTCCCCTCCCAATCCACCCTCCTCACCATTTCCTAACATCAAACAGAAACAATGGAACGTAGGCCTCGGCTCCAACGGCCCTCCCTTACCCAACCTGATCGTCAAGTTCATGTCTCCCGACGGCGTCGAGGTCCCGCACGGCAAAGAAGGCGAACTCTGGATCAAAGGCCCTAGCACCTTCCTCGGGTACCACAACAATCCTGCCGCAACCACCGCCTCCATGACGTCTGACGGCTTCTTCAAGACCGGCGACATTGGGTACGAAGACAAAGATGGCAATATGTGGATCACGGACCGCGTCAAGGAACTCATTAAGTACAAAGGATTCCAAGTAGCACCCGCGGAACTTGAGGGGTTACTGGCTGGTTGTGAGCTGGTGGATGATGTTGCTGTTATTGGGGTCCAGGATGAGGTGCAGCATACGGAGGTTCCGATGGCGTGTGTTGTTGCGAAGCAGGGGGTTGAGAGGAATGAGGAGAGTAAGGAAAAGGTGGTGGCTTGGTTGAATGAGAGGGTTGCAGGGCATAAGAGATTGAGAGGGGGTGTGGTGTGGATCGAGGAGGTGCCAAAGAGTGCGAGTGGGAAGATTTTGAGGCGGCTGTTGAAGGATAGGTTTAAGGGGCAGAAGGTGGAGGTTAAGGCGAAGCTGTAGAGTTGGAGGGGCGCAGTTGTATGTTGGAATATATACCATGTTTATCTTACCACTTTTCCTCAACTGTTCCAACTTCTGTTAATCGTATGGGTGAGTACTTACTCGATATCATACAATCAATGACCGCAGGCGAAATTCACTTACTACTCAAACTTCTCCCCTAGCATCTCAAGGGCAAAGTGTCTCGCAAGACCAGTGTCAATAGCGCCTGGATGCAGCGCAAAACCCTCTACTCCTCTCTTTGCTAACCTCCTGTTAAGTTCAACGGAGAAGATGATATTTGTCGTTTTCGATTGTGCGTGTGCTGAGATGGGGTTGTATGTTTATCCGTTAGGAAATCCGGGGTCGTTGTATAAGATGTCGGAAGCCAGGTGTGCCACGCTTGAGGCGTTTATTATTCGTGCGTCTGGGGAGAAGGAGGTTAGTGAGTAGGAAATAAGACAAGGAATTCATCTGCCATTGAGATTCCAACCCATCTTCCGACCTTTCATAGGGGCAAGCCATAATTCCGGCATTATATATTAGGATGTCGATGTGTGGGATGAACGTGTCGTTGAGGATTGTTTTAAGCGGCAGCGCAATGCTGGCTAGAGAGGTGAGGAGTAGGGGGACGAATTTGACGACGGTGGAGGGGGAAATGGTGTCGATGGTTTCGATGACGGGTTGGATCTTGGGGAGGGAACGCCCGAGGAGGAGGGTGGTAGAGGGGTATCCGCGCGAGAGGGTGAGAGCTATTTCGGCACCGACGCTGCCTGTGCTGGGGCCGGTGATGAGAAAGATTCGGCCTTTGACTTGGGACGAGAAGTCGGAGACTATAGTCGAGCGTTCTATGATGAAGTTATAGTGGGACATGGTGATGTGTGGTTGGAGGTTGAGTGAAGCGTGTGGTGACTATTAAAGGGGCTATGAGAAACGAATTGAGACGAATAGAGGAAAAAGAATTCATTAGATATAGAGTACTAAGTCCGGAGATATTTCTCAAGCCGTACCTTGCATGAAGACATTTGTGGGAGGACGAACCGAAGCACTGCCGTATTGGCTTGACCTACCATGTGAAGAGCAAGACAACGATTCCTCAGAAATACCTAGTAAACCCTTTTGGAATACAACCCGCAACTTTGCGGGGTAAATATTGACATCCCACAGAATCCGTTACATCGAAAAACATAATTCTCGTGCTCCCAGTCCACGAAGGTGTTCAAAGGGGGTATCAGAGCGCACTTGTGGCCCTCCTCTATTTGCCCCTGCAGCTTCGCGGCTGCTCCATGCACCTCTCCGGCTTCAATTCTAATCCCCGGGAGATCACTCTCGCACTCGCAGAAGTGATCTAATGACAGGATCCTCGAAGGGATGTGGTGGAGTGACGAAGCTTCAAGGTTCCTCCTGCCGTAAAGAATCGACAACTCTGCGGGCCGGAAACGGAGGAGTCAGGGGTAAATCAAGATATCCAATCCCGAGGCGAGGCCATCATCATTAAATTATCACCGATACTCGCCATGTGTGGTGATGACTATGAGTCAATTAGAAGTGCTTTTGCCACAGTTTTAGATTAGAAGGTGCGATGATGATTCCATGGAAGAGAGAAAGTCGGGATGTTCGGGAATTTCGTGGGATTCGACGGATCACGTGGTTAGCGTAAACCAAACTCTCATGATTCGCTTTCTTCTATATTAATCAGTCTCCCCCCAGCTCCACACCCCCTTCCCTCTCCCCATCGTTGGATAGTCAAAGTTGATGTTCGGTTTTGCAAGTCTCGTTCAAAAATGTCGCACAAGGAGAAGAAGGTGGCTAAGGGGGCGAAGAAGTTCTGGAATGCGATTATGACAGGATGGGTTGTTGAATATCCGAATTCGAGGGATGGGCCAAGAGACTTTTTCGATAGGAGGGATAGAACACCGCAGGGAGTGAAGGAGAAGAAGAAGTCTGGCGGATTGGAAAGATGTTCATCTAATGGAGAGGAAGCTGCTGACAACTGAAGGCGGCCGGACGTTGTTGAGGAGCAAGAAATGGGTGCATCGAAGATGGGCGAGAAAAACTTACCTAGAGGACATATTGAAAGGTAAGTCGGTACTGAGATTCATTTTCCATAAAAACTAGAACCCCAAACCGATTGAACGGTTGTGTTATGAAGGGTTGTCCCTTGGAGACGTATGAGCGAAGCAGCGACGAAGTCTAAATTGGAATCTTCTCCCGATCATAACTATCACTTCGTCGACGATGTTCGTGGTGAGAGGTATAATGATGGTATCAATTATAACGTGGATAATAATTACTGGGGTTGAAGACACAAAGCTGGAGCGATTTCCAATCACGTGCTCCGTCATCTCTCCGTCTTCCATTTCCACTTAGTGTCTTTGGATTAGGGCACTGATGCGCTGGGGGTCCCTGAGATCGTGGACCACGCATCTCTCCCATCGAGTCGTCAAAACCTTGCCTCGTCCGACTTCAGCCTTCGCACTGGTTATCTCAGGTACAGGGAATGTGCTTGATTCAACAATGGAAATTGACTTCAGAACAGCCCTTCCGCCGCAAACAAAATATGAAGACAAAAGACTAGCGCTACCTGGAGTCAATGCCAGAAAACTCATGATCTTGTACCCAACACACAGCGCGTACATCGTTCTGTGGATGTCACATTAGCTGCGATCCTCCAGAAAGGGTTGTACCATCTTGCCTCGTCCAGTGCCTCGGGCGCGAGGATAGTCCACTGATCCAAGAGTAACTATAGTCCGTTCATCAGCCGTGTAAACCAGCGGAGCCTTTTCCTGAGCGGGCTTACCTGAACACTGAATCTCCCATCCCCAAAGCGGGCCCGCAGCAAATTCATTAGCTTCGCTCGATCGATGTAACGTGTGGGTAAACCTGACACTCAAGAGTGGGGTTGGAAGGACTCAAGGGATAGCCGTTGTCCTTCTTAGCCCTCTCAAGCACTTCGTGGAGTAGCACATCCAATCCATCAGCGTGTATGCGATCCCCTGAGTCGACCTGAAGCATTCGGTCCTGCACTAGGTCTAGCAAAGCGATAATCATTCTGGAGCAGCGCTGGTTGGAACGTAACCCTCTGATCCAATTGGTTACCCCTTCCCGGACTTCAACTCGTCGTTGACCCGTACTTGTAACAAACAATGTATAATAAGTGTCGTCAACTATACCATCAAAAGCTGTCGCACGTCGGGCGAGCGCAAATCTTTCTAGCCCATCATAACCATCAATGATCCACGTGATGAATTCAAGGAAAAGACATCCCAAACTCCAAATATCATACGCACGGCTCACCAATTTGTCGAGTATCAATTCAGGCGGGGTGTAACTTGATGATCCATTTATCTTCGCAGGATCTTTCTTGGAACCTGACTCCAGACGATGGAATCGTCCGACGCCAAAATCTGTGATCTGAAGAATGCCGAGTGGATCGACGCCTTCTAGGTCGTCGAACCAGAGGATATTCTCAGGTTTTAAATCACCGTGTCGGCCGAAAAATGCCTCAGATCGATCGACAACCAGGCGAACGTTCAAGGAAGGCCGCTCACGGCTAATCTTGGGGTTGACAATTGCTGATTCCACTGCATCTTCTGTCGAGGTTGGCTCCGTCGAGAATTTATGAATCTGAATTAAGGCGGAGGCTAGTCCACAAATTTGCTGAAGAGACCAGAGATATGCGTGTCTAGAAACAGGGCGAGCATGGGTCTTCCAATACTCGCGCAGGTTGTACTGGGCATATGGATAGAGTAAGTAGAAACGGCCCTTCAATTTGAATGTGATCAACAATCTTACTAAATGTGGGTGCTTCTGTAGTGCAAGTTGACTTTTCATTTTTCGTTCCTTTTCGAAGTCCCCTAATTTACGGGAATATAGTCTCTTCACTGCTATGCGAGGTTCAGGGCCCTGAAAAATCGGTCAGCTGCACAACTGAAATCTGCGTGGGAAAGCTTATATACCGAGCGACTCGTTGGTGTTAGGAGTTTTTGATGAGCCGGGTGAATTCGTACAGGCCACATCTCACAATAGCCTCCAAATTTGAGTAGTTCCTCATCGTTCTCCCCATCTTCCTTGAAAGGCAAGACGATACTATTTTGAAAACAAAGATCAAGAGGAGTAGTGCCTGGTGGGCCTTCGAAAACTGGAGCTAAGACAAGCCATTGCTCACGAGAGAAATTTTGGACCTCCAGTCGGGGCCATCTTAAGACGGCATTGAAACCAACCAGAGGTGTGTGACCTAACTCCTTGGATGAGGAGGCATGGGGCTTCCTTGCCAAAGTGAATATCGCTTGGTTCAATGAAAGGGCCGGGTTGTCAGGGTGACTCGGGTACAGTCTCTCAAATGGTAGGTCAATATCAGTAACGCCCTCTTCAATAAAGCTGCATATAGCTCGGCTCTGATTCCCTTGGGCTCCAGACGAAGTGCAGAGAAGAACGGCGAAGAGTTTCCGGGAAGAAGAGGAGATGCAGTGAGTGTAGAATTCAATTTTCTCTTCATCCATGGTGGGAAAGATCTTGCGCAGTTCTTGCCGTATGTTCGTTTCGACGAGTAGGTTTTCCAATTGATCGATCGGTATGAAATAAGAATTACTTCCATAAGGATGTTCAATTTGAGCTGATAACAACTTTTCCGCCAGAGTTTCGATTGGCTCCTCTTGTTTCTCTTCTTCGATCCATGTATCGAGATTATCGGATATCCTGTGTACCTCCTTCAGGTGTCTGCGGACAGCTGCTAGTCGACCAAAATATATGTCGTTGCCAAAATAAGTCCCTTCATCCTGGCTACCGGTCTTATTGTATTTGCAAGGCACCATCTTGCAGTAAAATCTCTTAGAAGACTCATGTACGCTTTGTTCGTGGCGTCGCAGTTCGGACTTAGTAGGAAACCGCTTGTCGCAGCTCATGCAAAGTTCTGGCTTTTCATGGTCTTTCTGATGTCGCCTTATGATTGTAAGCATAAATCACGAGCAGCTAGGAGGGGAAAGTACTTGAGTTGACTCGATATGGAGAACACCTTCGCACATATCTCACATTTATAAACATAGGATCCGGCAGTGGAACATTCTGGCTCTTCCTGTGGGAAGAGAGGTTGTGACGGCCAGAGACTCTCTACCTCTGGCAAGACAGAAGATATCTGCTGCTCGAAGGAGTGTATATTTTCCATGAGAAAACCTGAAGGCGTGGTGGGGGACATCTCGCCCGCAACCGTTGGAGGGCGCCTAGACGAAGCCTTCGAAGTAGTCGCAGAGTTGGGAAACGAGATCGATCTGCCCCCGCCATGGCTGCTAGTTCTTTGCCGTTTTAAATGGCGCTGGGGAGCCCATTCGCTTTCATGTTCATGTGTCGTTATGAGCTCCGACTCAGCCCTCTGGTCTCTTCGACCGGTGTCTTTTTGGGTTCGGAGGACCATGCTTAAATGCGAGGGATGAAAGTAAGACCCGTGGTGCAGAGAGGCTCATGTTTCTCAATCCTTCGATAGGTCGTCTTTGAGAGGAACATAGTTCAATTGATGCCTCAGGCTTTAAGGCACCAATTTCAACGTCTTCAGCTACACTTAAACTTAGACATCTTTCTAGCCCTGGAGGAGGTGGCCCTTTAATATTCTAAGACTTCTGAGACATTGGAGAGCAGTAAGTCCCAATGCCCAAGAATTCGAGGGAACATTCTGGGATTTTGAGGGAAAGTACCTTAGAAGGTGTCTTTTTTTGGGGGGAACTTTAGTGGCCCCTCGAGCCGTATGCGTTTTCACCTTTATTTTCTTAGGTAAAGACATTTATCTCGCTCCAAGCACTGTTCTACAGCACAAGGGAAGCATAGCTAGAATGTAAATATGGGTAGATTCCTACCCTTGGCTGCTGGTGAATTAAAAACTGTAACTCGCAGGAGCTGTCACGGGACCACGCGCTTTGACATCACATGACCTCGGTTGAATTCTTCAAAACGCGAGGAATCAAGGATTCCTCGCGGTACAAAACCTCACAGGAGCCGTAGAATTTTGGGAGAAAAGTCCTGGGAGATATTTCTTAGGATATCACGGGTCTTAAGATAAGCTTCTTAGGACATGAAGGCTCTCGGGAGAGCATTGCTCCTACGAGATATGCGTACTGCAAAGATGAACATTGGAGTTTCAAGGTATGAATTATGCAGGGGTGGCCAGGACATATGGTCAACAGCTGGCAATCATCTATCTGAAATTCTCTCTTTCTTTTGCTTCAAGGGGCGTAAGATCTCCTGCAAATGCGCCCCCATATGTCCCGTAACTGCAGGAACGCTGCGTCGTCTCGGCATCCAACGGCTGTCAACCGCGTACCCCGTATCGTCGTTCAGATAAGCGTTGACCATGGAGTCGTCTGGGGATATGTGCAAAGACTGCAGACTGGTATGTAGGCCAAGTTCGCTGCCTTGATTGGCTCGTCCAGAAAATCCTCGTCTCTCTACTTCCTCTCATGCCTCCCCTCCCACCTCCCCTCCCTTCACCCCCTCCTCCCATTCGTCCTTGGTCCTCAGAGGTGGAGTCATCGCCCTCCAGCTCGTCCTCATCTTCGATCGTTCCAGTTGAATCATTCCCATCACCCCCCTCGCTCTCGCCGTCCCGGCTAGTCCCAAGGGTATCATCGTCTGCATCACCGAGTATTCGGGTCACATACTTGCTTCGTCTCCAGTGGTAATCTTTTTCCCCACATCTGAGATTTTTGCAGCGATGATTGAACGCTCGAGATAAAGATTCGGCAGTGTCCTCCCTCAGATGCATGATGATATGGGTCTTCCTCTCACTGTGGCTCAAGCCTTTGAATTCTTTATCGCAGTAGATGCACCGCTCATGACCCCCGTCAAGAATCCAAAACTTGTTTCTGTTCAGCTGCTCACTGAGTTCTGGACTTCCCTCAATATTTGTCCGGTGCTTCTTTCCCCTACAATGCTGGATAAAACCATCTCGTTGATTCGCAGTAAACTTGCATGTGCCACAGTGCCAGAAGAAGGGAGGAAAGTGTATATCATAGTGCCTTATCCACTTGCGAAATTCGAAGGGACCCTCCAAGCAGAGATGGCATGGGAACTCTTCTGCAGCTTTTGGAGCTTTTGGAGCTGAGCTTCGAGACACCGAAGTACGACTCTCGGATGCTGCGACGGTGAAACTTTGCTATACAGAATTCTGCTTCGGGCGCTTTCTATGTGGGGATGTCCTACTGCGCGACCTCTGTCTTCGCTTTGCCTTGCCCCAAGGAGCGCGAGAATGAATGCTTTTACCCTTCGAGGGCAGAAGTGACGATGATGAGTGGGCATCTAGTATTGAGCTAACGGGCTTCTTTAAACGCCATCTAGCTTCAAAATATAGCTTGTCGACTATATCTATAATCATTGTGCTATCTGCTGGCATACAGCTGATAATCGTAGCTAAAAGAGAGGCGTCTGATAGGTGATCGGCCAGTCCATACATATTTTCTTCGTAGAAGGATTTGATTATACCCCTTAGCTTGATATTTATTATACCTTTATGTAGGTCGGGGTTGCGGTCGATGTTTGCGAGTACTCTGTCGACACGCTCCATCAACTGGCTTGCTAACTTATCATCCTCCAATATACATTTCTTAGGCCAAGAGGAACTTGCTGAGTAAACTGAGCCTGCAGAACCAGTATCTCTGTCATGAAATGTTGCAGTTAGAGGAGCGTTGGAGGGACACGACGTCGAAGCCTGCTCCCTTATTCCTCCTTCAGTATTGTCCGTCGAGATTTCAGACTCGTGAGGTTGTAGTGGTAACTGTATTGAGGGCTCGGAACTGCGTCCGGAGGGCTCTGGTAGGGAGGTCTGCCACGTATGAACACGGTTAGTGCCTGTCCTAGAAATTGCGAGGTTTGCTAGAGGCTGAAGTGGTACAGGAGAGGCTTAAGTATGTCCACTGAGCCATGGCAACTACCATGGACTTTCTGTTTGAAACCTACTATCCGCCTGCTGGCAGACATTCGGTTCAACGACCAAGTCACTGGACTTGAGGGTGTGTTTGAGACGCTGGCCCCACCTGGAGGTTGTCAACTCACCTTTGCTTCATGCTGTATGGATTCTCTGCCCTCGAATCTAGTTTCCGGAATCGGTTTCGAGCCACGAGAGGTAGTTGTCGTTTGGCCCCGAAGTTTAGGGTGGATGTTACTCATATCCTCGCTGCCCGTATGGTTATTCCCAGCCTGACTCTGCTGGAGAGCAGCCCGCGCAGTAGCTTCAGGCCGAGACATCTCGCCTGACATTCGTCTCGATGTACGCGGGGCTATCTGTTCCTCTGGTATTGCCGATACTTTGGGCTCGGAGGGTGTATCTCGTGTGGTTGAGGTTGAGCTGGTCCGTCGAAATCGTGTCGCGGGGTTGCACATCTTACTCGAATTCCTTGCTCTGGGGCTCTGTGCGCTGGTAGATGTAGCTTGTGCAGGCGAATGAATAGAGCTTTCGACTGAAGAGATGAGATTGACCCAGTCGGCAAGCCAATAATCCGCATAATCCCCAGCCGAGTGATCGAAGTGAATGAATTCGTTATCCGTTGTGGGTAGGGTCTCGTCGATCATGCTCATTTGTGTGGTTTGACCTTGATGACATTCAGGCACAACATCTCTTACGGGCCTGGTGCCAACTAGTCTGTGGATTTTAGCGAGATTTTCAGGCCTCGCAAAACATAAATCGCGATATTTAACTAAGTTATATTCGATAACCACAAACTATAATCCTTTAAAATATCGAGAGATGTAATTACAAGAAGTGAATATTGATTTCTTTATAGTAATTTATTTTATTATAGTTTATTTGCAAAAGTCGAGGTTTTGCTTCAGTGATTATTTGGTCGCTAAAGGCCCTGTAATCCACAGACTAGTGGGCACCAGGCTCGTTACATATGCGCCACTTGTGGCTTGTGAGCGAGGGTCCCAGTCGTCATGGCCGATTTTACTCATGATTTTCTCGAAGTATTTGATTCTGTGGATGAGGCAGGAGTGTGATAGAGATCCGTGAACACTCCGAATCCATTCTCTTCATGTAGATTTCCCGTCGGCTGAATAGTCTGTATTGTAACCCTTCAAGTATGGCAGCTTGAGCCCGTGGCGGAACAATCCGCGTGAGAAAGCCACTGTTGTAAAGAAACGATCAATCTTTGATATCAAGTTTTTTTGGGGGAAATAATTTGAATGCATACTATATGTGCTAACCGGCAGAACTTTTGAGAAGCTGCAGACGAAAACACGACGCCTAGGCGTAAGGGGATAGGGATAGGGATGGGGACAAACTTTTAAGCGAGAATAGGGGGGCGATCAGAAACAGAGGAATCAATAAACTTTGCCAGAGGTACAATAAAACCCAAATCTGAGCCATATCGAGTAGTGCCATGAATACAGACTATGCTCTTTCGAGTCTCATTCCTGGTTGTAGCTTTGGAACCTGTGGCATGTTCAGCTCAGAATTAACTATTGCTGATGGGACCCAGTGCCCATCACTAAGATACCTCAGAATTACCTATTGCTGATGGGACCCAGTGCCCATCACTAAGATAACTTAGCATGACAAATTTGAATCTTGGAAAGATGCAAATTCCTCGATTAACCAAACACTCCGATATCCACTTGGGCAAGCCCCCAAACCCTACATCGATCGTAGGTAGTTCGAATATGCTGCTTGAAGCAAAGTTCCCATCGAAAGCGCGCCCATTACATATCATTTAGATTCATTCTATCGGCTTTCGTTGAACGCTCTGGAGTCTCAGCAAGTGGCCGCCAGCAATACACTTTCATCCCAAGGTTCGTCACACAAGGCGCCAAGCTCTGCAATTGCGTTTCGTTTCGACGCTCAAATCTAAGTTAGAGACAGAGGCATCGTCGATATGTGTTTCTTACCCATAACCCGATGCAAATGTGGTACTGTAATGAGAGGGGATGTGGTCCCTTGTGAGCTTGTCCAGATGTCCTACGATGGTCTCCCCCATTGTCCAGTCCCCTCAGTCCGCAGTGACCAAAGCAGCACAATGAAGTGCGCAGACTGCCAGAAGAAAGCTGAAGATAGAGCGTAAGCAATTCATTCATGTTGAGAAAAGGGGGCTAGTGCTGACATACAACAGCTTAAGATACTCAAACAAGAAACGCTCTGGAGCGAAGGAGGCAATACATGCATGAGAATAATGGTTGGTGATTGAATGATATATCTGGGGGAGAAAACGATATATGCATATGTAGCCATGTATGCGTGGACGACGTTGATGGACATAAATGGTGTGGACCTTTGACATTGCTTCCTTGATCTGACTTCTCTCCGTATTTCGTTGCAGTCATTCTTTTTGTATTTTCTCATTGGAAGTTGGAGGGGTGCAGTCCTCTTAACAGAATCGCCCTGCTCAGCATGGCCTGCAAGGCTACCAGCTATGCGTTGTTTAGTCTCTTGTGTTCGTCGTCTGGGGTCTGGGACTTGTGCTTACAACTGCATTTAATCTTGTTTTCGATTTAGTCAACTTGAGCTTTGAAAATATTGCATCTTCTCGGAGTGAAGCATCTCATATTCTTCCAATCGTAGTTTGGCACAGAAGCCTTGCTTTAGTATGTCTCGAAGCCTCGGAAGGCAAGTACTGCTTGGCTTGCGCTCCTATGTTTCCATTTTGTCAGTCACGACAGTTCGAAATACAACCGACATTTACTAAGAGATTCAAAAAACGAGAACATACCAGCTTATACTCCAAATTCCACCTCCAGTCTGATCAGAAATCATCAATGAGGCTTCGTACGAGAAGTCAGGAGCACTTTCTGTGACTCGACGCATTGATGCCCAAGGTGTACCATCTTCACAAAACGCCCGAGTTAGATGAGGACTGGAAAAGTGCCCGAGTCGCCCAAATACTGCACCCTCCCCCACTCGGAGTCTGGAAGTTTTATATTTTCGACCAAAAATCATCGAAAGGACAAAATTGAAAACGATTCGAAAGTTCCAAAGATTATAAGACGTTTGAAAAAATCGCGAGGCTGGTGATCGTCGCCTTCAACTAGGCTTTAGTGAACATGGACCAAACGAGGTCACCGAGCCGCAGCCTCACTTGTGCGGTTTGCCTCGACCTGATCCCAAAGCGCCTACCCACCAATAGATGGCGATTTAAAGTCGCAGAGAATCTGCTAATCGAAAGCGTCCTTCCTTTCGTATTCTCGGATCTAGAAGTTTCCAGTCAAACGTGCGTGTTCTGCTTGGTGATCAAGGATGGGATTGAGATCATGAGTCGCGGGGTATTAGGTGCTAAATTGAGGGGGTTGGGCGATAGAGAAGCTTCTATTATCGTGCAGAATAATAGGCTGATTGAGGTGAAGGTTCTTGGTAAAGGTGGGAACGAGGAGGAATCTGTGAGGATGCAGTTTTTTGTGAAGGATGGTAAGTAATGTTCCTTCTTGACATGCGACTGGCAGTTGATGTGTTATCTAGGTAAATACAACCCAAAACTTGCCGTCTTTGGTACAGCCCGACAGATCGCTTCCTTAGTTTCATCAAAGTCACACTCTTCATCGGTTCAGTCCTGGATCACGTATTGTCTCCAAAACCACAGTGCTTGTGGGCAAAGGACTAAAAGCGTACTGCCAACTCGACTCCTTGACATATCACCTCGTCTGGACTCCTCCGTCATCCTAGTTACAACGCAAAGCTTGGCCATTTCATCCAACGTACCGTTATATGCAACGCTCTCCCACTGTTGGGGAATCAAGCATTTTATTAAAACCACTCTATCTAATATCCGCTCCTTCGCAACCAGCATCCCATTCGATCATCTGCCCCGCACATTCCAGGATGCCATCTCCGTTGCCCAAGAGTTGGGCATCAAGTATATCTGGATCGACTCTCTCTGTATTATTCAAGACTCCAAAGAAGATTGGAAACACGAGTCCGCACTCATGGCTTCCGTTTACTTAAATTCATATCTCAATATCGCAGCCACAGGTTCATCTGACAGTTCACACGGATTCCTTTCATCCCGAGACCTGACGCACAATTCTGTCTCAATCCCCACTAATAAGTCGGAAGGAAATGGTGGAGAAGAATCGGACGCTTTTGTGAGAACCTCTCTAAATACAGTACACAAGCTTTACTCGACACCCAGCCAACTCGTACACTGGAGCTCAATTGCAAATGGGAATAATGAAGCTCCATTACTTTCCCGAGCCTGGGTATTTCAAGAACGGCACCTAGCACCCAGGACCCTGCACTTCCACCCCTCGGAACTAGTGATGGAATGCCGGGCAGGACTGCGCTGTGAATGTACTGGCCTTGACTCCTTTACGTCCAACCCGTTGCGGAATTTCGACGACATGTCGTTCGCCTCTTGGTCTGCTGTCGTTGAGGAGTTTTCAAGACTGAAATTGACGTATCAGACTGATAGACTGGAAGCATTGACGGGTGTCGCAAAGGTGTTCTGGGAGAAGCTTGGTTGCAGGTACTTGAACGGTATCTGGGAAGGCGATCTGGCGAAAGGACTGTTATGGAATGTGACGCGCTGTGAGGCTTTCGATGTCTCTTCTGATAGGGTGAGAAGACAAGGCAAGGAAGTGGCTCCGACGTGGTCTTGGGCTAGCTTGGTTCTTGCTGGAAACAAGATCTTTTTTCCAATTGCTGATGACCACTTATTTCGTTCTGATGAGCGATTTGAGTTTCTGGACACAGATCCTCCGCGAGACCCATTACAGTCACATTTCAGAAGTGAAAGTGGTGCTATTTTGGTGAAGAGTGCTTTTGTGGATGCCATTGCTTGCTTTGTTGCTCGACAGGGCGAAGCGGAACAGGACGTCCTGTTGATTTTCCAAGAAGATTTCGATGACACAGTGTTAATAAGAACTTCAATCATAGAGATGGATGTCTCTATCGACGTTGAGGAACCGCTGGCAGATACTATTTTGGAGGTATCTTGTTTGCTTCTTGGGTCGGCGGAAGAAAAAGACTGGGATACCAACCAACCAGTGATATATAATCATATGCTTGTCCTGCAACCGAGTTCTGATATCCAGGGTGCTTGGGAACGAATTGGCATTTTAAATGTTAAAGAAGAGGTCGGAATTCATCTAGGGTTGGTGGAGAAGATATTCAAACTAGTGTAACTCGTGGAAGATGCGGGAAAGACTAAAACGACACCCAGGGTGTCGATTGGGGTGTCGATTGGGGGCCAGGGTATTTTGGGACCTTAAGTTAGATTTTTAAATATAAGAGCTAGTTGTGACGGCTGGCGTAAGGGCATGATCTGCCAAGGACAGGATATCGGAAATAGGCACAAAACGAAGCTAAGCCGGAATTGCTTGGGCGGAACAATACTAAAGGTCGAGGCATCCTCCCTACTTTGTTCCATAGCTTAGTATTTTCCAATACATGAGATTCTTTGAACTTTGAGCCTTCGACCATTGCATTGATCCCGCCGTCACACTAGTATAGTATAAGGCTTATAATATAATTATGTGCTTCTTAATTTATAATAAAATAATTCCTTAAAATAGAATTTTAATTAAATTGACTTTCCATACTAATTAATTAAGTTCTAGTTTTTAGGCCCTATAAGGCCCTGTAAATTAGGTGCTTATAGGGCTCTCATGTCTAGTTTTAGGGACTTATTCGCCAAATTTCTAGGCTTTCTTAACGAGCCTGGTCGCAGTAGTCTGTGCGCACAGGCTTCACCACCATTAAAAGCATTAAAATTATGTATCAAAGCAGCATTTAATTAGGAGTAGCCCACCCATGACGCTCCATAAGTACATGAACCCAATGCTCCTGCTGTAATATTAGCTGATTAATCCAATCCTGTGGTATTCTATCCCATTCCTCCAATACCATCGCTTCCATCTCGGCCACTGTAGTCGGCTGTCGGCGACGTCTGTGCAATGCCTGCTTGATCCTCCTCCAGCACTTCTCAATTGGGTTCATATCAGGGCTCGTAGAAGGGTGTGGCATTAAGATAATCCCATGCGTAGTACGCCATTTGGCATAATAGTTACGAGTTGATTTATGACCGTGAGCTGAGTTGCCGTCCTCCATAAATAAAGGTTTAGTGACAGGGCGAAGTCGGTGAGTTATAGCTGCAAAAGCCTCCAAGATAGGGGTGAGGTGTGCTTCTAGGATTTGTGCCAAATAGTCTGTCTGAACAAAGGCTCCTGTCTTGCCAGACCCGTAAAGAAATATTAAGGGACTCTTATAACCATATCCAATAGCTCCCCAGGCGTGTACAGGCGTCGTATGGCCCCGGTGGAACTGGTATTGTATGCATGTAGGGTGTGTCCTTTCCGCCTTGTTTCTTGTGACCCTCTGCTTGACAGTCCTTCCTCTAACTAAAAATGTAACCTCGTCTGACCACAGGACCTTTAACCACTCCTCGTACCAAAATATGTGTGTAATCGCCCAAAGTAATCGTCCAATAACTTGTGCAGCAGTGAGGTATGGCTTTTGGCAAGCGACGCACCGGAAATACCCTCGCTGGTGAAGTCGTCGCTGAAGAGTAGAGGCTGTAACATCAAGTTTGAGCTCTAGAACTAAGTGGGCATAGTCTAGGCATCGTTGATCGTAATTCTCGGAACAATATTCGATGATTGCGTCGACTTGCATATCGCTGAGCTTCTTGGGCTTGCCTACCCTGTTTGGGCGCCGTCGCTCAGGCGCGTCGTACGCCAGGATCCGATTAATTGTCGTATCGCCAAGCTTATAGCGCTCTTGAAGCTGAAGTTTTGGCACCTTTCCAAACCAATGCAACTGGCGAATAGCTTCCTTATGCTTTGTAGGGATCTCATCACCTTTTTTGTGGTCAAAATCGAGGGGGGGAGTAGAAGTAGCCATTTAGGGTGTTTTTGGTAGGTTTGGTGGGTGAATATCGCTAAAAAGTAGCCTGTGCGCACAGACTACTGCGACCAGGCTCGTAAGCTTACCTTTAGGCTATAAAATGTTAAATTTTTAACCCTTTTAATTTAAAGAGCTATTACTAATCCAAAGTTTATAGAAAGTTCATATTTAAATAGCCCTTAATTAGCGCTATAAGTAAATAAAACAAGTATTAAATTATATTAATTCCTTATAAAGTTAAATTAAACTAAAGAGAAAGCTAGATTTTTGGTGTTCCTGTCCGAGCGCCTCTACTTTGGGTTAGTGGCTAGTCTGGCCCCCAATCGACACCCTGGGGGGTGTCGTTTTAGTCTTTCTCTAACGTGCTCACCCCACCAAAAATTACTCACGCCCACATACTACCGCCCCCGCCCCCGCCCCCGCCCCCGCCCCCCTCTCCCCCCAAGCCTCTAATACGACTTAAAATATTTACTCTCTCTCTTTAATTCTTATTTATATATAGGGTAAGAGAGGAGGGATGTTAGGGGGAGAGGGTTGGGGGGGGGATTTCCGAGCAAGTTAAAAGTTAAAAGTGAAAAGTGATAAGTGAGCTTCGGCATACATGAGTCACAGGAAAGGAAGGCACTGTATTTATAGGCTTCTCATCGCTAAATTATAGGCTATATGACTAGATGTACTTTTGTCGCGATTTTAGATTAGCCGTTGGGAAGATGATTCGATGGAAGAAAAAAAGTCGGGATGTCCGGAAATTTCTCGGGATTGGAAGTGGTCACGTGTTCAGTCAAACACTAAATTTTATAATTTGTTTTCTTATATATGAATTACTTTCCCCATCGCTAAAAAGTCAAAATTGATTTTCAGTTTCTCAAATCTCATTCAAAATGTCGCAAAAAGATAACAAGGTGTCTAAGGGGGCGAAGAAGTTCTGGAACGCGGTCTCGACGGGATGGGTTATTGAATATCCTAATTCGAGGGATGGACCGAGAGACTTTTTTGATCGGAGGGATAGGACACCACAGGGAGTGAGGGAAGAGAAGACGTTTGGGAATGGGAAGGATAGGTGCTCAGATAATGGGGAGGATGCGTCTGATGCGATTTTTCGGTGGAAGGAACAACTGAAAGCGGCAGGAAGATGCTGAAGGACCAGAAGCCCATCGAAGATGCTTTAGAAGAACTCTGCTGCTAATGGGCGGAACATAAGAAGGGGTTAAAGTTCTGTGACAGCTCCTTCCAGATATTGGACGCTCAAACCCAATAAAAATGTTGTGTTAGAAAGTGTTCTATTTCTCGTCAGCAACACGAGGGAATTTCTCGTTGAGTCTCAATTGGATGCTTCCATTTGGCTTCATTGTTTGGTGAAGCACTCTCGTTACGCTCTGAATTGAAAAAGTCGTTTAGCAACTCTGAAAAGAGTCATGGGTGTGTCAAGGTCGACCGCCTGGAGAAACAGGCCAGCCACGGAAGGGACGACAAACACCATGATTTCGTAGACATATGGCCCTGTCCCCATTGTTATGGGCGCATATTGCTTTGATTCCGGGAATGCCAAAGGGCGGTGAAGCGCGGCTTCCTGCTCGGGCTTAGGCCCATGCATTCCAGGTGTACTGTCGCCGTATTTAATGAGAAAAGAAGTTGATCATAATGACGAGCTGCAAGGCAGGCCGCAAGGTCTCTCGTCGTAAGGTCCGGAGCGAGCCCTCAGGTTAATAAAGTTAGTGATGAGCAAGATGGGCCCCGTTGCCTTTCCAGAGACCAGAATAATTTCAAGGTTCTGCATGGTGGGAGGGATGGAGCATCCATCGCTTTAACTCTGAAAGTCGATCGGCGTCGCAATGGAAATTGCCAGTTGCCCTGGTTGCTATCATAAGTTCCAACAGATATTGTGAGGTATGTTAATGGGAGAATTTCCTCTGTAAACAATGTCACCTCCTCTTGGAGGGAATGCGTTAGTGCAGAGACCACAGAACGATGCTGAAGATAGTCACCAGAGCACGTGACATGCGCTCGAGTTTGTCGAAGGAATTCGAACTAGAAAGCGTAGAAGGCCCAAAATGATTGAAAAGTTATCCCAAACACCAAGCTTGAATTCTCATTCTAATATAAGAGGGGTTTTAACTAAAGGAGTACCTAGAAGCGAAGGTTAGACTTCAACGTTTCTCGGCTTTATAGGACAATAAACTTCCTTGAAAATCAACGACAACCCTCTTTTTCTACTTATATAATAGAAGGGCTAGAATATGCTGCATTCAGCTCAATCTTGTTGCAAGTCTCAGATAGCGTAAGCTTTAAATATCCGACTCGCATTGTGAGCACTCCAGGGATCAAGTGAGCTTTGTTGATGCCCAACCAAACACTTCAAATCTGCCACTCTTCCTTTCGCATACACCGAGTATGATTCTAGGGAAAGGTATCTGAAATATTTGGCTACCCCTCGAAGCTTACTGTAAAGTTTTTCAAGCAGAGAAGTGATCTGTCACTTGGAGCGGGACTTCAGAAATATTACCAAGAGGCGGCCACACATTTACCTGCAGTGCCAGTTCATGTCACCAGCGTGATTTCGCCAAACCATACACCCAAAGGTATTTGAACTGCACTAATTGTTTATTTTTTGCCTTTCTGTGTTGCTGAGTGTAGTTATGGGTGTCGGGACGAGATATATACCGATGGGGAAGTGGACGGAAGTGTTCTCCGTCTGCCACGTCTCTGTATGAAAGCGAGAACAGATTTAGAATAATGGATTAAGACATGACAGCAAGTAGTAGAAGTAATATAAAATAGTGAACACTTCACATCTGTAGGTGCATGGGAAAAAAGGAAGAAGTTATCTCCGACTAAGATATTGTGGCCGTCCGCAAGGGCACGAACTTCTTATATGTAACACAAACACAGGATTTCGTATCATATAGGTTTTAAGAGTCTTTAGTTGACCGGTTCGCATCTGGCATATAGGGGGGCGGGATCTCTGGAGCGCACTGTTATCTAAAAGTACATTAGCTTACTGTCCACATGGAGAGTGCTCAGGTTTGGAAGAATCTCTGGGCGCACTGCTAAATTTCCTCCTATGAGACATTTTGTCGCTGTGACAAGAGCGGCTTCGAGCCGGCGGGTGATGGTCCTGCTGGGAATTGACTGCGGTATTCAAGAGAGGAGGGCACCAAAACCCTCGTCAAGATTTCTTCAGGACTGGTTGTGCCTTGAAACTTTTTGTGCTGTCTTACTATCTGCAGGTGATGCACCACCTGAAGCGAGACGTTGTAAGCGAGACTTTCATGATAGATGACGTGCATTGGGGTGCCTGGACTGGCCACTTCAAGGCGCCAGTGTGCATACGTAATATCAGGCAGCGAGAGGTATCCAGACTCCTGGCAGTATCGGTCGAGTGCTGCTCCGTGGGCGCCTCTTGAAGCCCAACATAGATTTCCATTCGGTGGAATCCTGCTCGAGCTGCCACGACGACTTCGTCGACTCGTCAAATTAGGAAGAATGATATTAGCTGGAACAACTTGACGCATCATTAGAAATACCATATGCATGAGGATGGCTTGGAATGTTCGGGCTCTGGTGTGCAGAGCTGCAGGAGAGCTGTTCGGGCCAAGATAATGGGGCAATGGTCCCTTGGCCAGTGAAACTCTGCGCTACCCGACGCAGCGAAACAGATGTTTGGTTGAGTTAGGATAAAGGGCCTCTCTAGATTGAGAACCGTGTTGATTGCTGAATTCCATCAGGGGTGGCGGAGGCGGCTTGTTTAGCAGAGAGGTGAGGCAAGCCTCGTCTTAGACCGAAATCCACAACTCCTAACAAGGTAACATATTGGGAATATTGATCTGCAAATAGTTTGGGTTGAGTGTACTGTACCTAAGTGAACTTTGTTTATTGAGCTGCAGTGAAACTTACTGGCGTGCTTTGGCAAGACCGCTCCGCCATTCGGGAGGGGTCCGGTGGGCAGGCGGCAAGCCTTGACCAGCTGGCCATGCAGTGGAAACAAGCCTCAAAAGTGATTTGGAAATATTGGCATCGCAATCACAACATTGAACGGATAGGGGGAAGTAGTGCGGTCTGAAAGAAGCAACTCGTCAGCAAATCAAATCGAGCAGGCGGTAGGTGCATCGAGAGTTCTCAGCCAATGAATTCTGCAATGCTTGTCTGCGAAAACCACGCTAGCCTTTTTGCCATATCATTGTCAAACATTACTGAGGCCTCGGGTCTGAATTGCAATTCTGTTGGGTATCAGAGCCAAACTCCAACGGGAATCTGCAGGTGAGCGACTCCTGCAACACCTATCAATCATTCCACATGACCAACGTATCTGCAATACCTGCATCCCACTCTCTGCGAGCTTCTCAGCCGTATGAGGGGCAAGCAAACTTTCGAGTTCTGCTGAAATCTGGAAACGAGGTTTGAAAAGCAGCCAAAGTCTGCAGAAAGGAGATGGATCGGTGAAGGCAAATTTTGGAAAATGCCTTACAAAATTAACAAATAAGTGGCGAATGCAAAAACTACTAAAATTCCACAAACTCGAAAAGCTTTTGAGAATCGTTTATTCTTCTCCAGGCATGCCTGATCTTCATGAAGTGCGAACTTCCCAGTAGTCTATTATTCTCCCGGCATGCCTGATCTTCCTGAAGTGCGAACTTCCCAGTATTCCCCTTAATGTATGCGGCAAATGGACTTCATTTCCTTCTATCATCCTCAATATGTTAGCTGTAGTTTCGATCGAGAGATGATTGAATGTAAATCCTGCCTCGCTGAGTGCTTCCGGGATGAAAATTGTCCACTGATTTAGGCGTAACTATGAAGTGTTAATTTTTTGATATGAGGAAGCCTTCTATCCGGTTTCAAATACCTGAACTCGAAATCTGTCCTCCCCAAACCGACTTCGCAGTTTCCGCAGTAATCTAGTTCGATCGACATACGGATGGGGCAGAACCACTGGGTAGAGCGTCGTGGTGTCTGTCGAGGCGCTCGATGAAGAAGTTTCTTGAATCTCAGTGGTTCCCTCTCTGAAGATAGTGCTGTTTGAACCCATTGCTTTGGATTTCGAAGTGGAGGTGGAGACGAAATCGTTGATCTAGATGGAGAATGTAGACGAAGACTGCTAGTGCACTTATATGAGTGAGCAGCCGGCCCGATGGGGCGGGGGTAAATACTTCGAGGGCTGGGACCCACTCATATTTTCAGCGGGCATTTATGCAACCGGAGCTTGCATGGAGGCGGCTCTTCCACGTGAGCCTCGATGATAGGGTGACAGACCTTCCTGTACAAGGCAGTTGTCACTGCATCAGGCTTCAGACCAGGCTCGATGTTGAGGCTCTGAATTTGCTCTTAGACTCGTTGCAAGGGCGGTTGATTGAAAAAAAATCTTTGCTCGGACCAATTAGAAACCATGCTACGCATCAGCCGCCGAGGCGTTGAGGCTCAACTGACATGCCAGGGTCCCGCTTTAACTAAGACGGGGCGGGACACCGACTATAAGTCCTCATCTGGCCCAGGGGCGAAGCTTTTCCATATAAAAGGATCTTTGAGGCGCTGTGTGCTCACCTGTGAAAATCATTTTCATGGGTACAAGAGGATGGAAATTGAAGGACATCTGTCATTCACGTTGCCTAGCCGGTTTCTCGAAATCCTGTCACGTGATCACCCCGCGTACAGCGGTACAGCGGTAGGCGAAACTAGCTTTAAAGCACCATTTTTTACTGAGCTTTGGAAATTGCGTCTGGAGCTGCGTCACGTATAACCCAATATTACTAAATCGCGAATTGCTCAATAATAACAACTCCAAATTAAGAAGTAAGTTAATTGAATAATAAAATGCTTGCCTGTCTTCAAATCCTTAATAGCATTAGTACCCAAGCCTAGTAATTATTTACTATTATAGATAAACAAGCCAATTAATAATTTGTTATATAATTTTTATTAAATTATACTCTCAAAAATAATTCAAATTATAAATCCTCTTAAAATATTAAATTTAGATATAATTTAATTAATTTAAGTTATAAAGCTCAGAATTAAAATAAGTAATTAAAAGTCTATTAAGAAAAGGGCAATTTTATTATAAGTTTATTATAGGAATTTTATTAAACTTATTAATTATATTCTCAAAACTAATTCAAATTTTAAATTCTCCTAAAATATTAAAATTAGCTATAATGTCACGATAAGGTAATATTGCAGTGGTAGTAAAGAGCTTGAATTGAGCTAAAGGCTATTTGCTGGGTTAAGGAAATACTAGCTATATACTAAGCCACATGTAGTAGCACCTTGTAACTGGTGCCACGTAACATATAATATAATTAATTTATGTTATAAAGCTCTTATTCTAAATAAGTAAATAAAAAGTTATTAAGGAAAAGACAATTTTAAAGAAAGAAAGAAAAAAATTAAGAAATATAAAGCTAAAAAATTGCTTTTTTGCCTTTTCTCAAATGACTTTATTATTACTTATTTAAAAGTAAAGTTACTAAACTCAAATTTAATTGCAATATATTAAACTTAAATATTCTAGGAACTCTTATAATTTAGATATTAATTAGTATTATAATTAAAGGGTTATAAAAGCGCAATTTTACTCTAAATACAGTTTTCGTATTTTCGCTAAAAATCGATTTTAAAGCTAGTTTCGCATACCGCTATACCCCGCATTAAAGGGGGAGTTTCACCATCAAGATATTTTTCAAGTGGTACCCGTTCGTACCTTCTTCCACTTATGACCTTAGGTGGTTCGTGAAAGCAATCTGGTCAAATCACGTGCACATAGCCGAAAATCAAGGAACATCGTTTTATATGAAATGACTAGTATTATTAAAGCCTAGAAATTATTATAATAGCCTCTCTAGTACTATCAGATCTTCTACTTTCGCTCCCCGAGCCAGACTAATTATTCTCACTCTCTTCCTTCCTTAAAAAGCTTATATAATTATTAATAAGCTCTTTTTTTTAATTATTTTAATTATATTCTTTATTAAGAGCCCAAAATTAATACTTTCTATTTCTTTCTTTTTCTTCTCTTATTTCTTTCTATTTATATAATTTAAGGGCTTCTCTTAAGTAAATTAAAGTAAGAAAAAGTATTTCTAGCTTTAAGTATTTCTTATTTCTCTTTATTTCTCTTTAATGCTTTTTTTAATTTTTCTTTCTTTAATTAATGTACTTCTTTAATAATTATAATACTTCTTTTATAAAGTCTTCTTTTAAAAGAGTTTTTTTCTTATTTTCTTTAAATTTAATTATATAAATCGCATTATTTTTATACTTGGTTAATTAAGTATTATATAAGATACTCTTTATATTATACTTAAAGGAGTTTTATTTACCTTATAATTAAGAAGTTATTAATAGTTTTTCTTTTTATCTCTAATTATTTAATATATAAATACTATTTCTTAACTTCTTTAGTTAGGAATTAAAAGGCCCTAGGGAGGTCTGGTTTTGGTGTGCTTAGTAGACTGGATATAAATCCATCTTGGACAATTTTGGGATGTGATCAGACATGATTGCTTAAATGAATTGGTAAACTATCTACAAAAAAAAAATTGCGGTGACGATGATTTTGTGAGTCACATGATTTGGCCAGATTGCTTTCACGAACCATCTAAGGTAATAAGTGGAAGGTACGAACGGGCACCAACCTCAATACACAAATTGCCAACGCCAAATGCTATTCAATATATCTTCTCCTTTGACAATAAAGCAACCACCTGTACATGTACGTGTCCAGCGTACAAACGGATTGAACTCCTGAAACCCTCCCGTCTTGTCCTTTCTCGTCATAACCAGCTTTACTTTTTGTTACTGAATCCTCAAACGCAATTTTCAGGGTCTGCCAGCAGAACCCAACCTCGAAAATACGAATTTGTGAACTACATCCTTCCATTGTGCTGCCCTGAATTGCTAACCCAGCAGGTACGTTGAGTTTGATTGAGCTCGTTGGACGATCTTGCTGAGTATGGACTTCAGCTCCCCAGATCTTATGCGGTCTGCGGTGTCCACTTGCAACATTCTGTCCTCGACCAGGTCCAGAAGATCTCGGATCATCTTGGAATAACGTCTATGTTTACGCAGCTTCTGGATCCATTCAGTCACTTGTGGTCGTACTGTTGCGAACTTCTCGGAGCCAGAGTAATACACGGTGTAGAAAAGATCGTCCAAGACCGTATCATGGGCTACCACGAGTCTTGCGTTTGCGAAGTCTTGGATACCAGTGTTGCCATCAAGCATCCAAGTGATGAATTCAAGGAAGATGCATGCGAAACTCCAAATATCGTAGGCTCTCGAAACCAATCTCTCTAAGACGAGTTCTGGAGGGACATAAGTCGGGGATCCGTTGATTGTCGTAGGATCTTGACGAGACCGAGATTCGAGGCGATGGAAACGGCCCAGACCTAGATCCGTGATTTGAAGAATTCCGGTAGGGCCAAAGTCTTCGAGGTTGTCGAACCACAAAATGTTTTCCGGCTTTAGATCGCCATGTCTTCCAAATGTCTCCTCTTCCTTGTCAACCTTCATGCGGACATTCATGGATGGCCTCCGACGAGATACTTCGGGGTCGGTACGATCAGATCCCAGGGGATACGCCGTTTTGAATTCATGAATTACATGCAGAGCAGAAGCCAATCCAAGTAATTGTTCCAGAGCCCAGAGGACCTCTGTCTTTTCCCACTTCAGCAGAGAATTCTTCTCCCAATACTCGCGGAGATTGAGCTTTGCGAATGGAAACAGAAAATGATATTTGTTCTTGAATTTGTATGTTGCCAGCAGCTTGATCAGATGTGGGTCCTTCTTGAGCGTAAGCTTGCTGAGCATGTCGTTTTCTTTCTCGAAGTCCTCCGATTTCCGAGAAATCAACCTTTTGACGGCTATCTTTGGCACCTGAGATGCGTGAGATTTTCTGCTTTTCTTTCCTGACTTTCGTCTTACCGAAGAGTCGCTCAAGGAGAATAGGGACTGATGGGCAGGATGAATCTGGACACGCCAAACTTCACTGTAGCCACCTTCCCTCATTTCGCCTTCTTCGTTCTCTTTGTCACCGATGTATGGCATGATTGTGCTGTCGTCCAGAATATGATGTTTGATGCGGTCCGGATAACTTTTGAAGACAGGCGCGAGTACAAGCCACTGGTCGCGACTGAGGTCTTCGATATCGTGCGATCTCCAAGATGAAAGCGCACGTATCCCACATTCGCATTCATGTTCTTGAGGACAGGACTTGTGTTTCCTCTTTCCCAAAGTGTAGTTTGGTGAATGCGAAGGGACTCTCGCGAGAGGAAGATCCTCATCGGTGACTTTACTGTCAATGATATCCAGTATATTTGGATAAGGGCCTTGGTTTGAGCCATAGAGTATAAGTATCGCGAACAGTTTCAGGGCCTTGGTACAAATGTGGTTAGTTGCAGAATGGAGACCTCTGTCGTCTAGTTCTGGATATATCTCGTGAAGTACATTCCGCACCGCGTCCTTCTTCAAATGCTTTCGAATCTCGTTGATTGGAATAAAGTATGTATTGCCCCGGGGGGGCCATTCCAGTTTCTTCTCTTTCAGCTTCCTCGCTAGATTTTCAGCTGCATTTGAAGGAAGTGACATGCTGGTGGATTTGTTACTTCGAGGTAGAGGATCCGCAACAATTCGGTAGCCTATGATATTGGGTCGATTTTTGGTGGAGTACGGATCAAGCCCAGGCTATTGTTGTTTCTTTGGTACGCTGGACTTGTCAGTCTCAGGGTCATGCACTTGGATGCAGGGCACATACAATGTTGTGCTGTGAGCAATACACAGCCTTCCTAAAACATTAGCAGGGCTTCAAATGTACCGGACAAGATAGCGAGAAAGCTGGCGGCAGTTGTAAAATGAAGTGAATCATCGTCTGGCTTGGGCGAGGTCAGAGAGCTCCTGGGGCTATAAGGCTCTTTCATGCGGGCTCCGGTTTTCCAGTGACTGCCTTGCTGATTCATCTCGGGCATCTCACTGGATATCTAAAGACTCATCTAGGCACATTTTCCGGGAACCACAAGGCGCAGTGTTGTTGACGCCTGGTGGGCGGCTGGGCGGGCTTCACCAGACCAGATGGTGAGTGGAACACTCGGTGACTGGTTGCGGCAGTGCTCGCCCTTTCTACGCCCGACTGCTGCTGGAGGGTGAATCTTGGCGGATCATTCGCTGATGTGTTATGCAGGGTTCGATGCCGAACTGTTGCCTATCACATCTGCCCGGCACTGCGTCTGGTTCAAAGACCCAATATACAACCCTGTTCACTGGCTTATGACTCGGTTGCCTTTGATCTGCTATCCTACCTTGGGATGAATGAAAAGCTTCTGATACAGTACATGTCCAAAAATATGTCTAAAGCTATCCAAACCCTCAAATCTAATACTCGTTCTTCCGAGATGGAGCATGATCTTCTTAGCATGCCAATCACTATACCTCCGTTCGTCTTCGCTGGCGATTTCGAGCCCCTGAAAACTGCCCCCAAAACCATCTCAGCCTTTCACGCATCTTAACCCTGGACCATAGGGAGTTGTGACTGAAGGCTTTCTCAAAGATCGGTCCACCTTTCTGTTTGCTGTCTCGCTTGTTCGATGAGTACAACCACAACTGCCACGCGAGAAGCGTAGCAGCAGTGAGAGGAACAGTAACCACGGCAATCCACCAGGCATCTTTAGCGATTGAAATGGTACCATTATCATCAACATGTACAAGTTGAGTGGAGAAGAAGCCCTTCGATGTTTAATCAATATTTGGTCAGAGCGACGGTTTGGAGAGGAGAACATACAGAAACAACGGTGATAGGCAAATATATGAGCGTAATTATTGTGAGGATCTTAACTGCTATTTGGAGTCAGTTATTTGTCTCCTAGTCAGAAGAATTATCGACTCCATACCTGCAGCATCATGTGTGCTTTTCTCCTAGAGAATTTCAGTATACCATACCTTTGACAGGCCTTCAGAGCCGACTTACTGTCAATATTCGTACTTTGCCATGTTCATTTCTTGTTTCCTGCATGAGGCCACTGAGAGATTTTGCATTCTCATATTCGAGTAGGTCGGAAAGCTACCAGAATGTCAATTTTTGAGGCTGGTTCATCGGGAATTTGGGCATACAATCTGAGCAACACCTTGCACTCGCTTGTGCAAAATCCCTGCTCTTTTTGTGTTCAATTGAACTTCTTTCATCTGCTCCTCAAGCTCCTCGATTATGAGAGAGCATGTGCAGTTTTTATGACCTTGGCAAAGGCAAAAGCGACGAGATTGTCGTTGAAGTTTGGAAAGAGTATCAAGAAGTGAGCCGAAGATGACTTCAAGGTCCAGAATCTTATCCTCTACCCTTTTTATTCGTTGTCTGTCAAGAAAGTTGAGAACCAGGTCTGGAAGTGGAGAGAGCGGTTCTTCCGCGCTTTGAACTTGGGCCAACGTCACACGGTCTGACTATTTATTCGCCAATTAGAGTTCAAACCGAGACTAAAGTGGCCAGAAGCATACCTGATCTTTCAATACTTGCTCAAGTCCTCTTATGTATAGCCTCCAATTATCTTGCAAGGTCGAAATCAATCCTCCGTGAAGCTCAAAGGCATTCAATTCCTTCCCGCTGTCTTTCGCCTGACCAATGGCTGCTTCTAAACTCTGTCTCGCAGGGTCTGAAGGAGCTATTAGAACGAAGATCATTTTGTCATTACTGCGCTGGTACTGTTGGTAGACAGCTGTTTGCCTGATTGACCAGGGATCATAATCAGGATACGATTCGAGCTGTTTTTCGCGTTGATTCCGAACAACATAGCGAAAGCTGTAGGCCAGTTCTGTGTTATGTTAGCATTATTGCTCATCGAAGATGAGAGGTTTCTTACCCCACGAGCCGCCTTTTGGGGTTTCAGGGAAAACAGACTCAATATTGCCAAACTTGAAAGGTGGGCTTCCAACATCGGCGGACTCTCCGGTTTGGAAACGGAATGGGAGAACAAAGTCCCAGATGGCGGGGAACATCGAGAACGCAGAGAGTAGCCACTCAAAAAGGTCATACGTAATATAGAGCCTGCTATAAGAGTTCTTTTGGTAGATGCTGAATATTTGACATGCATCCGGTTGAGCCTTAACCACGTGAGCTTATGATCGAACATCTTCAGAAATACCAACGTACAACAAAGTCATCTAGCCCAACGACAGTGTTAATCAATCGCCGTTGATTGTGCTCTCCCTTCGTTGAATCAGTGCCGGGTAAGTTGGATTGAAAACTCGTGATCTCCAACTTGGAATCTTCATGGAGCGGACAGAATGTGTCTGCAAAGTCTTCATCAATTTCGCTGACGAGTGATGACCCATCCCAATCAGAAAGCGAACCACTTTTCATATCCATACTTTGGAATGCAGAATTTATGTACTAAAGCTTTATTGAGATAGAGATATATTTAAACGCGTGGAGCATCGACTGAGGGGACGAACAGGTGGGGACGGTATTTACGTCCATTAGCTATGCTGCATTTTTACTGCCGAGGTGGAACGACTGGGAGCTCGCATTCGTTTTCAAGTCCGTCTTTCCACTGCGAACCTTGAATGAATTGAGTGAATTATTTACAAATCAAGCAAGAGATGCGTCGAAGGCACGAGTCCAAAAAGACTCAGCCTCGTTGCCCAGGACTTCGGCACGACACGGAAAACTCGCCATAAGTGCTGAGGCTAGTGCAATCGGTCCAGTGCTCGCTGCCACATGTTTTGCACATCAAATCATACGGGAAAACCAACTTGGTATGGTGCTCAATTTCGTAATTGGGGTGTCTAAGCCTTGATGCGTTGGCAAGTTTTGAGCCTCTCGTAACCCTCAAGGGGCATGTTCGGCAGGGAATCCTTGTGGCAACAGCACGCCGACTTGAGCGACATGCTGTCCGCTACCCAAACTTTCCAGATTTTGTCGTCTTATTGCGCAGACGAGTCTGCATCCAATGTGCTACAGACTGCGCCCTGATCTGCCGACTAGAATTGGAGACGAAACAACAGCGTAGTATCTTTTAGATCAACGCTGCAGATATGGCGCATGGGCCATGATATGTCTCCATGCCCGAGTGGTACTTCAGTTCAGGGACAGAAGGTGTGGATGGATTATCACAGATTTCCGCAACTCCGTAAAGGGGGGCAAAAGCGGAAGATTGGGCCGCCAGGCAGATTCTATAATCTGACCGATGGCTTCGCCATTGATAGTTGGAAACTCCTCCGAAATCAGCCATCATTGAGGCTTCAGCAGAGTAGTGCGTTCTCCGAAGTCTCTGGCGCTTCCCTTCTCTCTGTAGCCAGTATGCCAGCCCAGCAAATAATTGAGGGACGCTATGTCGACCGAAGGAAGTTATTGCTCCTCCTTCAGAAACGTTTCCCAGCAAGAAATTACGCCGTCAGGGTGAGTCAACGCGCTCGCGTCAATCAGTAAGAGCTGATCATTGGTAGCTGCAACTGAACTGCTGGATTTTGACGGTCCCTCAATCCCTCACTGAGGTATTGGCCACATCGTTGTTGAGCTTTGGCCGCAGCTGACACCGACCGACTAGGAGGATATCAACCACTGCTGTATCGAGTGAGGATCCTAGAATATGCGAGGAAGCCCTCTGGAATTACCGTCCCAAACCTCTGTTCGTTGTTCGTGGTTGCGGGTCTGGACTTGGAGACGGAGGCGCCCATTGTCAGAGAAAATTTGGCTCCTCGCTTGAAACTCACAGCATGGAGTGTGCGGTCATTTTAATACGTTGCATTGGGATCCGGATGTATTTCAACGAACACAGTCTCCAAACTCAATAGATAAACCATAAGGCCTACTGGCCCCACTCGCGCAATATCTCCAGGAAGATTAATGGGTTGATCTTCCTCAATTTTCGACTCTAAACTGGGAGCCTACAGCACCAGATCATTTCAAGAATTCAAGAACCCTGTCGTGAAGCCGTGGAAATTTTTATACACTGTTCAAATATTGCTTTACTCTCGCGAAACAGTATCACAACATCAATACGAGCCTGGTAAGCTATATGTCTAAGTCCAATATCTGTTCCCTGCTGTCGATTCCTGGTCCGAGTCTCGCAACAAGTTCCGAAAAATATACCTAACGCCTCCCTATGCATGGCCTTGTGCTTCTCTCTTCAATCTTCGCACGGTACGTAAGGTCATTATTTACAAAGCTAACATCGTACAAAATGATCTTGCGCAAACACCGAAAAGGACATGTTGGCCAAGTCTCGGGGATGAGATTGGTGATGTATTCTCCAACATCTGACGCCGACTTGGAGTTCAATTGTGAGGTGCTTCAGAGTCGAGGATACCACTTAACCGCTTGGGGAGTGATACGCCCTCTTGCGTCGCTGGTGATATGATATCACCGTTCCGGTGAAAAGCTGCTAGACTTTGTGGGTGTGGCTGCTGAGTTCGTTGTGGGAATGGTTTCGGGTCCGTGAGGTAAAGAGGGTCACTCGATGCATGTTTCAACATGTCGGATAGTTCTTCATTCAACTGGCCTATTCGAATTCGTTCTCCTGGAATCACCAACAAGAGGTGGCTTGATATTAGATCCAAGAAGTCGTGAACAAAAGCTGAGGCGCGTGGCATCTCGTGCAGATCTGCAATCCAATCTATCACGGATTGTCGAACCACCGCTCGGTTCTCGCTTTCGTTGATGGTGAAGAAAGTGTCATCAAGAAATTCAGGTGCGGGTGGTCCTCTCATTTCACGCACTTTAGGAAATCGTTGAAGATGTTTCCATCCGCAGACAAGCCACGTGACGAATTCGAGGTAAAGGCAGCCAAGACTCCAGATGTCAAACGCACGAGAGATTTTAGAATGAAGGAGGAAGCATTCTGGTGGTTCATAAGATGGCGACCCGGTGATGTGTTTTGCGGGCACGTCCGACCTGGTGTCTTTCGTGTGGAACGCCATTAGACCAAAGTCGGCAACAACAAGCACCCCAGGCGAATCATCATTTTTCTCAAACCACAAGATATTCTCAGCTTTGATATCACCGTGGCGGCCGTAGATTCGAGTTTGATTTTCATCTTCCGAATGCGAACTGCCTACCCCAGAACCGCTCGATTCAATGGCAGAGACGGCGAATTCCCGAGTGGATCTCGACTCGTGGACCATGTGCAAAGCAGAAGCCACAAACCTGCACTCCTGCAACATCCAGAAAACTGTGGCTTGGGTGAAGTCTGGATTCGGTGTGTGTTGCCAGTATTGGCGCAAGTTGCAATGTGCGTAAGGGAAAATCAAGTAGAAGTGGCTCTTGTAACGATACGTCGCAAGCAGGTTGACGAGGTGGGCATGTTTCCGTTTCTTTAGCTTTTTCAACATGGCAACTTCTTCCTTGAAGTTTGATTCATTCTTGGAATGTAGTCGCTTGATTGCGACGAATTGTGACAAGGACTAAAACGGGTTAGCAAAAGACTCCCATTCTTCGACGGAAGAGGTAAACTTGAAGAGCTGGAGGGAGGAGGCTTTACCATTTGATTGGCATTTCCGACGATTCGCTGGTGAGCTGGATGGATGGCGATTTTGGAAACAGAGCCATACCCACCCACCATGGCACTATCACCGCGCTCCTCGTCTTCAACCCAAGGCAGTACGCAATTGTCATGCAGGTCATAGTGTGCGATTCCGTCATGGTACTCGAAGACTGGAGCCAACATGCACCATTGGTCTCGCCCAAACTCATCGACCAAATCACGGTCCCATCTTTCCATGCAATTGAGTGGCTGGCCTGGATGATGCCGGCTGCACAGCTTATAATCCCTCGCCCTTGGGGTCTTGTCCGATCGAATAAATGGCAGATGCGTATCATCGATGCCTTCTTCGAGAAAGTCGAGTATGAGTTCTCCGTGTCTCAGGTAAACTAAGATGGCAAAGAGCTTCGGCGCGCTATTCATGATGTTTTCGGAAGTGGAGCGGGCCACATCCTCACTCTTGCCCCGTTCTTCCAGCTCCATTGATACCGAATCAGCTGTCACCAGAAGTTTCTGATCATCTGCGGGAATGAAGTATCTATGGCTGTTCTGCGGCGCCTCGATCCTCACCTCGCAGAGCTTTTCTCGTAATGTCGATTCGTGACCAGTGTCTTTATGGGATACGAAATCGCTGTCCTGGTCTCCCGCCTCGGACATGGTCTTGTTGTTTTGATTCAGGGTGAATATGTCGGAATCGGCGTGGTATGACGAGCTTGCAACTGATAGAACTTTGAGTCGGCGCGATTGCTCATCTGCACCTGATCTTGAATCCCCATCTTGATCTACTTGAAGACCTCCGGGGGGCGGTGGGCTTGGCGAGGGTCTCCGGACGCTCCCCTGCCCGGACGAAGGAACCATGGACTCCTTGGGGGATTCAATTCTGACCTCCTTATGAACGTTAGTGGCAGCTTGGAGAGACAAAGTGTTCATTCTGACTTACTGGAATAAGATCTTTCTTGGGGCTATCGAGACCAAGGACTCTTCGCCCGCGCCGCACCCAGGAACCCAACTTCTGCTGAAGGGTTGGGAAGCACCACCAAGCCATCGTTGAGAGCTAGGATGCGGTGTAGGGAGCACACTTTCAGACCCCCATTTTTGATGATAGCGGGGCGAAGGCTTTTAGACCGCTGGAGTATTTAGTGAGCCTCCGGCAATCCTCAAGCCACAACGCTCAAAGACTGCTTGCTGCATGGCTTCCGATACAGCCTTCAAGAGTGCCCAAACATTATATGGTCTCTCATTCCTCAAAAAGTAGGCAAGGCTTACTACCGTGCAGCCAGCAAACGGGGCGAAGACTTGCCCTCACGCTAGGGCTTCCTAGACCCTAGAATGATGTCGAGTTGGGGGTTTCGGCAGGAGCTCACCGCCACTACCTGCACTGCTTGGCCACTCCACCAAACTTTGTTGCAGCACTGCTTTTGTTCACCGAGAACCTTGCCCGGGATGCAATATAAATCTGCAACCAAAATGACAAAAGCATCACTGGGTAAGTCAGTGCGTTTTGTGCAACAGCTGGTTGGAATCAGGGGCTCAAAGGCAATGACACGTGTGCCATGTTCTCCTGCAGAAGCAGCGAAAGTTCTCCCAAAAGGAGGACATGGAACTGACAACAAGATTACCAGGATACCGAGGTGTGGACACGCTTTCTTCGAGAAGATGCCCTTTGCGGCACCGATCAATCATAAGAGACGAGCATCTTGAATGGCATTGACATGTATATCTGCAGATCTGTATGTTACGGCAAGTGCACGATAGCGTGACCGGTGAGCCAGGGCCGGAGCCTATCGGTCCGTGGCGTCACATCCTTCAGTAAGGACTAAAAGCGTTGATGCTTGCGCCCTCCCCGGGAGACAGGTTTTGACGGCTTTCTGGAGCCATTTTCCACATGCCCGAGACGATATTTATTGGAGGTGTGACACCTAACAATGGTCATTCTCGCGTAGACTATAAAATTCCCATTGTCTAGAGACTGGGTTCCCTGTCCATGTGGAAGAACTCTGGTTACATCTTCCGATTCTTCACTAGAGTTAGGAAATTTCGATTTACCTGGATAACTCGCAGACTTGGTAGGCGGTTGGCAGACACTTCCTCGCCGAGTAGGTCAAAATAAAAGGTATTTATGCCCGTGTTGATACCGAACGCAGCAAGAGAGCTCTCTGGCTGGCACGGAATCACGGCCGTGGCGCTTGCTCATGGGCTGTGATGCGCAGTCCATGCCACTTGATCGTGCATGGGGGGCTATGAATACAGCAAGAAGAGCGCACGACGCAGAAAAGAGCCCCAAATCGCTCTGTCAATGACACCATCGGATTTCATTGGGTGGCCAACCAAGTAGAACCCCGAACGACACTGTACTGAATGAGTGGTTAACGGCTGGTAGGTCTCGATTTTGGTCGCCCTCTGTACCGTGCAGCCAGGTTCTGTATGCGAGATGATCTTTCGGGGCAAGTCTCGAACCTCAGAATACATCAGCCACCGAATCCCGTGTCAACCTTCAGCGTCTCAGTATGCATATCCAGCGTCCGCGGGCGTGGCCTGCCAGAGCGCAGGCCAGAATCATGTCCCAAAGGGCCCCCCGCCCCGCCCCAAAGGGGTGTCTTCCTCCATTTTGGAGCCTCATATCCATCAGCCAACAAATCGCTTGCCTTTCCCCAGCGTCTGGAAGCACCGCAAGATAAAGCTCCCGCAGATCTGGTTTGCAGAGTCGTGCATGCAATCGAATCATGGCCTAAAAGATATCTTCATCCGTTCGATCCTGCAATGCACGCATGTGCGCCTGCACAAAGCCCAACCATCTCAGCCAGCATGCTGCGGGGTGCGTTCTTATCTGGATGTCGTACAAACCCTCAAGAAATAGGCCTCGAGGTGATCATTCTGCACGGTCCGCCATCTCGACTGATTTTCGACCGCATGAGTATCAGCCTTGTAGGACAGGTCCGGTTCCGAGAAGAAAGTCTGAGCTGCGGATCGTACATACATGATATGTTGTCTTGATTGAATACAGGAGAAGATGGAATGGAGCTTGCGGAGTGCTCCCCGCGACGTCTGTCGAGAGCGAGAAAATTTCGCTTGGCACCAGCGAGCCAAGGATGTTGGAGCTCTCATCTTCAGGGGCTGAGCAGCTGTTGCTGAATGAGTTGACAGTGCATGCATAAAAACACAGCTGGTTGGCAATCATTTGTAGGAAACCTTGCTATTGCGGCTCTGCGACAAATTTGCAATTAACCAGCAACGTTCGAGACACAGATGACAAAGTAATTGATGTAAGATATCACTAAGCACCCTGGATTACCTAGCGATTGTCTCGGCTCGTGGTCTCAACTACTAGTCCTCAAGTGGCCCCCTTCTGCTTCCTATCTGCCTTGCTCCACCTTTGGGGACTCCTTCCCCGCACCGCCTTCTCTCCGGGTCTTTGCGCCCTCCTTCAGCTTCTCCCATCTCTCCCTGTACCTTGCAACCACAGTCTTCAACTTCTCGTTCTCCTTTCCTAAACGGTCGACCTCCTTTCCACCCAAGGCAACGTGCTCCTCCAACTCTAGCACTCTACGTTTCAACGCCTCATCACCACCGCGGCCAGACACGTGTTCTCTTGCCGGACTCATCGGGCGCATCAGCCTCATGCTTTCTTGCAAAGCCATACTGCTCTGCTGGGCGGACATCTCGAATGCGTGAAGTCGCTTGCTTAGTTTGTCGATACAGTCCTTCAAACTCTTGTTCTCCATGTCCAGTTCCTCAACTTTATTTTCCAGGTCCCTCCCACTCAGTTTACGAGTACTGCCCTTCCTCGTAAAGCTCGGCGATGTCGGCATGGGGGTTTCCCTTGCATCGACAAAGTCATCCTCTTCATTAGGGTCACTGAATAGGTCAGGGTTCTCGCTGTGGATAGAGGCTGCCAATCTTCGCTTTTCTTTCTGGTCGAAAGACATTATTTGTGCATATGAGACAGTGTGGCCAGTTGTGGGCACCACGTAAAATGAGTCATTGCCAGATTGACCATCGCGAGCTGATGCTCGAAGTGCCGCCCGAGAGATGTATTTTGTGAGATCTGGATCGGACCCGGTCCGTTCCTTACTCCTCGAAGAGCGTTTCTTTGAGGAGGCTGGTTCTGGTGCTGGAGGTGCAGGACCGTCTTCGGAGATCAAAGGCAGACCAGCGAAGGCAAGAGGGGCGGACAGCTTAGAGAGTATGTTTTCAAAAGTATTGTAGAACCGCGAAAAGCCTTCATCAGTCGAGGTTGATGCCTGCTCGGCGACCGCAGATGTTTTGGGCGTCGTTGCTTGAGGTTCTGACTTTCTCGGGCCAGCTTGAGTAGGTGGAACCCAACTTGGTTGAGCATGTTCCGGAATGCTAGGAACTTTTGACCGCTTGCCATCTCTCCGCGGGAGTGCCTCTAAACTGCCGGGAGCTTGATGCGTAGAAACACTTGGAGACAAGGGTTGACGGGTATAATTTGCACGTATCCCTCTCGCTGAAGCAAGGTTACTGGCAATGGAGGAGCTTAGATCGCGAGGAGGAAGACGTCGCGGATGCTGTAGACTCGGTGGGTGGGCACGAGGTCCTAGGTCAGATTTCGAGGCACGCAACTCTGCCACCGCCGCAGATGTTGAAAGAGGCTTCTCTGCAACAGCTTGGATCTCAGGTTCTGCAGACGTAGAGCTGGGTGGATTCTCGGAAGGGTATCGAAGAAGCTCGGAGAGCCTTTGGTGATACTGCTCCAGCAGTCTCAAGGTCCTCAAGGCCTCTGCACTTCCGGTCCCTGACGCCGCCCTCGCAAATTCCCCAGCCGCAAGAACATGTTGGTTGATGGCGACGGTTGTATCGGAGCTTTGAGTTGCGACAGAGGCGGCTCGAGCATGGTCATGGGCCTAGAAAGTGGGTTAGCTAAGGAAGGGGCAAGTCTGTTGCTGTGAGACGCACTAGAATTAGAGGTGAGGATTCCATGCTTGAAATAGACGTATCAAGAAACCTGAAGGTCCTCTAGAACCATACTCGTCATCTTATTATGGTTTGGCAGAAACAGAGATGTTAATATAGTCACAAGGGTTGTTTTTAAGCGGAGGTGATGTGCGGCCTGAGGCAATTGACGTTGCGGCCGCCTTCCGGGCCAATGACGTGCACCAGAATCTGGTGGGGCTGCCACTTGATTGGAAAGAACGAAAGGGGAGGGGCCTCCTGGTGGAAAGGAAACTTAGAAATGCCATGATCATTGTTTTCCATCCTTTTGGATACCCTGCGCAAATTATTTCGCCCCGGTTCGGACCAGGGGTCCTTTGGCGCGGATCTCATTAGAACCTACTGGACGACTACTGCATTTTCCCGCTGTTTGTTCAGCCAGCCTGAGCCTACCGTCCAGCTGCTGAAGAGAAGGCGCTTCAAGCCATCAACATCGCCTCGACGATATCTCTACGAACTCAACTCTTGCGAATCCCAGTCTATATGCAGCAGCATCAATCTGCGAAGTGCCTATCTCCTCCCCTCGGCCTTCCTGCCTCCAGAGCGACTACGAACAGATGTCTTTCACCATGACAGAGAGATCGGACTCGCCCACGAGGAACGGCTTTGCCCAGATCTTCACCAAAACTCGTAATCGTGACAAGAAAGGCAGAGACTCTGCGGGGAACTCTATCAAGAGCAACGATGATGGCCTGGGTCTTCGAGGTTCTGTTGAAGATGCAATCGAGAAGATGAAAGGCAGCACTAGCACAGAGGATGAAGGCGAGTCCAATGGTATCAAGAAGCTTGTGCCGATGGGAATTGGGTCGAAAAGACGGCAGAGGAAGAAGGAGAAAGAGGAAGAGGAACAGCGGGCAAGTGAGGAAGCAGCTCGGGGGAGAAGTGTCGCAGATCGCGGTACACTTCGCAACGATGGCGGCAGTCCCGTTAATGGGTCTGGAGATGGAAGCAGCTTGATCACTTGTGATTCTGATATTGAGTCGTAAGTATTTCCCTACTCTCGGTCCGTAGTTGAGTCGTACCCCATACGCCGTATCGATGCGTACGTGATACGAGAACCGCGTTCCCGCAGCTGAAGCGAATTCTCGGCCGAAAGCTCCACCTCCATCGCAGGCTTCCCCTTAAGACGCAGACGCTCTCTCTATTATCAGACTGGCTACATCAAGGTTTATGCTTGCCACCGCACAGTATTAACTCTCTGTTCTTCTGTCCATTCGTTTGCACCCAGTTTTGTTTTGCATTAATCGCGGAAGCTTTTTTGCCCGGTCTGGATAAATTACGTGGGCTTGCCGTTAACTTGTGTCCCCTCACAGACCTCTCGAAACACCGCCAACACTGTCCACACATCCTTCACACATTGGATACCTCACGACCTCCTCCCCTCTTGTCCATTCTACAACCCTGCCGGAGCCCAACCTGGCAGACGCTCAAGTAGACGGCGCGCCCACCCCTCGAGCTTCAACGTTCCCGAGGAACGTCGACCTGGCGGCCCTAGAATCAGCTCCGTCACTGTTGGACAAATCTCTTCGAACTCCTACAAACGTATCACAGAAGCGATCGCCGTCGCCAGTAGGCAGAATAAAAGAGGTTTTCAAACCACGACGCGGATCAAGCCCAAGTCGAAGCCCAGAACGCAAGCCTGGTGGGGTTGGGGTCCTTAAGAAGGAGGGCAGTGGAGGAGACGGCAGACGTGGGAGTGTCGCATCGAGAGTTGGTTCTATATTCTCTGACAGGCAATCATCTCCCCTTCCTGTGTCGGTGACGAATTCCCCAGAGCGACCGCGCACGGCGAAGATTCAACAAATCGATACGAATGCTTCGCCGCAAACACCACCACCTGGAGAGAACATTGCCCCTCTTATTGTGAATACCCCTCCAACTCCAACAGATACCAGTTCACCGCGCTTTGAATCCGTTCGAGAGCGGGGGGCTTCAGATCCCGCCTCCTCAAATCCAAATGTCATTACTTCTGCTTCGGGTAATATGATCTCTCATCGAAGAATTCGATCCGGATCAGCAACTCTTGGGCCCAGCAAATTGTCGAGTATCACGTCAGCTCCCTTGACGCCCACACCCGAAAACGGCTCAATCACGCCGGGATCAGGCGGCTTTTTTTCAACAGTGTTTTCAGCCGCACAGAACGCAGCAAACACCTTGAGCAACAGCATAACTAACACTTCGGTGGCACCCGGTGGCAATCGGAGTAGGAGTGGCACACAAGACTTGAAAGAGTTGAAGGAGGTGGACGATCCTGTAGTGGAAACATTAGTCGAGAAGATAGACTCAGAAAATCCCAGCGAGGAGAAAGAGCTCGCAGTCAAGACGCTAGGTATGGGGGACCTGAGTCTAAGCGCCCTTGGAATTTCCGAGAACAGTAGTGGCACAAACACACCGGTAGGCACAAAGTTCTCGGAGGAGCCACGAGGTAGATCTGAATTTACCAACGACGACTCCCGAAATATCACGACAGCGTTACCAAGTTCCGAGAACTTTGATTCTACTAATACATCCACACTCGACGATCTCCAACCCTTGGTCCGACCTCGATCAATATACGAACCTTCCGTGGCTGGAGAACAGACTCCACCCAATGGCAGCGTGTTTGAAGGTAAAGCAGGAATTCAACGAAGCGGTAGCATTCGAAGCGCCATAGGAGGCCGGCGAAAGAGAGGAAGTTCGGCAGCAACGGGGACTACTATTGGAGCTGCCATTGCCGCTGCCCATGCTTCTGTTGCACAACCAACTGCGGGCACTCCTAAGATTACCGGATTTGCTGTTGCAAGTAAGAAGCGCAATAGAGATTTCCATAATCTTTTTAGAAGCGTTCCAGATGACGATTACCTGATTGAAGACTATAGTTGTGCTTTGCAGAGAGAAATTCTTGCTCACGGTCGACTGTATGTCTCGGAGGGTCATCTGTGTTTTAGCAGCAACATCTTTGGCTGGGTCACTACTCTGGTAATGAGTTTCGATGAGATCGTTTCCGTCGAAAAACGAAGCACGGCGTTGGTCTTCAAGAACGGACTTATGATATCCACCCTGCATGCAAAGAACATTTTCGCCAGTTTTACGAGTCGAGATTCGACTTATGATTTAATTGTGGGCATCTGGAAGCTCGGCCACCCAAGTCTGCGAAGTTCACTCAATGGCGTGAGAATTGAGGAGACGGGCGGTGGAGACAAGACGGAGAAAGATGATGGAATTGTCGCTCCAGCTAGTCAGAGTGATTCGGAATCGGGCAGCGACGAAGAGGATGGTGATGAGATATATGATGAAGACGAAGATGACGAGGATGGTATGAGCTTCACCCAGGCTGAAGGAAGTGTCGCCGGAAGTGATATTGCGGAGAAGAGCGTCAGCCGAAAACCCTCCGCTGCGGTAGTGCCTAACGGCACTCCACCAGAAAAGACCAAGGAAGATGCCCCTGCAACATCTGCCGGTGACTTTCCGGGGCCCGCAACGCATGCTCCCACGAATTGTACGGATCAAGACACCCATTACGCCAAAGTCCTTGCAGATGAGGTTATCCCTGCTCCACTCGGAAAGGTATATAGCCTCACGTTTGGACAAGCATCCCTTACTTGGATGCGAAACTGGTTGACAGTGGAGCAAAAATGCCTGGAACTGACCATGGACGATAAGAAGCCTCTTGGCCTGGACAACAAAGTCCGAAACTATTCTTATATAAAACCCTTGAATGGCGCCATAGGACCCAAGCAGACCAAGTGCATTTGCACAGAGAACCTCGATTCCTTGGACTTCGAAAAAGCTGTATCGGTCACGATTTCAACTCAGACTCCAGATGTACCAAGTGGTAACGTTTTCAGTGTCAAGACAAAGTACTGCCTTTCATGGGCTGAAGGAAACGGTACCAGATTGCAAATGAGCTGCACCATCGAGTGGACTGGAAAGAGTTGGCTTAAAGGTATGCTCTGCAGTCTCGTTGAAGAATATTCCCACTAAATCTGGTGTCAGGTCCAATTGAGAAAGGTGCAAACGATGGCCAAGTCCAATATTCAAAGGATATCGTTGCGGCACTGAAAGCAGCTGTTTCATCGCGTCGCGGTACTACAACGATCACTCAAGGCAAAGCCAAAAAGAAGGGCCGCAAGGGTCGGGAATCGAAAAGCATCAGCAAACAAACCGATGGTGCTTCAGATTCCAAACCAACTACTTCAAATTGGGGTTTGTTCGAGCCCGTTCACGCCTTACTGGAACCGGTGGTGGACATTGTGAAGCCACTACTCACAGGGAATATTCTCTACGGGCTTCTTGTGGGCTTGCTGGTAGCCAGCTGGTTCCGGTTCGGATTTTCGGGCAAGGGTAGCGGCAGTAGAGATCTTGGGATGGGGTACTTTGGTACTCCCGAGAGAGTGGCCGCCTATGAAGAGATCTGGAGAAGAGAGGAAAGTGAGCTTTGGGAATGGCTCGAAGACCGGGTTGGTATGGACCGCCTTCGCGATGTAAGCAAGATGCCCATCGAAGCACAAACGATGCAAGATAAGCTCAAGGAGGAGAAGATGGACGAGCGAGAGATGGATGCTGCTATTCGAGTTACGGAGGAGAAACTTCGGGTATTGAAGGTGAGCGTGGAGAAGAATAAAGCTGATTTCAAGCGGATGTTTGGTGATGGGAAGGGAAAGTCGAAAGTGAGTGTTAATGATGATAATACATGAATACTAGGTGTTAGACGTAGCATATTGGTGTTCGGCGAGGCTGGCTTGGATTGGGGTTTATACATAGCGTCACAAATACCATTTGCTTTCAACTCTTGAAGTGACAGTGTCACCGACGATTTTCTATGAACCCCTGTTTAAGGCATTGATAGGGAGGCGAGAATCTGGCTGGTAGAATCGAGGAATGAATGTGTAATTCTTCTGCTATGTTCAGTACCAGATCTTATCTCTCACGCTGCCCACCCATCCTTCCCTTTCCCTCTCGTCGTTGTTCACAACAAAGACCCCTCATGTAGTGCAGTAAGTGTGAGCTTTAGCATCAGGGTAAATATGGTTAGTGCGGCACGGGTTGTTCATTCCCTCAATGCGTCAGCGCCATACTCATCCCCTTTCTCAACACAAAAATACATACTTTGTGGTAAAGAGGCGGAGTTACAACAACATAATTGCTGCTTGGACTGTGGACAGTAACCACGTCACCACTGGGGGTAAGGCCATCCTCGCTGTTAATCTCCTCTTGGCCGCCGACAGTCGCAGAACCGGTCCAGATCGATGTGGTGCTTGCCGGAACCGTTGAAGTCGTCGGCGCCTTGTTGGCAGTAGTCCTCACCCAGTTCTCATTCAGCTCCCTTTCTTTTCATGGCTGGAGGTTCCTATCACTTACAACGAACATAGTTCTCAAATATGGCACATAACGATCTCATATTGGCTGAACTCCCCTGAAGCGGAAGCCATAGTCAAGGGATCACTATATATTCCTGTGTCGCCGGCGCCGTGGTTGCGGCCGCCGCAGTTGTAGTGCGGAGGGAGGGTCGTTGTCTGGGTAGCCGTAGAAGGTCAGCTCGACCTGCCTTGACGTGAGCAGGCTGCGAGGGCGGTGGAGGTGAAGGCGGGGATTGCGGTGACTGTTGTAGACTTCATTTTCAAGAGTTTGTTCCTGCAACTGTCTCTTGAATGATGTGAAGGATGTGTGAAGAAGGTTCTTGAAGAAGGAAGTTTGAAAATTGTATTTGTGATGATGGACTGAGATAAGAAATGGGGATGATAGAAGGGTTTTCACATTGGAGTTGAGTCAAACTTCTCTCCTTGGTGGAGGCTAGAAGTGACTTGAATATCCAGGAGCCTGCGTGCATCGGGACCCTTTCCACCCAAGAGAAGTCGTGATCGTCATCAGAACTACGCCAGGTTATCTTCTGAAGTTATTAAAAACGCAGGAATGGAAGAATTGGGTAGACCAAGGCGGTAAGTCCCGCCAATTACCGTAAAGCTCTAGTCTATCAAGGTCCTTCACTAATGCCAGCGAAGGTCCGAACCCCTTCCCGTTGGTCAGCAAGGCTTTAAACAGCAGACAGCTCCCTATTTGGAGCCAACTTTTGGAGCCGACCCCAGAAGTCTCTCCACAATTATGCGATGTTACGACTTCCCTGTGGAGCTAGCAGAGAAACCCTTAAAACGAGGATATCCTTATCTCGGGTAACCTTATAGCAAGTTTTTACTGTATTCTCAATCTCCAACTCTGCGTCTCTTTCATCTTCACATCTCCTCATCTGTTGGCTGCCGGTTATGCTTGAAAGTGGCATATTGTGATTGTCAGACAGATAATCAGTGTCATTGTATGTTTGCCGAACATTATATGAGAGAACATAGAAATTATTTGGATGGCACAAGGACTTTGGAGACTAGAGGAGAAATTTTTAGCTTCTTTTCTATGGTCCAGCTCTCTTTGAACGTTGCTGTCAAGGAGTGAGTAACACCAAAATAATACCAATTCCTTGACACGTCTAACATGGCAATCCTGCCGTAATCTTTGGACTTGAGATAGGTTGCACAATGGCAGTGGATCTGTATTCTTAACATCCCATCAATGATCTGATCATGATAGAGTGTTGGGTCACGTACGCAACTCGCTAAGCTCTCGCTTGTAGTGAATCAATCCTGGCCACGTCCACGTGTTCCCCCTTAATTCACGTCATATCGAATGATAGTTGTGCACTTTCTTAACTTGTTTCTCTTTTGTAATTGGGAAGACACGAGATTCTGACTCACATTTCAGGAACAAATATGGTTCTCACTTCGGGAGGTTCACTCCCTCATACCCCCCGTCAATAAGCAAACAACATCTACACGCTAGAACGATAAATTCAAAACAACTTTGCCTTCCGGAGGTTACTCAACAAAAGCATTATAGGACGTACCTCAAACAAACCCGAGTCGATTATCATGAAGCTCGTCATCTCCGCCAACATCTTCCCCGCTTTTGCCATGGGTCTCATTCTCCTTACAATCCACGTCTCGGCCACCACCGAGAGAGGGTTGTCAGTTGCCGCTTCCCAGATCTCCAGCAATTTCAACAACCCAACAGCTGTTCGCGTCTTTTCTGACCCAACTACTTGCTCTTCCGGTCGGGTTCCTATATATACGAACCCGAAGGGTGGCCGTGTTGACTGTGGTGACGTCAGTGAAGGATATCGCGGCAAGATTCCGGTTCCGTTCATTGCAGTCATACTTGTTAGCTACGTTATGTTCGGTGTCTTCAAGGCTATGCTTTGAATCGTCAGGCGAGGCACTTGGAAAGGGGAGACATGGGAAGTCAGAAAACTGGGACATGAATCAGCGGTTGCCAAGCAAGCTGGGAGTCAGATGGATAAACGTGAAGCTTGGAGAGAGGTTCGGGGGTTGAGGAGTTGAAAAATGGCTTTGGATGTTGATGCGTTGGAAGGAGAGTATGCCGTAGATTCGTGGATGTTTGAAAACCCCACTCAAACCGTATGCCTCGCGTGTTTGCGACACTACTGATAAACACCTTCATATTCCTTGATGCAGCTGTTCAATCTTTCAGTCTAGTTGATGCATCTAGGCGCAGGGGGTGGTGAGAACACCACACACAGTTAAGTCGGACGTTCCTGTCTGGTTTTCTGCTGAGAATCCCCTACAGCTTGTCCCGCCAACATCGTCTCCTAGGCAATCTCGTGCCACAATCTTCCTTCTCATCTCTAATATTATTGAGAGGAACGCTACATAGCTAATATTATGTTCTGATGCTTTTCGGAACAGTTTCTTCACGGCTCTCCCCCGAGTGACTGGGGCCTCGAACCATTCACACCAATCAAATAATACATTCAACTTGAATCTTGACCATAATTCCTTGGACAATAACACGATGTTATTTCAAAAATAGAACTTGGTGTTATTTAAGACATCGATATTTGCTCAGTTCACTGCTCTCTCCTTCGCCCGTAAGACTTACATCGCTCTTTCCCCGCCAAGCAAGGCTCGCACTCAGATCCACTCCTGATACTCAAAGAACCCGCCAACTCTTACAAATCCAGTTCCAACATGATACCATCTCTACCGAAAACTTTTCTAGTTCTCGGTGTTGTACTGTTCTCTCTCGGTCATTGCTCAACGTTATATACTGCAAGGCCCAGCGAAGGGGAAAGAACTCCCTGGATCTCCGCGACACACCGTCATACTCATTCTCTTGGTCAAGTGAGACCTGTCAAAGAAGCCCCGGCTGCTCCGAATCCTGCAGCATATGACCACCACTATATTCCTGGTCAGCATCGGCCTGTGCTCACCCACACCACCGAGTCGACCACCGAGTCGAAGAGCGTAGTAGCAAGACATAATCCATCCTTAGCTTACCCATCGTATGCTGTATTCATACATAATCTCAACGCAACTGGCACAACCCTCATCACGAGAACTAGCGTACGTTCTATGACCGCTCCGGCTGCATACTCGTATGCTTCAGTCGCCCTCGGCATCACTCAGAAATATTCTCCCGATTCTCAGTCAAACCCGCCAAGTAGTGCTTCCGCTTCAGCAACGGAAACGGGAGCAGCAAGCGGTTTACATGATTATCAGTCCGTCACCACTGCGGTGACTCGGGAGTCATCTGTGGCTTCTCCACAATCTGAGACTCTCACAGGCCCCCTTTGGACACTACCTGCTTGCAATGGTCCACCTCCCGGTCCTGGTTTGACACCAGTGGGTTGTACTTTTGCAAGCAGTGCTGCAACTGCACGACAATCCACGACTACTTACAGCTGGTACGGAGTCAACAACCTTTCTTCAACGAGCGAAGCGCGCCAGGGAAACTCGCCGCATTCACAGGCATCGACTGCTGCTGTGACAGCTTCCACACAAATTCCAACCCATTCTCAGTCGTGGACCTTTGATTCAACACCTTGTGCTGGTAATAAGGACTTCGAATGTGTGGTAGTCAATGGATCAAGCACGGTTACCCTTGGTCCTATCTCACAGATACTCGGATTGGGAGCAGCGACTCTAACACCTTCACCGAGACCAACAAGTGGAAACCATTCACAAAATTGGACAGCAAACTCAACACCTTGCGCCGGCAATCAGAGCTTCGAGTGTGTGGACACCGACTCGGGAATCGTCACTCTTGGTCACAAAGCGTCATTGAAATATTCACAGATATCGACCTCTAATTCGACATCTTGTGCTGATAATAAGAGCTTCGAATGCGTGGTGAACGGCTCGAGCATCATCACCTTTGGACCCATTGCATCGCTGACCGCACTCCCATATTTCCCAAACACCATCAACACTTTGTCAACCACCAACGGACTTCTTTCTGCAATTCTTTCAGACCTTAGTCTACTCGGCCTTTCTTCAACAACCTTGTCCTCAGTCACAAATCTGCGAGGAGGTATGACGACAATACCATCATCGCTGCCGGGGATACCTGTGCTAACCGCCTGCACGTCCAGCGCTTCTCTTGAATGTCTTGTTCAGGGAACTCAGACCTTTATGGGGGGAAGTCTAGGCCTTCCAACACAAACGACCTCACCTAATGGTATTCCATGCGCTCAAAACACCACTCTGGAATGTGTTGTGCAAGGAAGCAGGACCTTGACAGTGGGGAAACTTCCTCCAAGGACCTCGTTAGGCTCATCAACATCTTCCTCCCAGTCACAATCTAGCGCCACAGTAGCATTAACACTCCACCCATTGACATCAAATACATCAACTCGCTCACCTCATGATCCCGATCCCTATCCAAGAACAAGTAGTGCCTCTGTCAAGAGATTCAAGATCCCAACCATCTTGATAATCCTTTGCTCTCTGGCCTGGATCGTAGCCTCCGTGGACTTCCCATCAACAAGTCATCTGGTTGGGAGAGCTGGGCCCCCTGATTCAGCCGGTACGTCTACTGATATCAATTATGGTCCGCTGGTTTCCTCCCTGGCAGATATTACTTCGGGATCCACAGTTCCAGCTGATGGTAACTATGGGGTTGGTGCTCCACCTGCGACGACATCCACCGCTCCCGCTGATGGCAACTGGGGGATTGGAGTCCCGCCTGCTACAGCTTCCACCGCTCCTGCTGGTGGTTATGGAGGAACCGGCGCGACGACTGCTACAATTGGGTTGTCGTCCGGGACACCAACCTCCCCAGATCCTGTTCCAGCTTCGACAACGCTCACTCATGCTGTTTCTGGAGTCAGTTCCTCTTTCTCACCGTTCCCAACGAACTTCATTCAGCCTGTCACGGGTTCAGGCACAGAAGCTCCCGAGATGAGGTCTTCCCCACCGCTGTTGTCGAAAACTGCACAGAGCGGCTCTTCTAGACTTAGGTCCCCATGTTTCTTATTCCTATTGTCCTGCATCTTTGTACATGTGGCTGCAACCGGGGTTCCAACTCCTACTTTATACTCGGAAACTCGGTCAGGCTCCACACTCGAACGAAGCACTATAACAATACCCCCTATCTCGCCTCGTCAAGACCCACCACCAGATCCCTTGAGAAGCAATTTTCTGACTACACAAACTATCACAATTCCGGCGAGAAACGGCTCTCCAAACCCAAAGCCGCCTTTCCTGCTCATCCTCCTGGCCTCTTTGGTCTCCATGGTGGCTGCAACAATGACCGTGGCTCCGCGCGGAGCACTGTTTCCATCGCTCTGCGCAGGTCAGACCGGTATGTCAAGTTGCGAAGCGACCGGCGGTGTGACAAGGACTTCGACCTCGACCCCGGATTCTGGCATTCTCGCCCCTACACCGGTCATCACCCAGCCCACGGCCGAGACTACGATCTCAAGCAGATCGCATGGCCCTTCTCCGATGTTGTCCGGACCCGGCCCGTGTGTTGCGAACACCAGCCTCGAATGCATCCTAGAAGAAGGCAATACCATTACAGTCGGGACCCTCTCATCCCATACTACTCTCCAAACCGTATCCGGGACCTCAATTGCAAGCATCTCTTCCACGGCGACTTCGGCATCACCAGCACTCTCGACAACAGCAACGAGCGGATCGTCCAAGACCAAGATTCCGAGCTTGTTGCTTGTCTTCAGCTCTTTCTTTGAAAATGCATGGGCGGGTTTGTTTCCTACTGCCCCGACTGTTGAGCAGCGCGCTACGGAGGAACGAGCTGCACAGTTTGAAGCGATGACTGTTTCCTTGCCTCCCACTAGTGCATCTATCTCGCTTCCTAACCATGAGGCTGCTAAAACCCTTGTGATTGTCCAGTCCTCGATGGTCACCGTGATTGAGCCTACCGAGACAACAAGTCAGGGACTGAGAAGAATTGTGACCCCTTTCTTGTTGTTAATGTTATGCTGTATTGCTGCGACGTTGTACACGGCTAGTTTGCAGAGGAAAAGGGACAGGAGGCGTGAGGGCTACAAAGCTGGGGAACCCATTTGTGTATCCGGCGGAGGCGGATTTTGATGCGAGTGGGTACAAGTGATTCAGGGAAGGACGCCTTGCTCCGTTGGATTTCATGGGCATTCTAGTTGGATGGAAGATGTTGCTTAAGTTGATAGTGATGAGCTTCATTAGTCTGCGGAAGGAAAGCTGTAATAAAGAAAGTAGTTCACAATGCAATGCGCATGTTTTTGAAAATCTCACACTTGTGATCTGTGAGCAGGAAGGTAGGTACAAAGGGGAGCTCTTCCGCATGGCTATCAACTTTATGCCTTGGTCTAGTAGACACCTCCGCGCCACGGTCTTGGGATATGAATATATCGCGACTTCGATCGAGAGGACAAGGATTTCTGGAAAGTTTGAAACTTTCACAATACCAAAAATCTATGACCAATACGACTAGGGTATAAATAATATATTATTAATTAAATTTCAGTTCTATATATATCACGTGACACTACTCCATACCGAACATTCCATTCCTCTGACCGAGGCCACAGTATCCAATTCCGATGGAGCATCCATGCACCTTTCGACCTTCCTTCAAGGCACCTTCTAGCTCAACCCTAACGCACCATAGACCCAGCAATCCTTCCACAAGTCTACCAATTTCTCTCCACGCAACGCGCAGCAATCATTTTCATCCCGCCCTCAACTCTCACCCACCAAAAACTCGCCCTCACATTCCTCCCTCTAACATGGTGCCTCCACACCTGTTCCTGGACCATCACTGGGCCCAGCCTCCCATCCTCAATTCACGCTCTCTGGGCTACCGAACTTTTACTCTTCTCTAAACAACGAGAGAAGTTCTAGCTCATCCACCGTCCGAGAAGCGGCGCTCCATTCGCGGTTCCGAGTTTGAAGGCCGGGGAGCAGAAAGAGATGGAGGGGCAAGGGCTGACTTGGAAAGAGGTTCATCCGGGAGGAACTCGGAAACGGTTTTGGTGGGTGTTCAAGCTGCAGTTGAGTGTGCGGTATATCGGCAGGGATGTTGGAGAAGGCAAGATCGAGCCAGAAGGAGGGATTAAGTCGTCGAAGAGTGGGCATCAAGTTGTGTGGTGGGCGAAGGGGATAGTATTTGTGGGAACCCGCTTACGTGTTCGAGAGTTGACGAACAACTACCGGCACTTCGACCCTTATTTCCAAATCGAGGTGGATACCCGATGGAGCGTTTTCCGAGAATGGCGAGAACTTTTCTCTTGGAGTATTTTCTTGGTATCATCCCTCCGAGACAACTTCGGGTTCTCGTCATATCGGCAGTATACCGATGTCGCCGTGCCACGTGATATAATGGCGATGATTGCTGTGACGTTGGGTAGATTCGGGATCCTCGATGACTTTTGGGAAGGTGTTGAGAGCTGGCCTTCCTTAATGGGTAGTCCGCTTGCGGCCTTGGAGTGTGGGTTGAGAGGTTTTTGGGGAGAATCTTGGCATCAATCGAATCGAAATGTGAGACCTCTTTCTAAACTTGACATTGAACCCTTGCTGATGAATGCAGATTTTGATGAGTCCCGGGAAAGCACTGGGGCGTAAGCTAGGCGTTTGCCCGAAATCTCTACAGGCGTATGGATTACAGGCGATGGTAGCTTGTCTTGTGTGATACATGCTGCTGCACTTCCTCGCGACGCGTCGAAAAACGCTGTTCTGAGATATTTCGGCTTCTTCCCGATTCACGCTGTCTGTGTAGTGGAGGCAATCGTGGAGCGATTTCTGAGCCGTATGCGGCGTCGTTGAGACCGGTCCGGAAGAGATCGTGTCTGGCAGCCAAAAGGCTGATATGGACAGTGGGAATCCTGTATTGCACTGCCCACTCCTGGCAGACGAACTCACGAGGGAATCGAGAAAGGTTGGTCTGCAGCCGGGATTTCTTCTATCTCCGTCGCCGAGGTAGACCGCGTTCGAATTGTCATATCGAGGGAGGGAACCAGAGATGGGCACGGCGAATTGAATCGTGTTGATCCACTATGTTTGGAAGAAGGGTGGTTCAGTTCATCCCAAATATCCCTGCCATCAATATCATTTGTCATATCAAGCCAAAGAAAGGCGACCAGTATGGACTTCATCTCTTGCCACGACTCGATCTGCAATTGACTGGAGACGGTGCTCAGTATGGAAATGAAGTAAAACCTGTCCAATGTGCCAAGTGTCATGATTGCACCCATGACCAATATCCAGAGGAGAAGTCTTGACTCTTGGTCAGTTATGGCCTTCGGATTTAGGCTGGAAAGCTCTTTCCGTAGACGAATGGCGAGCTCTCCGAATGGTGCAGGACCAGGAGGATATGGATAGACGCAAAGAAGACTGTACATTTGCGCGGCTAAGCGAGTGCTCTCGTAGAGCTGGTAGATTGGCTCGCTGCACTGTTCATATGGACATGGGGGCAGGAAGCCACACTGCTCATTTGGATACGGGGGCAAGGAGAGCACACGATGTTGAACTGAGTTCCTGTGGTCAGTCAACGTCCCGAGGCTCTGTGTTGCTACTCCTTGACAGTGGTTGTAAACAAGGACCGTGTAACCGGCCATAGATCGAATAGCGGTGAAAAGATCTTGAAGGGGTTGGAAACTAGAATGTTTCCAGTGCTCGGGGAATCCGCTTCCGATGCTGGACATAGAGGCGGGCAATCCTTCTGGGTCCTCTAGCGTTTCATAAAGGACAGGTTCGTCGTTCCATGGTATGTGAGGGAATTTGGGCGGGATGAGAAGTCTCATCGCCGCGATGATGTCGAGACTATGAGATTATCGGCATCAGAATAGGGGCAACTGAAATGTTGAATGATCCCGTCTCGAATGACTTACAGGGAAATCAATGGCGCCATTCCTGGGGTCTTGACATTTTGGATTCCTCCACGCATTCCGACCAACTGAGCCAGGCCGTTGATGTGCAATTGAACTGAAGGAAGCCGGCCAAGCGTGTCTAAGCAATTTAGATTCGTCAAAGGCCCCTGAGAAGGCCACCTAGTCCTCTCGAGTGGCTTAGCCATCAGAGGCCCGTATGTGGTCACACCCACGACACATAGAATGCTTGAGTCTGAGCATTGAGTCTCTACATTTCGCATCCTTTGGTTCAGGGATTCGATGATCTGGGAGTAGGACTCTAAGAAATCGCAATGTCCGACAAGATGGCGTCCAAATTTGAATCGGTAATGAAGTTCCGTGTGGTACTCCCAGATTTGGAAAAGCAGAGGATCGGTAATGATCAGTTGGACCAAAACTTTGTTTCCCGCATGATCAATGCTCGGGTTGCTGCTCGGCATTATCGCAGGGAGGACCGCTCCGGTGCCTGCAGTCCAAATCGTCAGGGAGACCTCCATGCGGTGGAGGAGTGGAAAAACGTACTGTAAGTCATAATTTTTGCAACCTTTTCATCCTGTGCAAGCGATAAATAATATGTCTGCAGGGCAAGACGGGATTGATGAAGACCATATCTCGATCCCGTGACCTGGTTTTCTTTGCCTGGATGCTCGTCATCCTCCACAGGACTATATTTCCTGGAGGGACCGGGCCCGACAGGCTTTCGGACGAGAGGCTTCGCCGACTTATTCTTTCTCCATTGGTATCTGGCGGCGTTCTTCCTCACCAGCGCCTGACGGTTTGGCTTCGCACGCCCATCTGCAGTCGGCACGACCGAGACGAATTCGAAGTTACTCGTTCCCCTTGGGTCCCTGCCACTGCAGCTCGACTCGCTGCTGTCGAGCGACGTCCTTCTGTCTGACATTCCGACCTCGAAAGATAGGATCTAAGCTCATGGTAAGTCGTGGAGAGGATGGTTGCATTTGTGTTCGTTGACGAGGGATCTGGTGGATCGAGGGATCGAGGATTCCGCGTCCGGTCAGCGATCTACTGTACGCACGGTGACACGGAATCTTCCCTCCACGGGGCGTGTGGCGGTCGACCCCTGACGAAACTCACGGACCCCGCTTGTGGTGGAGACTCGACAAGCGACTTGGGGGCCTCGGGCGAATGCCCATCTTGGGATAAGACTGGAGCTCGACCTCGATGGCGCCCCGACAGCCTGGTACCTATTTTTGTAGTTTTGTAGACGACTATGGTCGAGGCGAAGCGAAAGTCACCCCTCTTCCTCCAAAGCTTAGTGGAAGCGGGCTTCTTCAGTGCCAAAAGAGCGGTGGAGACACCCCCTGACAAGCAGTCCGGCAGTTCCCCGAGTACGGTAGAGACGACGGGTAAAACCCAGTCGTCCGCTTTCCTGGGACAAAAAGCCTTCAAAGGTCAGCCTTACGCCTTGCCGCTATTTGTAGTGGAACTCAAAGTTCATTTGAAGCTCTACTAATCACCTTCCGGATCCCATCTCTCACCTCGGAGACAATCTCCCCAGCCCCCTTCACCCCCCTGACCAACCCAACACCAGTCCCCGCATATGTCGCCATCCGCCCCCTTTCTCCCCACCCCCCCTCTCCCTTCTTCGCAGCCTCAGCATACAACTCTCTATTCCTCTCAAACTCCACACCCTTATCATGATCCCTCCAACTCTCATTAACCAAACCCCTTGCATCCCATCCGGCCGGCCAGTTCCTCTCGCCCCTCAACCAATTATACAGCTGCGTCCTGACTGTGTTCTGACCCCCATCACTAGCATCAACAATGTGCCTTTGATACCCCCTGTTGATCGTCGCCTCTCTGCTCGCTAAAAATCTCGTCCCCATCGCCACACCAGCAGCACCTAACACCATCGCAGCACCCGCACCACGTTGCTCAATAATCCCTCCTGCAGCAATCAACGGAATCTGATTCTCAGGCTCCACTCCGTCATTCACAGCATCGTAAACCTCAGGCAGCAACGTAATGATCCCTGCCCCTTTCGACCTCGAATCTGCGCAACAAATTAGCAATTTAAAAAAAACCCTAAAACGATCCAGCGGGCTGGGAGCCTTCCTGCCAAGAGACGGGAACAAAAGGGCCATCACCTCCCCCGCCGATCATCTTCTTACAGCAACCGGCCATTGGCTAGTTCGCACACGATCTCGAAGGCACACGGCGCCTCAAACACCCCCAGGTCCCCCACAGGCTCTCGGCTCTCGCATAAGAAAACGGCAATACAGTATGGGAATAAGAAGCGCTCCTTAACCAGCCATCAGGCTCTCGGCTCTCGCCAACAAATAAGAAAAAGGGAATGTAATATGGAATAAAGACTCACGACCCCCAGCATCAGCACCCTGGACAACAAGCACATCGGCCCTCTCCTCGCTCTTCGCCGCCGCAACAGCATCTGCGACACTCGGCACCTGAATCCAAATCTTCGTCCCCCTACTCACTTCCCTAATCTTCCTACTCCACTCATCCAGTTCCTTCTGTCCATGCCTAGGCGCGAAAAGCCACACAGCGCTCGGCTTGAACTTCTCTAGCACCTGAGTTGCAACGCGGAGATCGCCGGCCCAGGTCTGGAAGCCTACGCCAATAGGTAAAGTTCCGGTTTCTTGGGCGAACTTGGAGAGGGAAGGCGAGGAGGAGATCAGTTGCGAGGCGAGGGAGAGGGAGGACTCGAGATCAGAGGGTGAGGCGCCGGGCCCGATGAAGCCCAGGCCTCCGGCGCTCGAGACGGCGATGGCGAGGGAGGGCCCGGCGATCACTTTCATGGGCGCTCCAACGATGAGAGGGGAGGTGGCCCATGGGTAGTGTGAGATCAATCTGGTAATGGTTTGCTGGATTGGGGATGCCATTTTGCTGAGTTTTGGTTGTTCACTTCATGTTGTGAAGGTGTTTTGGGGAGAGGTGAGGTTGAGTTTAAATGTGGGTACGGAGAATCGGAGAAAGGAGGTGTGTTTGGGGAACGGATTGGTAATCACCACACAACCACACAACATCTTGCCGAAATGGGCTTGAAGTAGCTGAATGACTTGTCGATCTCGATCATAGGTGCTTAAATTTTTTTGAGTGGAATACGTTTGTTGTTGCATGTCATGTGTCATTTCTCTCTTCTCACTAAGGAAGGTACTGACTGACATTGACATCATCGTTTTTTTAATCGAGCCTCTTCCCCTCCCCCTAATTTCCAACGGCCCCTAGCTCCAATGGGAAATAAACAAACAGATCTTCCTCGTCACTTACAGAGGTAGCAACCCGGAAATAAATATCCCATCTGAGACCTCACATGATATAAGCCACAACCTCAAGCCAATCCGCCAAGCCCCGAAGTCTCGCATCACGATCGATCCTTCCAAGCCCCCTTCATGAACAGAGCTCAAGCCCGACGCCCCACCTAGCCAATACTCCCTCCATACACATATCCAATACCTCACATCTCCCAAAGGGCTCAAAGTCTGCCCCGTCATCAATACCCTCTCGCGTGCCAACTAACTGCCAAATTCATAAAACGTGCTCAGCCTCAATTCCACCACTGAGCGTCAGCCAGCAAAAGTCGGTCAGCTGAAGTAACACAAAACGAGACTTAGCTAAGCCTCAATATTACGCGGCCGCGCATCGGATAAGCGTCCGACCTTCACAAGGAAGGCTTACTTACAACTTCATAATTATTGCCGCAAACATGCACCTACCTCAGGATTGTGCATGCGGCTCGCTGCGTTGGCACCACCGCCACCTCTCACCTCTCCCATTCTCGCTACCTCTGAAACATGTTCAAAATCCCCCTGGTCAACCGTATCTTACAACAGAATCCGAGTCTGAAGAGAGAAAGAGGAGAGAGGGAAACAGAGAGCGGTATTTTTGAAATTTTTTGTGCTTTTTGAGTTCTTATGTCCATTCCGTTCCATTCGTAGGCCATATATCACATAAACGCCTTCCCCTCATCCCCAATTCCCACCCAATCAAGCCAGCCAGCCAAGCCAGTAAATTATCTGACTCCATCCCTAATGCCTAGAGGCACCTCTGAGACTAAAAATTAGAAAGCCAAACCGCAGTATGGTATCGTAGCCAGAGTAACTCCCAAACGCCATGCATGCTTCCCTTGGCTTCTAAAGAGCCAGAGAGCCTCCCAATGATGTATACACAGCACAGGAGTCTTTCCTCCCGTTTCTCCTCCATGGTATCATCAAATCGTACATACATCCCCTTTCCTCAACGCTTAAAATCAGAATGCATTCGGCCTTTGCTGCTGCCCCCACAACGCATTATGTATCTCCGGCTGCGCTGCTTGATCAGGAAGCGGTTGGCTCGCATTCGCCCACTGCTGACGCGGATTCGGTTCTTGTCTCCTGGCCTGTCGTAATTGCTCTCTGTACGCATCCGCAGCCGTCTGCGTCGAAGGCTCACTCACAAGCATCGATTGAGGCTCTCGGAAATGACTTTGATAAGGTGAAGGTGTTTGGTTCTGGGGCGGGGAGGAGACAGCCATGCCTATGTCACCCGCTTGCTCCTGTCTCCTGATCGTTCCTGGCGTGGGATTTGAGCCGATCAGGCGGTCGGGAGATGCTTGTCCGGAGTAGACACCGCCGTATGTGGCTCCGCCTTGGCTTATTTCTTGCCCGTTTGCGTCGTAGCGCTGTCGTGCTGGTATGTAGCCGCCTGAGCCTGGGTTGAGGGGGTTGGGTTGTGCGTGGGCTATCAGGCCTGCTTGCTGCTCGTCGTCTACTTTGTCGAAGCCTGGTAAACCGAATTTGCTTCGGCGGAATTCGTCGGCGATGGGGAGGTTAGGAGACCCTCCTGCGTAGGTTTTCTTGTAGTTGGGATCGCCTCCTGTTGATTCTAGTGTCAAGCCGTTCTCGTTGCTTGGCTTATATGAAGGGTCGTTCTCCCGCTTCTTGACGCCAACGAATAGCCATCTCATTCCCCGTGCGAAGCCCTTAACTAAATCCCATGGATTCATTGCATCCCCGAGCGCTTTGATACCCAAGAAACCGCCTTGCTTAACACCTGGTTTGTTGAAAGACCCCGTGGGCGAGAGAGGGTATCCAGTTGCCTCAGCCCCCGTTCTATATGGTGCCCATGGGAAGGCGAAAAGATGGAGGACGGCGAAGAAAGCCATCTCAATGCAGATAAGTAGAGCTGGAATCCCAATTTTGATATCCGGGTATGCAAGCTTCGTTGATGTCTTGACAACATTGAACGTCGACGAGGTTAAAATACTGATCAGGAATGACTGCCAGAAAGACAGGAAGATGACGAGCTTAATAGCTGCAACCTTCAGGAATGGTCGGTGAGGTGCCAGATCGAGGCGGAGTTGGACATAAAACTGGATAACACAGTACATAGCAACTGTAACTGCTGCACCCTCAATTACCAGAACCTGATATCGTTAGTAGGAGCCAGAAAGGATCAGGGACCAGGGCTATCATACCCAGATGTGAGCAAATACGGGCGAGTTAGAGGATGCACAATATCGCCCAAAATATTGTGTAACTACTGCGGTAATTGTCATAGCAACCCGAATGAAGCAGTATTGGTAAATCCCCGCCCAGATGATATTGAACCACGTCAAACCACTTCTAGGTGTTCTCCAGCAGCCTCTCTCTCCACCACAGCATTTCTTAAACCAGTTCATTGGCCAGACCCATGGTCTCGGTTCAATACTCCTGAAGTAATTCTTCTGTTCGTGCAGATTTGGGGCGATATAGTGGCAGAGGAGCGCAAAGAAAGAGGCAATCGCAAACGCTTCGTAACATTCGTGGATGACATCGAAGTACACTGCGTGCCAGTAGAACCAGAACGATAGGAAGGAGGCCGTGGCGTAGACAGGAATCATAAACAGGATGCGGATGATACTAGAATATGTCAACATAACCCGTCAATCAGAACTCGTAGAACGTACTGTCTTTGCTCATAGGGTTTCGTGTAATGCGTCGCATGCATGAATATAAGGTAGAACGACGTTAAGCTAGCAAACAGCGCGCACGCAGCAGCTATTATCAGACCCAGTTGATGAAATGTCAACGACCCCGCGATTGGCACCTCCGAACTCCCAACTATACACCATTAGCACACTCCCTAGATCGGTCGGTCCCAGGGGGACCACATACTCCTTAAATCATCCAACGTCGAATTACACGTCCCATTGATCTTCATGTTGGCGGTCGTTCGTGGCTCATTTAGAGCGGGAGGACAGAGAGAGAACCAGCGGCGCAATCGTATGCTTTTCCTTTTGGGTTTCCTTTTCCTTCCCTACACCTCATAGATCGTTTGCGCGCTCAGTATCCTCCTGTGTGATGCAGTGCTCGAAGTATTCGTCCTCAGGTGGAGCAAGTTTCGAAATAATGATGGCGTGGCCAGCTCCCAATTTCAACCCTTGCCAAGGATGTTCCTCTCAACTCCTGGATCGCCGTTGCCGTCTCGAATATCTTCCCGCCTCTCCCAAATATGCTTCTTCCTGTCGCTCGCAATCGCGCTCCTCAGGGTCCTTCAAGTTCTTATCGTACGTGCCTGTATCTAGCGGTCTGCAATGTGTCGGAGAATTGCTAGCGGTGAGATTGAGGGTTCGCAGAGATTAAGAAGGGCACACGAGGGTTGTGTTGTGCTTGGTGGAGTGGTCGTGTCCCATGTCAGAGGTGGCTGAGATGGCGCAGGGGAAGGATGCCAATTTTGGAAAAATCACAGGCCAACTCAGGGCGAGCTCGTGTCGATTATGCGCACACAACTCAGCACAACTCAATGCGGCCGCGCCTCAGGAGTCAGGAGCCATTCACGAATTACACGCGCCTCATCATTAGGCCCTAATGACGCCGCATTTACGAGAACAGCGCTGCACAGCCCCCCGTATCGGCCATTTTTCAGCTCTCAGCACGTATCACAACCTGCCCCCCGCTTTCCTCAACCCAGATGTGAAACATGCTCCACATCCAAAATATTGTTACCTCATAAATCATCAGCAGACTTTCCTCTTTCACAACCTAGATAGGATTTAGGTGCGAATTATCTATCTACGTGGTTTAGCCTCTGTGGCTTCGAGTGGAATCCCTCCGTCATATTGCAGATCGTGATATTGCTCTCAAGGCAGATCGTGATTATTCTTTGTCGGCTCTTGAGTTTTGTTTTCGTTGAGAGACGGGCCGAGGACGTTCTGCAGCCGGAGATGAGGGCTTGGCAGTGGTGGATCGTGTCACTGTGAAACTGGAAACCCTTTAATGCACTCGAGGGGTGTCACGTGACTCCATGATATGTGGCGATTTTCACGGGTTGTGTTTGTTCTTGGTGTGTTTGTCCGAGTGGGGACTTTGTACACCGACTGAGAGCCTAACATTAGCGCTTTGGCTGGCTACCAAGGCCGGTTGAGGCTGAGAATGCTTCACGTAGCGTTTTGAGGCTCAGAGGGCCTCATGCAAGCCAAGTGGACCGAAAGCTTGTCCACCATCTGATGAACCCTGAAACGACGAGTCTTCAGATTTATTTTCAGATGGTATTTAGCCCTCGTATCTGAAAACTCATGAACAGCCAATCGTATCCCCTTTAAATTGGTTGTCCTTTTCCGATGATCTGGTAAGCAGACCCATACCTCGTGTACTGTACCCATAGCAATACGAGATTTGCCTCCCGCTCTCATTTTTCATTTCGTTTGATATCCATACAGTCGACTCCATGCGCCATGCAAGTCATTTCATTCAGAGCTTCAGTTGTCCTCGATCCATTGCTCCACTCTTTCGACTAAGTCTGCTTTCTTGCCTTTGGCATCCAGCCCCTTTGCAGACAAGAGGTCCTTGAGTTCCTGCATCGTAAATTTGCTCAGACCCTTGGTTCCCACAACATTCTTAAGTTCTGAGACACTCATGCCATCTAAGGTCTGGCCCGAGTGCGCGGGCTTGACTTTCTTCTTCGGAGGCTCCTCGCTATCGACCCGGGCACGCTTCAGTTTCGTGCCATCAATCCCGCCATAATGCTCCTTCTGATACTCACGAAATTCTTTGTCAAGAATTTCTCCCCACTTGTTGATGTACTCGCCAGCCCGTTTGTCGATCTGGCGGAATTTGGGGACAGTCTTATCTTCTGGTTGATCAGGAAGCTCTTCGTCAAGTGCCAATGCTTGAAGAATCTTATAATGCCATTGAAGAGACGGGTTAGGGTATTTGCTGGGATCGTAGATGGCTTTTGGAAGTTGGAGTTGTTGCACTACCTGTTCCTCCCGTCAGAAAAGTCATCTAAGCATGCTCGACGTTTTAAAATTACCTTTCGCATCTCATCGATAAGAACATCTGGAGCCACCAAAGGCTTCTGTTGCGGAGTTAGGTCACGCTTATCATCCAAGAATGGAAGTTGATAAAGCCAGAGACCAGCAGGAATGATTGGGACTTTTGTAGTGTCGCTCGCTCTTTCCTCGGATGGCAGAATGGCCACCAAAACAGGAGCTGCATTGGACCGGGCAATATACCAAGCCACCCCCATCTTCTTGTCCTTGGTCAACTTCTGCCAGAGTGCTGAGAAGACGCGAGTTGATCCGATATAATGTTCTTCGCTTGGGTAGATGAAGGTTGATTTCTTTATTGCAGCCCAGAATGGAAGCATTGACTGAGGTTTGAAACCGATAATCCGAAGGACCGGAGAGCCGAAAGTCTTCAACTGTTTCATTTCCTCCTCCGTGAACAGAACCTGAGAGCCGCCGAATTTATAAGCTTTCTTGATTTCTATCTTCTCGACTTGCCTAACCGAGTCCTCTGTAAACTTGGCAGTCTCTCCCTCAACATACTGTTTCGTTTCGCCATCCAGGTAAACGTAGCCCTTTCGAGCCCTTTCTTGCTTTTGGAGAAGGTTGTAACCTTTGACGGAGATTGTGAAGTCTTTGCCGATTTCGAATGGAAGATTGCTAAACAAGGCTCGCTTTGCGACTTGTTTTGAGTTGATGTCGGAGATGAGGTTGCTCAGAAGAGATATTCCGTCACTCCCAGAGGACTTGAAATTTGAAGGGCCCACATCCAGATCTTCACCCGCTGCAGGGTCTCGGTAAATTATATCCTATTTAGTGAGCATAGTGTAGTTGTAAACTTCGCAATAACTTACATCGTAGAATTTCGACCGACCGAATTCATGGTCAGGATGGGAGATAGGGAAAAGTTCAATGACCACGCCCAGATCGTAGAGATCCTTTGCTCTCACCTGAGCCTGAGATCTCGCGTTCTTGTCCGATGCATGTGGATCGTCCTTGTCGGTGATGATGAACAATCTTCGCGATCCGAAGTTCGGTGTTCTTGTCGTAAATATTTGGTTGGCACAGAATAACATATTTGACATGGACACTGGCTCCTTCGTAGGGACGAGCAGGTCTTTAAATTCTTCATCTTGTTGGACAACACCCCTGAGGGTTTTGACATCCTCCGCCGCCGGAATATTAAGGTCGCTGAGGAGGTAGCAATGCGGGTATTGAAGACCTCCTCGACTGTTTTCATCCTCATCTTGAAATTTCGATTGCTCTGTGCCGAAAAGAAGCACACCTATCATGTCTTTCGGATTTGATATGATTCGTTGTTGCATGATTTGGTATGCGCATTTGATAGCAGCCGTTGTAGGAGAATCTTTCTCCGCCTTCTTGTCATCCGATGGTGGAGGAGGGGCAAGCATAGATTCGCTGACGTCGATGGCGAATAGAACTGCATCTTTCTGTGCAATATAATTCTTGAGTCGCGTTAGATCTGCTCGTTGTGAAAGTGGACTGAGCTCACTGTCTCGTCCAATTCCTCTTCCTCTTCTTCCTCCTCGCCTTTCCACGGCTCTTTGGAGTCTGCCATGGCTAAGATGTTCTGGCTGCTCCTGCTGATACCAGAGAGTTGGCTGATACCTGAATACGTATAATTGTGGTGTCGCGCATTCAGGAGTTTGTGATTTGCGCCAGGCAGACGCGTGGAAAGAAGTGGTCGGAGCATCTAACTTCGCGTCATCACGTGGAAGAAAGGAGCCAATTGAAACCTGGCAAGTTTCATTTGGCCCCCGCCAATTGGAGCTTCCATCTCCGTCATCAACCCCTGTAAGACTGTACTCCGTAAGCCGCGATCATCGTCGAACTGCCCAGACTTAAACATTATCAACCAGCCTCGGCGATGTTCACGTTATAACATCTTCCCTCTGTCCAACTTTAAGGGCACTCCAACAATGGCTTTCCGGGCCCCCATAAGCCAGCTAACCAAGAGGGCATCACAATCAACCATATCGAAGTTGACAAGTCCATCGCCACTATGGCAACGAACCAGCGCAAACCAATTGCGATCATTCGCAACGCCGGTACCTCCCGTGACACAAGATGCAACAAGCTCTAAGGGCCCTACTGCTATGGTATTCATGAATATGGGAGGTCCATCAACAACAGATGAAGTGGGAGACTTCTTGAGCAGACTTTTTGTTCGTAACTACCCCACCACCTCACACCCCACCATCTAATTCTTCCCCAGGCAGATGGCGATTTAATTCCTCTCGGCCGACTACAAAACTACCTTGGACCTCTAATCTCGAAGCGCCGGACCCCAAAGATTATCAAACAATATGCGGCAATTGGTGGCGGATCTCCCATTCGAAAATGGTCCGAATATCAAGCTTCCGAAATGTGCAAGATTCTAGACAAGATCTCGCCGGAGACAGCACCGCATAAGCCATATGTTGCATTCAGATACGCGAACCCCCTGACTGAAGAGATGTACAATAAGTTATTAGAGGATGGGTTTGGTGGCGGAAAGGGTGGAAGGGCCGTGGCATTTACGCAATACCCTCAATACAGCTGCTCGACTACAGGAAGCAGCCTGAACGAATTATGGAAGTGGAGACAAAGACTGGAAGGGAAGGCTCCTACTGATGCTGTTGAGGCCGGAAATGATGGCACGATCAGCTGGAGTGTGATTGATCGATGGCCGGTTCATCCAGGTCTGGTTGATGCCATCGCGCTCAACATTGAAGACCAGCTTGCTACATTTCCAGAGGATGTACGAGACGATGTTGTGCTCTTGTTTTCGGCCCACAGCTTGCCAATGTCTGTAGTCAACAGAGGTACGTTTGAGTCAAGTGTTGATGGCTTCCTTACTGATCCAGGTTAGGTGATCCGTACCCCGCCGAGGTAGCGGCAACGGTGCATGCTGTTATGCAAAGACTCGGCCATTCTCACCCTTACCGTCTGGTCTGGCAATCCCAAGTAGGACCCAACGCCTGGCTCGGTGCCCAAACGAGCGACACAGTTGAAGAGTACATCAAAAAAGGTCAGAAGAATATGATTCTTATCCCAGTTGCATTCACATCCGACCACATCGAAACGCTTTATGAATTGGATCAAGAAGTCATCGGGGAATCAGGCCACTCGGAGACCATCAAAAGATCAGAGAGTTTGAACGGGAACCCAGTGTTCATTCAAGCACTGGCGGACATTGCCAAGAGCCATCTCGACAGTGGCGTGACGTGCAGTAAGCAGATGGGACTGCGATGCCCTGGTTGTAAGAATGATAGATGCGCTGAGAGCAAAAAGTTCTTTGCTGGTCAGGGCCCAGGAGCGACTTTCGCAGTTTAGATGTTGCGTTTAGGCCACTAATTGTGTATTTTTAAAAATGTATATATTGGTTACAAAGAGTCACTTGATCCATTCTTCAATATCAGCTGATCCGGTGTTAGCATCCCAAAATGCCGGGGACGCTTGCATGGTTACAATGCATTATGCATAGCGTCATGACTTTGAGAACACAGAATCGGGCTCGGAGATTTTGTGCCAAGCCTGGTGAGATGCTTGAGAGCACAACCGTATCTTACCCGCCTCTCGAAGGGACACGCGTCTGCACAGGCAGACAAAACTGTACCTGCCCTGTTCATTAGAGCCACGTCGAAATCTCACTGTGGGAGGACAGTGAAGCAATGGCCATCCAACAAGATGCTGATGTGAGAATCCCCTGCGGGATCAAATCCTAGGGCGGGGCCCGAGATCCCAGCAATCCTCGGGCTTCCCCTTGTAACCCCGAGATCTGCTCCCAGGTGGATTATCAAGCAAAACGACCTGCTAAAGTCAACTTGCTTCTGCTTGAAATCCCACATTTTCGATGCTATGATACGCCAGAAGCCGTTTCATGCTGGGAAGCTTCAAGGCTAATTACGTGGTCGTCCGTACCTTGATACAAACTTAAGATAGGCGACTCAATCGGATCCGCAGTGTCGCTCGCCAGATCCAAGCATCGCTGTGAAGGAGCCAGCACACCACTCCACTCCCGCCGTGGACAAGACTCCACCAAGATAACGACCTCCCTCCTCTAGCTCGCACAGGCGATAGTTGTGCGAACAACACTGTGTTCCAAAATATCCGAATTCTGGAGTTGATGGTCCTGCATATCGATCGACGCAAGACGAAGACGAATTGCCAGATAACCTCCAGTATACTGGCAAACGATAAGCTTACACCCAACAATTGAGGAAAGCCATGGACAACCAGAATGAATCCCAAGGCGGGGTACGCGAGCGCAGTAATGGACGTCACGATGGAGAGATATGGGGAGCAAAGGACTCGTTGAAGCGGAATGCTGGAATGAACAAGATATCGAGCGACGAGATTACGCCGCTGCTGGACAGTGGAAGTGGCAGTTCAGAAGAAGATGGTGAAGACCGGACGGAAACAGTATGGGCAGGATATGCAGACTTTGAGGGTGTGACTTGGTGGCACAAACCTTCGGTTGGGATAACTATCCCCGTTGCTGGATTCAAGCTGATATGTGTAGATGCTCTGGTTAATCGGCCCCTTCTTCCTCCTCACGCTTGCGATGGGCGGTATCTTGGTCCCTAAGCTCAACTTGATTCTATCCCTCGTATGCCGGGAATACCTCGTCGAATCCAACGAGAACCTCTTGCTTAGACCCTCAATTATCGGCACATTGACCCTAAAGCCATCTCTTATGGACATGGACAACGAAAAATGCCGCCATATACCAGAAGTCCAAGCAATGGCTACAAAGTTCATGCTCGCCCTCACAATTGTTGCTGGGATGTTGAGCGCCGTTATGGCCCCAAAACTGGGTGCTCTCTCTGATCGGTTCGGCCGTTTGAAGCTACTTATCATCACCAGCTTAGGCGGCTTCTTTGGCGAGATCATCACAATTTTAGCTGGCACATTCCCAGATACTATCCACTACCGATGGCTGCTCGTAGGTGCAGTATTCGATGGATTTTGTGGTTCTTTAACCGCCAGCATGGCCCTCACCCATGCCTATGCTGCAGACTGTACTCCTCCTCCAAAGCGTGCCGTCACGTTCGGATATTTCCATGCATGTTTGTTTGGCGGGATTGCAGTGGGCCCCTTGATCGCCGCTCTCATTGTCAAGAAGACGGGCTCGATTGTCACCATGTTCTACTTCGCCTTGGCAATACACACCCTGTTCATCTTCTACATTGTCCTCGTGGTCCCCGAATCTCTCACCAAGAAACGACAACTTCTTGCCCGGGAGAAGTATGCTGCAGAAATGGGAGGTCGATTCAATGGACCGATCGGTTGGAAGGCAACCCTCAAGAGAGCCAACATCCTGGCACCACTGAAGATCCTCTACCCAACAGGCCCCGGAACCTCCTCGGCCCTCCGAGCAAACCTCATTCTCCTCTCCACCGTCGATACCATCATCTTCGGCGTAGCAATGGGCGCCATGACAGTAGTAGTCTATTACATGGGCTACCAATTCGATTGGGACACGGCCCAAATCAGCGTCTTCACCTCCGTCGTAAATTCGTTCCGTGTCTCGACCCTGGTCCTCGTCCTCCCCGGCCTAAACTACCTCGTCCGGACCCGCCGCGCCAACAAACAACGTCGAGACTCAGGCTTCGCAACTCCTGAACCAAACTCCGGCTCCGACACATTGGATCTCTCTATCATCCGCGTAGCAATCTTCCTCGAATTCATCGGCTTCACCGGCTACGCCCTGGTGCGCACAGGAGGCCTCTTCGTCCTCGCTGGGATTGTCACTTCGTTTGGAGGAATCGCGAGTCCAACACTGCAATCCGCGCTTACGAAACATGTACCCCACGATAAAATCGGACAGCTGCTCGGTGCGACAGGGCTACTGCATGCACTTGCTAGGATCATTTGTCCGCTCATCTTTAATATGATTTATGCGTGGACCGTTAAGGGATTCCCGCAGGCGGTGTTCGTGGTGTTGAGTGGTTGTTTTGTGGTGGCGTTCTTTTGTAGTTGGTTTATTAGACCGCATAGTGAGTCTCCTCTTTACCTCCCTCTTAACCACTCCCTAACCTCGAATAGTTTATCTTGAGGACCCAGTCATGCAGAGAGGCCAGACGAGAACAAACACTGACCCAGACGTTCTCCTCGATGAAGAAATCACCGGGATCTGACCCCCTCCACCTCTCTGACTATGCACTTTCTTTCGTTGCAGTATATATATTTTACATTTTACACATTTCATTTATTAGAACTATAGGAGCAGGTACATTTTGGTACCTTGGATCAGCGCATGGGGTTTGATTGTACTTGATTGTACGATTCATTTGTACCCCACCTTTCAGCGCGAGGATTGGACTGGGTATACACGTGCGGTACGGACAAGATAGATCTAGACAGCGCTGTTCCTGTTCCAGTGTTCCATTTTTTAAGCAAGAGGAGGTGATATGAGACGAGATGAGATGAAGATATGAAGATTGAGTTGTATGGATGTATTGATGGAACTTGGTGTATCTACGGAGGAAGATGAAGGAAGGATAGACAGGATATATAAACATGAGAATGAATAATCTCTAGCGTAGCCTGCTTCCTGTGACGAAGCTTGCCGAAGTTGAACGGTGCGAAAGAGCGAAAGAATCAGCAGAGCAACGTCTCCTCGAACAACCGCTCTGCTTGACATCAATTCATGCAACTATGCCGATCGGTGGGAATCTTGTCGACTCATCACGGGAAGAGATCAAGAATCCGAAATTTCACATACAGAGAAAATCTGAGGCCAATACAGAGCACTGTCTGAGAAACACTCCGGATCTTGAATCCTGGCTTAAGCAGGTATGTGAGATTGCTACCTGGAGATGGAGGTGAAGTACGATGAGAAAAGAGGCAGAAACAAGTTCGCGGATAGGAATAGAGCGCAGGTGTCACGAAGATCTCGCGGCAGGCGGAAGGTTGAGCGTCGAGCAGAAGCAGGCACTGGGAGTTTGCTATTAGCAAGTGTCTCTATCTACGGTGCTAAGATTCGACTACAACTTCTTGATCCTCCCAACCAACCATCATCCCAGCACACAAACTGACTTTCAAGCATACAGCAAATGCGGTCTGTTGGCTTCCCCATCCGGGTACTGACGCCTAACACCAACGCGAAGGTCAGACCAATGCTAGGCTCCCTTTCCACCGTCAGCCAGACATCGCATAGGGGTTTACTTACCTGTTATACAAACCCATCATCACAACAGTAGAGCGGAGCCCGGAGCCATGCCACCGAGGATTCGACACGAGCGGAGAGATTTTCGGCTTTCCACAATCGGATCGTGCTAGCCCAGCTTGCATCATTCTCCCTCGATTTAACTCATCCCTCTCCCACTTGGTTATACTAGCAAGACTCGTGCAATGGGACTCTGCTGATTGTTGTGGTGAGATCCAGCCCTCAATGCCTGTGACCGGCGAGGAGGAAGGGATTGAAGAAGCGAGTGGCGAAGAACCAAGGGGGAAACGATGAGAAGAGGGAAGAAGGAGAGGGAATGGGAAAGAGAAAGTGCGATGCACGTTGATAAGGAGATGACTTGGAAGAAAGGGAGGGAGTACGCGGAACGGAGGGGAAAAGTGATGCGAAGGAATGATAAATTTTTCAAAGGATGGAGGGAGATGGAATTCTTATACCCTTTTGTTGCGCTGATATTCCTAGGCCATAGCTCAAAATCAAGAGCTCTCCCTTGCCCTCATCGGGCTATCATCTTGTCTTCTGGAACCGACGAAAGTTACACGACTGACAACCTCATTTGGGACGGAGAAGCGTTCCATCGACGGCGGGAGAGGGAAAGCTAGAAAACGGAAGTGCTTTCTAGCGCTTGAGTCACCCTCAATTGAAGCCTAGCCTTTCAGGACGGGAGGGCTTCTTGCAAGTGCGAGAGTTTGCGATGAATGAGGCGGCGAGGTAAGTGAATTTGAAATTATGAGGGTGTGGACGATATCGCTTGCGCTCGCTTAATAAAATAGGGGTCACCCAACCTTCGCATCCTTATACGAGACAATTTTTGGGGATAGGAACAAGAACTGAGGGCGACTATATTTTGCAACAAAAGTAGAAGTTTTTATTCGCTCGGCTCAAGTTTTGGGTTAGCCCTACCTATCCGTTCCGCCCTATGGCCCGAACCGTGGTTCACGATCTCGGGAACGCCAAGTTGGCGTACCGCCATTATGGGAACAAAAATATAAATCCATGGTTTATATGCCCTCACTATCAAACCCTCACACACCCAATTCCTAGCTCAAACTCAGTGAGTCAAGATCAAAATTTTAGTCTCTGGCACGTAGTATAAAATCGAGCTCCCCTACTTCCTCCTCGAAACTTTTCTCCACATACAACTACACACAGAACTTCGACAACTCTCCTCTCACGCCCCCACGATTTACGATAACGATCACAAACACGCCAGAAACCACTCAGCTGTTCAAGTCAATCTCAGACAGCTCGATACAACATTCGAACCTCATTTTTTCAATCTTTGCGTTGAACTCAACGGCCACATACCTTACTCGATTCTTCGCCAAAGCCGAGAAAATGGCGGGCCAATCCACTCTCAAAATTTCGAAGAACTCCGCAACCGACAAGAAAACCACCACCGGAAAGACTCAAACACGTGCCTCAAGAATAATCCTCGGACCCTCCAAATCTACGACTGGGACCGAAATTGGCCACAGATCCATGAGACTCGGGGAAGCTAAGAACAACCAAACCACGGGAGCAACCACCACAAACAACACTAAAATCGTCACAACCAGGGACACTTCCGGCTTTACCATGAAAATGGTTCGATTGAAAACTAGAAAGAACCAACTTTTCTCCGAACCCAATCTTCAATCGACCAATCCCGTCTCTGGATTCGCCATACCACAACCAACCAAAGGCCACCAACAAGACATCGACTTCAGCACCGCATCCCTCAACACCGGAAACCCAAAATCGACCCCCCCAGCCGGATCCCTCTTTCTCAAGTTTCTTCACCCAGACATCCGCTACCTCATTTACGACAACCTGGTCGACGCCGAACACACCGTCATTATCTCACCAACTAGCAAGAGCCACAGTCCTATTTCAGCACTCTCACAATCCTGTGCAGACATCCGCAACGAAGTCAAACAATGGACCCAAAAACGAGCGGATCTAACACCTAACCCAACATTCGGATTTCTCAATTTGCCTCTGACGACATTCAAGCTCTCCTGGTTCGACAAAGAGCTTTTCCCCATCCGTAAATACCAAAGATGTTACTCTCCTAACGCCGCAAAAATCTTCCTTCCCCATCTCGAGCTCTGGCAACGAGCAATGACCATCGCCAACAGCTGCGAGGCTTTCTATATCAATCACCAGATCCGTTACAACAAGAAACTCGAAAACTTCGGCCCGAAGAAACTCACCGACCCTCTTCTTGCTCGTATTGCTTACATTGCTCATAATCATAGAGTTCTTGAGCTCAATAACCACGAACTTACCTCCGGCCGCCCCGACAAGTTCGACGTTGAAGCAAAGGACTTCGTTGTCCTCGATCCGAAAAAGTTTAAAAGAGGCATAGATGCCTCACAGGCTTTCAGCGATCTCTATTACCACACACCGTATGTCTGGTCTAAAGATTGGAGCAGGCATGAGGTTGAGCAGGAGTATTGCTTTGTGCATCCTGGGGATGAGCAAGGCAAATGGGCGAGAGGACTAGAGGCCTGTGGATCCGAGGCGATTCGCAAGGGATGGCCCAGATGGAGTTGTCCTTACGCTTTCCGCTTCTGTCTTCACTTGCTTACTCCTGTGGACGAGAGCTCGGCGCTCGATGACGATGAGGAGGAAGATGTACAATTGAGAAGTGGAGATGGAGAGATGATGGAAATCGACGACGAAGACTATGCCATGGATCTTGGCTCCGGTATCGAAGAAGACAACGGCCCAGGCATGGATCGTGAAGAAGGTGAGGATGTAGAGATGGACCACCAGGAAATCCAAACACGGAAACGAACCCGATTGCAATTGGACATGGGATATAGAGCAGTCAAGGATGGGGAGGGCCCGTTGCGAAAGAAGACAAAGCAGGAGGGTGATGTAATGGATATCGAGGGAGAGATGGCACCCTTCGCGACAACGCAACAACAACAACCAGCCATTCAACAGCAACCAACCACTCAACAGCAACCAGCCATTCAACAACAACCAAATTTTGTCTCCGTCATGGAAGCATCGGCAAAGCCAGTGATCAATCGTTCTATATCTTCGATGGATGAGGATTGAGGGAAAGATGGTTGGGAGCAGGAAGGGAGAGGAAGGAGCAGGAGAGAAGGATCAATGAAAGTCGGATGGAGAATAGGACGGGAATGATAATCCAAGCTTCAAAACATCATTCCCCTCCAAAATTGACCATTAATTTCAAATGATATCCCAATAATCGTTCCCATATTGAAACATAAGCTTCCTTTCAACTTGCTAGCTCACATATCCCTGAGATTTACCCGTGACTTTTAAAGTAGGAAGGAGTGAGAGTGTAGTGCTCAAAAGTAAAGCTTCTCCCAGAAAGGTTTTGTTGCACATGCGCGTCAGTGTTCCAGGTTCATCTAGCACGATGAGAATAGCAAAGAATCCAATATCAAGCCTTTAATAGCTTTTACTAGAGTATGGATTAACTAGCCGCCATCAAGGTTTTGTTGCACGTCTTCACTTTATATTCTCGTCCAATGTGTCAAAAATAATTACAGTAATTAATTAATTACTATCTTGAAAACTAAAAATAAATTACCTTAATTTGGATAATTAATTAAATTAATTAAATTATCACGTGAGAGATACGTATAAGAAAACATATTTCTTTTACTTAAAAAGATATCAAAGACTCTTCTCTTAACCTCTTACTCTTATATACTCCTCTCTTCTTATAAATGTCCTGCTTCTCGCCTTCTATTTTCACATGTATTTCTCTCACGTGATTATCTCTTATAAGCTTATATCCTCTTTTAAGCTTTTTTTTACTCTTATCTTCTTATATACTTAAGTTAAAGTTATATGAAACCTTACTCAAGTCTTATCTTTAACCTTATATAGCCCCTTAATTATATGCTCCTTTTATAGGTTCATGTGGCTTAATAATTAATTATAATCTAATTACCAGATTTCGGACTTAATTTAATTTAATTACCGGTTAATAATTATAATTAATTAAATTATTAGACACATTGTTCTCGTCGAACAGGGTGGAATTCGCGTTACTCCCCTCCTCTTTTTATTCACTACGCCAATACACATCACATTTACTTTAGACCATTGAAACCTTTTGTTGTATACCAGCGTGGCTGCTCTGCTTTCGTGATCTTTTACTTCCTTTGAACCTTGTATGTGAGCAGTGTAGTGAGGCACCCAACACAATTTCCCTGTCTCGCTTAGCAAAAGCGGAGGGGAACTTATCAATATTGCATTTATACGCCGACACAAAAGTTTCGATGAACCAAAATCTCTTAAAGCGTTACTGTCTTTCTTGGTCATTGTATTGCATAATAATATAAATATATACCGAGTATACACATCATCTCTCATCTTGATATCACGGAGAAGCCAACAAAATCAAGTCATGCAATCCAATCCGATCCTATCCCAAACTCCCACTTCAAATGCAGTCCACCACGCATACCCCCCATCTCACTCTATGCCTTTCCCACCGTCTCCTCAAAAACAGCAGCAATATCCAACACCCTCCCATCAAACCCACTGCCCCCCAAAAACGTAACCCCGAACGGCAGCTTCCCCTCCTCCTTCTCCACCCACCCCGCATTAACACTGACTCCACAGAGATCCACCACATTACCCGCATGCGTAAATGTACCAACCTTAGCATTCAAGCCAAGAGGATCCTCTTCCATCTCCTTAATGGTTGGATGGCAGGGCGCGCTCGGCACGAGCAGGACGTCGATGCCTCCTTCGAGCGGGTTGAAAATCTTCTGGGCTTGCATTGTGTATTGTGCTTGTAGGGCTTGATCGTGGAAGACGTTCCACGGTTTCACGGGTGAGTCGAGAGCTGCTTGAAAGAGGGCTTTGGTGGTGGGATGCAAGTTGTCGATGTTTTTGATCAGGAAGTCGTAACCGATTGAGGCGATGCGTTCGTGGACTAGAGAAGCGTTGTAGAGGAGGTCTGAAGCTTTTTCGAAGGGAGTATAGTCGACTTCAACTTGCCGGCCACCGCAAGATCGAAGCTTCTGAATTGCTGTTTGGAAGAGGTCTTGGTACTCTTTTGAGCAGGTGGCTAGCACATCTAATGGTGGGACACCGAAAGTAAAACCTCCATCTCTGGCGCCGCGGAAGTCTGCCTTCCAGAGCGAGAGCGTAGTTTCAGGCTTTGCATACGGATCCTCGGCGTCATACTTGTCAACAACGTACCAGACATTTCTGGCATCAGTGAGGTTTGGAGCGATGATGGACAAGGTGTCGAGGGACTTGCAGGCTGGCACCATGCCACGAGCGGAGAGTGTGCCTTTTGTTGGCTTGAATCCGACTATACCGTTGAAAGCTGCCGGAATGCGGCCACTTCCAGCGGTATCAGTGCCAAGAGCGAAGGAAACGAGACCCGCCGCTACAGCGACAGCGGAGCCAGATGAAGATCCACCGGAAATATGGTCTTTACTGTAGACGCTATGAGGTGTACCATATGGAGACCTGCAACCAGAAAGGCCAGTTGCGAGTTGGTCCATATTCAACTTCCCGATATAAAGAGCTCCGGCATCGAGGAGTAATTGGACAGCCGGAGCGGTGGACTTTGCGGTGTATGCGAAACTTTCAAGAGTGGCTGTTGTGACGACACCTTCAACATCAATATTGTCCTTCAGTGCGAATGGTATGCCATAGAGAGGAGGCATTGGCATCCCCACGAATTTCTCGGACAACGCTTTCGCGGCAACTAGGGCTTCATCCCGAGTCTGTTTGGTGATCCAAACAGCTGGATTGATCTTCTCATATTTCTCAATTCGATCATACACTGCTTGAATGACCTTCTCCGGGCTCTCGAGCCCACTTTTGTATCTTTGCTGAAGTTGAGCGATGGGCAGGAGCGTATCCTCAGAAGCGGGTGGTGTTGAGGGAGGGGTCAATTCCCGCGATTTTGAGGCAGAAGCAAAAAAATCGGAGCTTTCCCCAATGAATCCGAAAAGGCCATCTTGACCACAGATAATATCCATAGATGTGGTGACCTGCTGCTGATCGAATCCTCCTGTGCAATCTGACAATATGGCGCATTCGAACCCGCGGTCATGGCACTCTCGGAGGGTAGTCGTCACACAGCACCTGTTGCAGTCAGCATCTGAACGGAAAACCGTCCCGAGCAGGGCTTACTCGGTAGTGACGCCAGCGACAAGTATATGAGTGATGCCTCTAGCAAGCAATACCCTATGCAATCCAGTTCCCCAGTAACTTCCCTTTCCTGGCTTGTCAATCACGGGTTCACCAGGGAGCTGCCTCAGTTCATCGATAATATCATGACCCCACTCACCCCTCACCAGCAGTCTTCCCATCGGACCTCGATCGCCAATCCCCATTGTATGGTGCCCATTGGGATTGCTGACTTGTCTCAGCTTTTTGGATGCTGGCAAATCGGAGAGATCGGGTCGATGTCCTTCGCGAGTATGAATTACTGTCATACCAAGGGACCTAGACATCTCGAGGACTTTCTGGATTGTGGGAACAATCGTTCGGACTGCAGAGTGGATCTCGTCATTGCCACATTGAATGGAGCCAAAGCCGTTCTTGTCGACAAAGTCTCGCTGCATGTCGATTATAAGCAGTGCTGTTGTGGCAGGCGGGAAGTTGTAAGCATATGGGCGAGCATTCAAGAGGGAGAGCTTGACTGGAGGAGCCATGTTGATAATCCGAAAAGGAAAATGCGTGTATAGAAAGAGAGGCAAAACTGGGCTTTCTCAGAGTAGTGAATTGGACGATAATGAGGTTGGGCTCAGTGACAAGCTGATTTTGGGAGGGCTCAAGGATGAGGAGGAGGATTGACTCTGTATAAAATGTGGCAGTGGTCACCGGAAGTATCTACAGGAAAAGAAAAGAATCGATTCCTGGGAAGTTGGAGAGTCGATTCCGTAAGCTTCTTGCAGTTCAAAGGTGGGAGGTGTAGGAGCAAAAAAGCAACATCTCAGTCGACAAACTTTTGTCGAAGATCGTGAGTAGAAAAGCCATCGGCCCCAAGACCCTAAGGCCCAGCGAGGCTATTCCTGCCGGCGGGGCCAGCGCGTTGGCCATCATGGCCGTAGGCATGCCGAAGGCGTGAAGTGTGAGAGGGCCGAGATAAGAGAAGGAAGAGTGGGCGCCATGAGGGCGCTGCGACTGCCGTAAGTGGTTCGGTTAGCTGTCTTGGGACGAGGCTGCAGAGAGCGCCCTTTCATCAAATCAGGGCTGGGGATGGAAGCCAACATGATTTGCTGGTATTTTGAAGCTGCATGCAATTGGAACTGGGACTTTGCCTGCTCTTGGTCCACGTCTGTCCTGGTCTTGGTCACGGGAAACCCTTGTCACGTGCTTGGATGCTCTTGCCAAATTTCCCCCTTTCGCTTGATTGGCGAGAACATCCCGAAATGGCCGGAAGAACCATAAACACTTCCAAGGTCCTCGCATTCCACCTTCTCTCAGACTTTCCCCTACTTTTTGATCCGAAAGAAAGCCTTCATCGCTGTCATTTGCACGAAAATCTAGCCTCGCGGGACAATTTCATAGTTTGCTCCCCTTGCTTACCCAGACGTCTGAAATTGGATCGAAGCCGCTCTCTCTCCATTATCTCCAATGAAGAGCCATCCTGCTTCAGAGTTTTCGCTGTGCTAATAACTGACCAAGTTTCGAAGGACGCCAGACGCGTCCCGGAAACCGAATGCCCGGACAGCCACTTCTCCGGAGACCCCATCCAGATGCTGCAAATCAGATCAACGTTCTAGGGGAGTTCGGTGCTGGTGAGCTGCCTTTGATGCCAGCCTGTGCGCCGTTGCCGAAGGCAGTGGACGTCGGCCACTGGGGCGGGGCTGAGGAGGGCTCACTTGATACCAGGCCGTGTCAACATGTGGCCGACGAAGTGTGGGATGGAGAGCGAGGAGGCGGGTGAGGCGTCAAGCAAGAGGTGAGGATTCGCCCAGCCATGGGGTTCGCAATTGGAACCAAAAGCCAAGCGTTTGGGCCACTCGTGACAACTTGGAAGTTTCCCAAGACATGGGGTTAAGTGCATATTTCCAGACAATGGCAACGGCAGACAGGCATGTACCGTTGTTGATTAGGTCAAGGCGGAGCCATCAGGAGCAACTGGGAGTGTAAGAAGCCTTCCCCGTGCCCAAATTTCGAGTGTCTGACTTCGACAGGGAAAGTGAAGCTTCTTCCATGACCAGCCCCTCTCGTGAGACCTTTCACCTGGTCGTCCAGGTCACCCCGTGGGCGGAGAATTTCTCAAGCATATGCAAGAGACGTGTCGATCGCTCCTTCTGGAACCCCATGGGATGGATCAGAAAACGCCATGCCCTCGTCCCGCGGCTAGAACATCGTCTTGGGACAGGAAAGAGAGTTTTCTGATCTCGAAAACGATACACGCTGGCAGAGATACCCAGCGATGGCACGCGACTTTGCAGAGATAGAGAAAGGCTGGCATCTTGATGGGCGGAGTTTCGAGGGCTGAAAGCAAGGAAACTTATTGGAAAGGAGGAAAAAGCATTGATGGAGAGACACGGACCCAGCCAAGCTGTCAAGCCACAACCTCTCGCTCTCGCCCCTCACTGGACCATTGGCGAGCCCCAGCAAGGGTGCCAACCTCCTGCAGGGCATGTAGTGGGGACGGTTTCGCCTCTCCAGCGCCGGGAATTTCTCCCGGAGGGTGCTGGCCTTCGCCCACCGGCGGCGCGTTCGACCTTGGCAGCTCTTATCGCAGTGCATTTCCCCAATAATGGGCCAATATGCCCATATGCGGGCGGTTATCAACTGAACCTCAACGACTTACGATACACCAAAAGTTTTTATCGCAAGATACACCGTGAAAATGATTCTGGCCCTCAGCGGGATAGCGAGCGCAGGAAATGCATATAACAACGTCAATTCTCTCATGATATTCAGAAAATCATCATCAGTTCGACTGAAGACAGTCCAAACACCACTTTGAAACCCAAAGCTGTCCCTCAGCCGGAATCAACATGGCCAGCGCCGTTCGCAACCGATTCCAGAAGATCAAGGCGGGAGCAAAGGAGAAGACCAAGCCTTCAGGATGGATTCTTCCACAGGAGAAGGGGGCCCTTGGAGATGAGGGAACTTGGTGAGTACCTTTGACTTGTCTAAAAGAATCTTTATTGACAAGCTCAGGACCAACATCGATATGGATGTTACGCCTTATGAGCGCCGTACCTGGACTGCCTTGACCATGGCCGGTTTCTGGTTCTCCGATGCTTTGAACGCTCAGAGTTGGGAGGCCCCAGCCACCATCCTCGCTGTAGGCTTGACCTATCGTGAGGCTATTGTCTGTATCATCTTCGGATCCCTCTGCTGCACTGTCCCCCTCGTCCTCAATGGTATCTTGGGTGCTCGCCTTCACGTGCCCTTCCCTGTTGCCATGCGTGCTTCCTTCGGATGGTACTTTGCCCGCTTCGCCGTCATCGTCCGTATGACAACTGCACTCTTCTGGCACGCCATTCAGACTTATACTGGTTCCACCGCCATGACTCAGATGATTCGTGCTATTTGGCCTTCATTCTTAGACATCCCGAACCATATCCCCGAATCGGTTGGCATCACGACTCAGCAGATGGTCAGCCACTTGATCTTCTGGTCTATCCAGTTCCCAATTCTTCTGACCCCACCACACAAACTCCAATGGTTCTTCATCTTCAAGTTTGGTAAGTCACATGATAGTCTTTCTCTATCGGATCTCTGACTCCATCAACAGTTGTTGTTTCCATCACTTGCGTCGGGGTGGTTATTGCCATGTGCAAGAAAGCCGGCGGATCTGGTGACATCTGGAAACAAGAGTACAAGGTCGATGGCGCCATGCGCTCCTGGCTCATCCTCTCTAGCATGTCTTCCATCACTGGCGGCTGGGCAACAATGGCAACGAACATCCCCGATTTCACTCGTTACCTCAAGCGCGAGCAAGGTGTCTACTGGCAAGTCCTGTTCCTGCCACTCATCCAACTTTGCCTCGGTCTCTTCGGCATCATCTCTACCTCTGCTGCTAAGGTTGTTTACGGCGAGTACATTTGGGACCCTCTCACTCTCGCCGCACAATGGAACGGGCCTTCCGGCCGTGCAGGGGCTTTCTTCGTCGGCTTCGCCTGGGTCATTGCCCAAATCGGAACCAACTTGTCAGCAAACGTCATCTCCTGCGCCAACGACATGACCTCCCTCTTCCCAAAATACATCAATATCCGCCGTGGTGTGATCATCGCAACCATCACCGCAGCCTGGATTATGGTCCCTTGGAAAATCATCCACTCTGCTGCCTCCCTCCTCTCCTTCATGGCCGGTCTCGGCACCTTCCTCGCTCCCATCGCGGCAATCATGGGCGCCGACTACTGGATCGTGAAGAAGACACACGTCGACGTCCCCGCCCTCTACAAGGCTCGCGCCCGCTATAGGTACAACGAAGCCGGCACCAACTGGCGGGCCGTCGTCGCCTTCCTAATCTCCGTTGTCCCCAACTTGCCTGGTATGGCTGCTTCAGTCAACCCAAAACTGCAAAGCGGTATTGGAGGCTCAAGGTATATCTACGATATGTTCTATATCTGGGGCTTCACTTCCGCCTTTGTGTCGTACTCTGTGCTTTCTCACTTCTTCCCTGAACCCAATACGCTTATCGAGGAGACGATCCCTGGCGAGGCGGCGTTCGAGGAAACCAGTGCGACGGAGGAGAAGGCTGATGGGAGTGATGGTGGTGATGAGAAGGTTGTCGTCAAGTCGACTGACTATGAGGTTTAATCCGTTGACGGATTTTGACGCTGGCATTACTGTCTTTCCGGAAGTTGGATAGCGAGAGTGTCAGGTGTTTGATTTCCTTGGTTTGGTAATGATTGAGTTGAATGTTGAATGTCCGATAGTCTGTCATTGAAGAAGTGTAGAGCTCACAGCTGTGGGATACGATACTTGATGAGTGTTTGAATTTGAATGACCTCTTTAGCGAAATATGAATATAGCCCCCAAAATGTCTTTCTCTTCTAAATCATGCACGTTGCCGGTGACAAGTGCCGAATGGCTGAAACCGGAATTGAATCAGAAAAACCCAACGTCAACCTCCTTCCCCTCTCCGTCCAATATCGCAACACTCAGCGCCCCCGTCGCCAAAGCACCAACATCTACGCTTCCAGCCCAGAGTTCATACCCTGCTTTCCTCCCTGTATTGTTAACAGCCACATTGTCGAATGTCTTTATAGCGGGACCTAATGTTCCTTGTTGCCCGACGGGGACTTGGACTTTGACTGTTGGCGCCACTCTGGATCTTGTTGCGACGGTGAAGTTTAGAATCGTTGTTGATGTGGAGGAGACGGAGGTGAGGGAGGGGACGACGAAAGCGGAAGTTTGCACGGGGAACGTGATGTGTGAACCGTGGCCGGTGACGCTGAAGTGCGCGAAGGAGCCGGCATCTATGACTTTGGTGGCGAACGGGTAGAAGGCCGTGGTTCCGAAGATGGACTGGCCTTGTGCGGGTTCGGGGGTTAGGGGGATTGGGGTGGTGGAGGCTATGGTGAGAAACGCGGGTGCGGACGGTGGGGAAGATGGAGTTGGTGTCAGGATCTGGATGTATTTAGTAGAGGTTGGAGGATAGAGGGAGAGAGGGGGACTGACTCGTATATATCCTGAAAAGAAGAGGTTTCCTTTGCTATCGAAATCGAGAGATGCGTTTATGGGCTTTACTTCCATTGGCGTCACAACATCTGAGAGCACAATGCTTTTCGGCACCGTCTCAATCATACGCTGCAATAGCCCAACGCAAGTATTTAGAAAGCCCGTACCCTGCTCTCCGAGGGCGATCATAGTGAGGTTATTATCGCTCTCATAAAGCCGAAGATCACTTCGAGATGAGACGTTAAAGGACGTCACAAGTGGTCCTCCGCGTTGTCCTGTGCCATTCAAGTACTCGTGTACGACCAGAGGGTCGAAGTTTGCCACTGTTGTGTCGAAGTGGATACCACCAGCGAGGTTATCTGATGAAACGGCTTCGGGACCCACTACCGTTGGGAATCCTCCCTGGAATACGTCAGTAAGTGATGATGATGCGAAGGGAGGGGGACTTTACATGATGAACACTACCTAAAGTGTGGCCACATGCAGTCAGGCCGATGGAATCGACTTGATTGAAGCCGGCGCCGCTGAAGAAGCCCAAGGTTGTAGGGATGTCAGTCTCAGGTGCTGGAACTCCGAAAGCACCACCTCCTGTGGCGTCGATTCTGCCGGCTCTGAAAGGGATTTGAGCGCCGCCGCAGTTGCCCACGCTCTGAAAGCATTAACTTGATTCTCAAACAAACCAAGTGAGACTCCTGACTAACCATTACCACTGAGAGGGCAAGAATGTCCGCAGCTGTAAATTTCAGGTCAGCACTCAGTGAAAGGAACAAAATAGTGGCTTGGAAAGCTTTCGGTGCGTGTATGGAAGATGATTTCTCGCTATAAGAATCACTTATAATGTTTTTTGTGTCCGAGAACACAGCTGCTTCCTCACTTGAACACGAAGCAAGAAGTTCTTGGAATGCGAAGGGAAAAGAGACAGTACTTACTACTGATCACAGGGTTTACATATGGTCGAAAAAAAGTGAACGAGTCATTAAAAGCGCTTCCCGAATTCTCCTCTCTCAGAGTTTCAAAGCCAATACTGGCATCCAGACCACCAGTTCCCGAGGCTACATCAGCAGTCACGAAATCATGGAAGGCAACCCGGATCCATTGCGCTGCCGTCGTCCGACCCATGGATTGGTTCCCAGAAACATAATTTGCTGTTATGATATTAGCATACGCTTTGAAGATTTGATAGCTCGGCCCCTGAACAAATTTTTAGGGACGATAGCTAGCCAGGGGATGCTTACTACAAGGAGTGATCGCATCAGCGAACCCTGAAGAATGCGCACCATGTGTATCAACTAGAATGTGCTCGAGGAGAGAAGCTTGCGTGTTTGGGTAGAAGAAGGCACCATAGGCACTTGAGAGAAGCCCGAGGATTGTGGGGAGTGCGAGAAGTCTTTTGAAGGACCACATTTAATGTCAAGTTTGTACTAAACAAGATTTTGGAATACTTTAAAGACAATAGACTCTTGCGGGTATTACGGGTATGTGAGTGTCGAGAATCTACAATGTTGCCCGACGAACTGACAAAATTTGTGTGGTGATTGTGACGGATCTGATATTAATGTAGGGACTTTGCTCGCTTGCTTTCCTGGGCTTCATGAATAGCAGACTATGCAACAGGGAAAGTCCGGTTGTCGCGAATATTTATAGAAAGGGATGTTAAGAAAGTCGTCGGAAGGGTAGAGTCAGGAACCAGCTTGAGGTTCGCAAACGAGAACCTAATGCAAAGCCTGCATTATACAGTGGCTAATGGGAGAAACTGTATAGTACTAAAACGGCAGGAGAGAAATTTCCACCTCGTATTAAGCCTTAACAGAGATTCTCCGGCCGCTAGTTCACGGCTGTGGCGATTCGATCGGTGGTAGGTTATGCAAGTCAGCAGTGTGATGAATAATCGTTACCCCCGACAATCCTTGAACATAAACGGATCAAGGTGGTACCTCGCAGGTATTTTGCTCGAAATGGGTAAGGGTTGCATTCATCCGGGATACGCTGCATGAGGGTGCAATTATTCCCCAATCAAGACGTTGGTAGTTTGATCGGCAGATCCTGGGTCGTAATTTGTGAACTCGTACGAACGCGTTGCCACCAGTGATGAGTATATCATCCTTAAGACATCAGTATATCTCACAGAGCGTGCGAACAACCACTTCGATCTGAAACAGAATGCCATTTGTCTAGGCTTCCGGGTCTCAATACGACCACAACCCGGTATTCCCCCCCATGCCATACCCGAACTCCTGGGACTGCGGATCAAGATTACTGGATGTAAATGTAGCAGGCGAAGTTGACGTTGAGTGCTGACTCGGGTAGTACTGAGTGTCAAACGAGTACTGACTCGGCGACGCAAATTCGGTCGGTGATAAGTGGGAGTTTGAAAATTGAAAGTGCTCTGGATGTTTTGAAGATTGGACGCTCCCATTTTCGAATTGTTGGAGTTGATCAGCCGGATTCGTAGGAAGTGGTTGAGGGCTCGAACTCTCGGCCTTCGCTGTTAAGAGCCCTGTATTGGCATCAAGCAACGCCATTGCAGGTTTCACTAGACCTCAGTCAGCAGATGAACTATCGGGAAGCAAGATGTACGTACTGTATCTCGCACCGTTCTCGCTATTGATTCTCAATATCCATCGATACTCTCTCAACTTTGTTCGGTAGAAGTCAGCTTCCTCTAGAGTTGACGCTGTTGACAGTAGCAATGTCCCAAAAACGCCAATGAGAGCGAAATTTTGTGGAGATGCAAAGTACCAAAAGCTCGACAGATGTTGTGGTTTCAATGACTGCACAAAATCAATGGCAAATATAAATCTCTCATGCGCGACTGAGCGGCAGATACGGTACAGCTGAGGATCGGTTGCAGGAGAAAGAGTAAGTAATATTCGCCGGTGAAGGGTTATTTCAGTGGCGACATAGGCAAGGCGAAGATATCCCACGGAATTGAGTTTCATAACTTTGGTTGCTTCCATCGATAGACACTCTGGTAGGCTTGAGAACCAGTCTTTCAGCCTGAGCTGAACGGGTTTGACCTTCTCGAGAACGATAGAAAGGCCATTTGGACCTGCGTCTGCAATGTCTGCGACAAAGGTCAGCCACCGATGTGTATCTTTGTCTGAGAAGTACTAGAATGAAGCAATCCTCATATGCGTACCTCTCGTTGTCTTCACAGTGAACACCGTATCAAGCAGATCCGCCAAAATCTGTGAGAGGGCGATCATGTGACTAAAAAGTATTCGTCCCTTCTCGACCTCAGAGCTTCCCTCTTGCTCATCTTCATGAGAAGCGTTCTCAGGGAAATCTGCGTTGGTCACGGGCTGCAGTGCCCAATTCGCCGAGTTGATGAGAGATGGTCGGCCACTGCCCAAGCTGGACCATTTATCCTGCATATAGAGACCCCACCCAAGGCGTTTTCTAAGGCCCTTCTCCCAGTCGGGAATGTTCCAATTAGAAGCATCCAAGTGTAGGCCCAGTCCATAAGCAACGCTGATCAGTTGTGCTGTCAACTCAGCGGAGTCGGTGTCAGTATGCTGAAGTAGCAATAGCCCAGCCTGCACGGTAGAGAGTTTAGGCCGATGAATCGTATCTCCAAGAGCTTTTCGAGCAAGCTTCTCTAGCTCCAGAACGTCTGGTTTGGTAGATCTGCTGAGTTGGTTGTCGTATGTCCAATATTGAAGAGCGAGGAGGTAGACAGCTGCCAGTAGAGGCGGTGAGAACTCGCGGTAGGAGCGACTATACTTCTCAAGATACACCTCCTTATGAAGGATGGGGAAGCTGGGAAAGACAATTCTGAAGTACAAGTCCACAAGTAATTTGCCGTGAGGTCGAATGATAGCTTCGATTGCATCCAAATCATCGAGTTCATCGGAGTAGCCTTGGGTGCCTGGATCGGGCAAGAGGAGGAAGGCCTCGGTTGAGCTCACTCTCCGAAGAGTGCCTTCTGTCAGCTGAACTTCACTCCGCCCAGTGGTAGATAACTGTCCCAGCAAATCAGGCTCGAGTCCTCTCGTGGCACCGACATATTGGCTGTGATGCTTGTTCTGCAAGCCGAGTGTCTTTTTCAACAGGCTGGGGCCTTCCAGATCATCATATTCTTCTACTCCGGTTCCATTCGTCGTCCGAATGACTCTCATCTGAGCCCCTGGGGATATCTTCGACCTCGCCGACGAGCTTGAATGCCTGATATATGCTTATCAGTTGACATGCATAAAGCACGTGATCATGTTTTGCAGGAGCTCATACCGTCGTTTCGCAGTCTCAGAATCATCGGGATCTTGAGTAGGCTTTCTCTTCCGAGACTGTGGATTCTGGATGAAGGTACATTCCTGACCATGGAACTTGCAGAGGACGCATATCGTTGATTCTTCCTCGATCACGCATCGACTCTTTCGCTTCCTCTGTTCCAACAACCTCGCCGTCAACAAGTATTCAAACCTCGTAGGATACAGGTATGACTTACGCAAGCATCGCAGGGACGATCCTTCCGCTTCGGCTGATTCGGTGAAGCCATGTTTGCGCATCGTAGACACGTTCTCCAGAGATGTGGTGAGGAAAGCGATGAGGCTCGTAGATGTCTCTTGAGGTGACTAAGCATTTTGTGAACGTGGGGAAGCAAATGTGCACATCTTATCTCCCCCACCTCATTTTTACCTAATGCGGACATTCAAAAAGCCTCCTTCGACGCCAATCTCGCCAGTTGGCCAGAAATGTCACCGTCGAAGAAGAATAGGGGGCGTCTCTACCACATCCAAATATCACCAGGGATTCTCACTGGCTGGCTCCTTTCACAGTCAAAATTAACCTGGGCTCAAAGCGCTTCTCGAAAAATGTGACAGTCACGTGATCTCCACAGCGCTTTCCGATCGCGTATTCAATTTGAAACTGGCAAAAAGGAATCACAGCCCATGTTGGACTTCAATGCTTCTCACGCATCCTCGGTCTTCCCCCCAGAGCGTTGTCGTTTCTCAAATACAGGGTTCCAACAGCACAGCCTCTCAATACCAACGGGTCTTAATCTAGTTATAGGAAGTCAGTAAGCATAATCCTGGAGATGTCCAAAGACGACAAGTGTTTCTCAATGGTCATTGCCTTCATTTGAGCCTAGGAATGGAACTGACGTGTTGTTGCTTCCCTGTCCCTCATGGAGCCAATTGAGAGACACAAGAATCCTAGCAGATTTCATTCAACAAGCATGCTGTACAATTGATCGCTCATGACGGTGGAACGTTCGATCAAGCGATCAAACGGATAACTGGAGTCAAGGTCGGTCAGGTGGTTCTAAGCAATGGCAAGTTTGAGATACGGCAGGGCTGCGAACTTCCGCCCTCTAACAATCTGTTTGTAAAGAGAACTGATGGTGAATCCTCGAAGTGCTTGATTCGTGTGCCCTTCGATACCTTGATGGCCGGACGACAAGTTGTGGGTTGCACAGCTCCTTCAAACTTCGGCATCGACGGCACCCCCTGAGATGGAGACTGGCGAGTTTGGCAGAACTTTGAGTAGTTCTTCGCTTTGGGTTCTTTCGGGTTGCACTTTTGTTTGTTTATTCAAGCCTCTCGTTTGGTTTTACCAAGGCTTTCCAATTTCCGAGTGGTTGCTCGTGTTCCGTCTCGTTTCGTTCCTCGGCTTCTCGCATCAAACGCATGCTTACGCACATCACCAACTGTGTTCTACTCTCAAGCTGTGATTCATGAGTTATGTCATGTACAACAACACGGCTAGCATTTGAAGGATTCTCACTTGTACTTCATGCAATGACGCTGACCGCATCCTCCTCGGATCCCGAGTATGCGGGAGTCCGGCCCTGTCACTTCTCCAGCGACAGTGGTCGATCCTCACTGGACACGTAACGGAGACAGAAAGGAGATACCGGACGCTGTTCTATTTCCATTGAATGCATACAGAAGGGAGAGGCCACATCTTCTTCCCCAGGACCTCCGCATTGCAGCTACATATCGTCAATGCAGAATTCTTTTGACCAGTGATCATCTTCACAGTCCAGTCAACTACCCAACGGCCAAGACGAGAAATTGGTTATCTGAAGAATCTCCGCTCATTCTTCTCAACTGCGAAAAAATCGAACCGCACATTCATTTACTTCGCTTCAACGACCACACTCGTGGCCCGAACGGCGAACGTAAAGACTCACTGCGAGAGAAGGATGAGTTCAACATCCACAGGCCCTGCAGGCGAAGGAAACGCTTTTCCATTCAACAACGCAAACGAGAACAAACAGTGGCCAACTCTCTCGATCATTGGCGTGGTTTTGACTGTGCTCGGATTTCTTGTCGTCGTGTGGTTTATCTTTTGGATATTCAGGAGGGAAAAGAGACAGAGAGAGAGGGCACCGGCCGGTGAAGCAACAAACCGTAAGTACAGACCCTGCTAAGGCCCAGCTTTTGGAGAGACAAACAGACTGACACTTTCTCAGACACTAGTCGACAAGAACCGCCGTTGCCAATGCTCCACAGATACTGCTAGGGCGAGGACCGGAAGCGAGCCGCAGGAATGCAGCTTCCAGCTGATGAGGCCTCCTGAAAGAAGCTTCAGTTGAAATGCAACCCGAGTTGTAGCGTAAGCAGCCACATTCGATGCTACGCACTCTGTGAGTGCTTCACGTTGCCTGATCTCCTTGACCTGAAATTTGTTTGTGGTGATCTGATCCAATTCGGGTTCTGAGTCCTGACCCTTTGCAAGGATGAAAATCCAATTTGCGCGAAATAAGGGGACCGTGCGAAAACGCGGTTCGTTGACCCCTCGACGCGTCCTCCCAGCAGCTTGCGGGTTTGCTTTTTCTGCCCGATGCGTTGGTATGTTACGAGCCAGAGCCATCCGTGGTGGGAGAAAAAGGTGCACCTTTCCTACTGATTGGTGCCCGCTAACTCTCCCACCGCTGCGTTTGGTCAGTGGCAAACCTTTGGTTCGAGAGGAAAACCAAGTGAAAAGTCGGTGAAACGGCAGTGAAGCCACTGACAGTGAAGCGACGAACCAGTCAACCTTGTAGGCCGGGGTTCAGCAGCCACGGCCCTCACCCCATATCAACAACACTGATTTCCCACCCTCTGGAGGAAAATCTTTCTTTGCGTGTTACTCAGTAACATCAATTACAATACTGTGGAGTTTTCGATCAAGTACTGATTTGCACGGAAGTTACAACATTCAAAGTGCCCGAGATACCAAACTACAACTTCCCCGAATTGAGGTTCCCGGGTCAGAAGAATCGATCACCACCAACTTCATTCGCACATAAAATCTTCCAATTTCTCTTTCCCACTGCAATAATATTCAACCAAAGGATACCTTTGAATTCAACAGATTAGGACAATGGCGCTCTCAGCCAATGCCGCTCGAGCATTGGAGCAAGTGAAGATGGTGAGTTAATCACATCTCGGATTCTCCCACTTCCGCACAATAACCAACTGAGTTCAGGGCTTATACATGCTCTACGGAGCAGCCTATTTTACTGAAGACGAATGGATCAAGATTGACGGCTTGATACATAAAGGTCAGTACGTGTTCACGCGTGGCCCGCAGGACAACGTCCTCGAGGAGGAATTGATCTCCTTCGAGGGTTCCATCGAGGAGAAAGCACAATTCAACGTGCAAATTCACGCAAATCAATCTCTTGATGCCATCAAGGCGGACCATATAGAGATCATGGAGAGATCAATACCGTCCCCAACTTCGTCTGAGCCCGCCAACTCTACCGACTGCCCTCCAGAAACCCCGAATGGGACATCAATCGAAGCGTCTTCCGACGACGAACCCACCCAAACACAAGCAGCGGGGCTAGCACCTATGCTCGACTGGGCTTCGGAAATGGAAACCTCGATGCCGAACGAGCCAGTCGAAACCCCCACGCGACCTACGCCACAGATCCCTGCTGCTGGCGGTCTTGCATTGGGATATACACAATCACAATTGGATGAGGTCAAGGCCTTCAATGCAGGATTGACCAAAGCTGGAAAGAAGTCCCGCCCCCAGTACACAAAAGAGGAGGAGTCTTACTCTTCTCCCGAATCGTCAGAAGATGTGGCTTCATCCGAACAGACGAATGAAGACGTCTACCCTTCCCCAACACCAAGTCAGCAAGAGACACGAATCCAATCATGGGCTTCTCAAGTGAAGACACAAGAGCCGAGTGTTCCGCAGAGTGTTCCTCCCAATCCCAGCAAAAACACTCCCCAACCCAAAATCACAAGTCTCAATGACCCGAACGCCAAAGCAGCCGTCGAAGCTTTCACTAAGATCTACGGCCGCAAGCCAAGGAGCATCGGCGATATCTACCAACCCAAAAACCCCGAATTCGTTTCTCCTGAGAAGCGACCCATTTCCCGCACATCCAATGCGACTTCCAAGACGGCCAGATCTATTTCCGTTTCCAAAGCCATTGTTGCTCGTCCCTCAACGGCATCAACAACAACAATCACCACCACAACGGCCACAACCACAAAGGGACCAAAACCCGATCCGCGCTTACAACCAGGCAAGACCTTCATCGCCCAGAGTGCCTTTGAAAAATCAAGCAAGATCTGCATCGATGTTCGTCCAGGTGACAACATCAAGATCATCAAGCATGTCTCTGGAATCATGCATTACGGATTGAATCAGAACACCCACCAGACCGGTCAATTCCCGGAGTCAATCTTCACGTTTCCCCCTGGCGTGAAAAACAAGCAAGAAGCCTTGCTTGATCAACAGCGAGCTCTGGCTGCTACAAAGAGGTCTAACCAAGTCGCTCTCAGGAATAGTGCTCCGAGTGTCAGCACATCCAACGGGCTAGATCGTTTTGAGGGCATGAATGCTGCGGAGTGGGAGGATGTGAGCGTTGTTTCCAGACGAGCTGCTCAGACTCCTGCCCCGGCCAAGAAACCCGTAGGCGGCTTGAGTGCATCCCGGTACGCCGTGTTGGCCGACGAGGATGAACCCCGGGCCAAGAGAGAAGAAGAGACTTCGTCCGGCATCTCGAAGGAAGAAGTCGCCAGGCTCTTTGACGAGAAGGCATGCTCACTTTCATCCAATCTTGTATTTCCAAATACTAACAAGAAAAACCAGTTCGCTCAAATCCTCGCTGCGCAACAAGCAAACGCTGCCGCTGCCAACTCCCAATCCCTGGTCCCCACGGGCCCTCGCTCCAATGGGCTCCTGAAAGAACCCCTCAAGCCTGTGAACCCCAAGACAAACACCTGCTGGTTCTGGGCAACTCCCGGCAAAGACTGCCGCTTCACAGCCGACGAGTGCAGAGACCTGCATGCGCACCTCCCTGTCTCCTCCAACCCTGCGAACCTCAGAATGGGGAAACCGACATGGGGCGCTCTCGCTGACTCTCTTCCTCCAACTCCCACTGACACAATCGAGTACAAACCCGGCAAGGTGTCGAAGACGTGTTGGTACTGGGCTAATGATGGCAAGTGCGAGTTTTCGGCTGAGACCTGCAAGTACCTTCATGGGCATTCTGCGGCTGGTGTAGCGCCGAAACCGCATACGCAGGGATGGAAGAAGAGTTTTGATTGGAGTCGATTGAGGAAACGTGATGGCGAGAATGGGTATGAAAATGGTACTGAAAGCGGCCACGAGGAAGAAGGAAATGGTTGGGGCAATCTTGCTGAAAGCTCCGCCGTCAGTGGTGGATGGGGCGAGTATACGCCTGGTGAAGAGGATGGCGAATTGGTGCTTGAAGAGGTGCAGAATGATTTTTGGGGTAACGGAAATGGGAGTGCGAGTGTGGGATGGGGCAATGCAAATGGTTGGGGGGAGAGCTCGGGGGGTGCGGGCGGTGAGGGTTGGGGGAATTCGGATGATAAGTATAAACCGCCGCATATTAAGGCTCTTGAGGAGAAGGCGCAGATTCAAGCTGCTGGATGGTAGGTGCAAAGAAATTACTAACGCTAGATTGGAAATTATGTTATGGAGCTTCGTCTCCTTTGAGTTTGGAAATGGGCAAGAGGTATTTACTTGGAGTATTTGGACAAAAATGGTTTCCGGTTCCTGACAGGATATATAGTCTCTTTCCCCCTTTAATTAAGTATTTGGCCAAGTGCGCGGAGATGAAATAAAATTATAAAATTTAAACAGGCAGAACGGGAAGTTCAAAAGTCAGAAAAGTGTGCTTCCTGGGAAAGAAATGCCAGAAGTCCATTCAAATCTTATACAAATTGGTTATCCAAGTGCGCCTCGGAGCCACGCTGCAACGCCATTGATAAAACGGACCGACGGAACAAAAAAAGAGAATCATTTTAACATTTATAAATACTTGCTTCGGAGAGCCTGGCTGATAGAGCTCATTCGACTGGCCATCCCGCCTCCGGCTTGCATATTACTCGCTAACGCCTCTTCCAAAGCGCTTTGCGTTACTGATGCATCTGGTTCTTGTTAGCTCCTCGTTGATCAAAGTGAATGTGAGATTTGTGGAAACCTTACCATCCAAATCACTAAAACTACTTCCCATACTCGGCGTCCCATCACTATCCTGCCGTCCCTTTCCCTTCAACCCCGGACTCCTTCCCGCCAGCTCCATTGTTCTTCTCGGCGACAGAGGACCTGTCAGTATCTGTCGTTGCGTTCCCCGCAATGGCTCTGGACGTCGGGGAGCTGGCGCGGTCGAACTGGTTGAGGAGTCGGAGGTTGCGGATTGGAGCGCTGCGTCCATCGACTTCTTATGTGCTGGCCGTCTGCTGCCTATATTTCGCGGATCTCCTCGAAGTGTGGCGCTGGGATCTTGATGTGATGGCGCTTCTGAAGGGGCGGCAAACGGCATGAAAGCTGGATTCTCGTCTTCCTCGTCTGCGTCGCCGGATTGTCCTAGTTTGTTTGCGGTGAATCGGGGAGGACGGCGCAGGAGTCGACTTTGCATGGGTGGCTCGGAGTCAGAGGAGTCAGAGGATGAGGTTTCTTCGGGAGAGGACAGGGGAGCGGGGCGAGGAGAGCGTGTGAGTGGTTCGATGGCCAGAGAGTTTGGGCGGGATTTGGTTTTCGGTGAGAGGGAACGCCGATTTAGAGTTGCGTGTGTTGGTCGTGGACTTGTAGGGGCAAGGTTTCGGGATGTAGCGGTTGTGTTTGCTGATGATGTGCGGGAGAATGGTGGAGCTACAGAAGGAGGTCAATCTACCAGCTTGTTTTGGGACATTGACACCTTACCTGTTGGTCGACTGGGAGTGCCTGGCACACTCGGGTCGTTTCTGGGTACTGGAGAGTCTTTTCGGGATGATAGAGCGGATGCTAATCGCGGACCTAGACTATGTGAGCTTCCGCAAATATATACTTTGGCGTCTAACTGACCTCCTCCCCCTGAACCTGTCCTGCGCATAGCCTCACCTCCCGCAGACTCAGATGTGCTCCCGGGAATCGGCGATGGTGCAGCGGATCCTTTCGACACCCCAACTTTCCGCATCTGAGCTCGGACTTGGAGCAGTTGTCTTTCGTAAAGCCATGCTGCTTGTTGGAGAAGGAAGGCTAAGGATACTTCGAATTTCGTTGCGCTGGGACGGGTTAGCTTGGTTCGCAGGTAGATAGAAGACTAACAGTCCATTCCCTATAGGTGTTAGCCAGATACCCCGAAGATTTAGGGGATACTTACAGTCGATGTCGCTGTTCTTGGAAGCTTTCGAGAGGATCTTCCATAAGGCTCTGTCCTTTGCTGCGTCCCAATCAACCTAGAAAGTCAACTTAGGGTTCGGGAATAGAGAGTGTGACTTACTGAAGGAGGATCGACAAAATCCCCTCGAGGAAATGGAAGTCTAATAAAGACCGTATATGATGGCTCGGAGCTCGACATTGTTGTCGTGTTGTGGATTGCTTCCAGCTGACGATGATTCTTTATCGGAGCTTGGGCGCTAAGATAAGCTTTCAAGTCTAGCTTCATCTGGGAATAAATTTGCCGCCCCTTCAAAAAAGTACTTCACTTCACTACCTTCAACTTGCAACTCTCTTTGTACGCATATTGCCATAATTTCCGAGAGACTTTTACAATGAGTCAAATTACGCCGACCTATTCTATGAGAGTATTTGGAAGATGCAGTTCAATGTCTCCGGAAGTGTGGCACCGACTCCATGAGTCTTCACACAACGTGCGAAAGGCCCAAAGTTGGAACACCCAGACTCCACCTCCGCTGCTTTTTTTAAGTTTCAATATTTCGGAGTCATTTGTAATGAATCTTGGTAATGCTGTTAGCATTCGCAGAACTAATGCCATGTTAACAAGTTCGTTCTTATCGAATCTACCATATTTGCCGAAGAACCGATTTTGGAATCTCCTTATGTCTTTTCACCACCAAGCATCACCAAGCACATTTCTAGCCGCATAACATCGCAATAAGGCAGTTGAAGTCTACCATCTGGGCAGCGCTGTTTTCCGTCAAAGCTGTCCACGCATCACTCTGGTAGCCGGGCGCAACTTCATCTCGTCTCCAGGAAATTTTGATTCAGACACACGGCGCATTCAATTCTGGGTTTGTTGATGCCATAATGCCTTGTGTCAACTACGTCTCTGGAGCACAAACTTTTGGAAGATAAACAGCTGCCAAATGGGTTAAAGTGGCTCTTTATGACTTCGTTACTGCAACCGTTGTAGCAGGCACCGGTGGTATTGGGTTCGAAACGCTCCGTGCAGACGATGACGGCGCATTTGTGAACGACGCTCTCAGCAACGACGACTAGCAACACTGCTGGTGGCATTCGTTCCGTTTCTGCGCCAGATATGTTCGATGATAACGTGGTCCAGGAGTATATCTCGGTTATGGGACAAATGGTGGACCTTTGTTTACGAGCGTCAATCTTCTAGTCGCAGCGATCTTAGGCTCTACTCTAGCGACGGCCCCAATTCTACCACATAGATGGGTATACAATTGGCTATCGTCACAATGGGGATGTTGTGGAAATTCACTTTTGACGTGTCACTTTCGCAGTTAGGTGTTCTCAGTGAGACAGTGAGCTCTCCATATATAAGCAGTAGCAGCGTACCCCTGTACCCGATGATTTCGGACCGGTGCCAACATTCGTGCCTGCTCGTTTTTAAGAGCCAAAGGGCCCAGAGGCGCTTATGAGGATGTGATCCACTAGTTCTGACCTCGATACCAAAAATAAATTGCTCGGAAATTTTTCAAGTTAAAGTTTGTGAGCATTCAAGGAGCTCGCTTGAGCTAAGAAACACACGAAAAAGGGGAGGGGGGCGGTTGGGATGCAAGTCAAATGACATAAACTGACGACTTCAAGATTACCCCAAGGCTCGTCCAAAACACATTATCATTCACACTAATCTTCACAAAATACCCAAACTCCATCCAACTCAAGTGAGAGAGTGAGTGATATCTACCTCCTTCGAGTCTCCGGCATCTCATGAGCATTCGCGCTCGTCTCCACCTCATTAATGTACGGCAGCCCCTGCCCCGGCCCTGGCATCGCCTGATAACTCATGACTCCCTCATTCTCATGCGGGACATACATCTCGTGTCCAGGCTGAGGATGGTATGCCAAGTCAGGCTGACCTTGATACCCCATATTCTGCGAGGGATAGGGAGCACTCCCGTGAGGATTTTGAGGTGGATAAACAGTCCCATGCGGACCTTGTGTGGGATATGCAGAGGACACAGCGCTCTGGGGCGAATACCCCATATTCCCCACCCTTTGCTGCTGCGGAGGCTGGCCCGCATACATCTCCTGGCCCTGGTAGCCCGCAGGAGGGACATATGCTTGCGGCATCTGCTGAGGCGGACTTCCTTGACCTGAATACATACTCTGAGTTGGCGAGCTCCCATGACTCCTACCATACGCACCCTGTCCCGGCGGCGGACTTTGCGTAGGGCTAGGATAGAAACCGTTCACGGTATAATGCCGCTCCGGCAAATTGTTGTCAGGCGCGCTGCTCACTCCTCCTACTGGTTTTCTCGCCAGCCCAGCGGCGACTAATCTGTTTGCCGTGTAAGGGGGGAGTTGGGAAACCGGGCGACCGCCCATGGCGCCAGCATTCGAGTTGTTGGCTGAGGTTTCGGGGTTCGCTGGAAGAGGAGGGGCGGTGTTTTCTCTTCGGCGGCGGAAGATGAGGAAGAGGAGGGCGGCGAGGATGGCGACTGCGAAGGGGACTCCGACTCCTACGCCGACTTTGAAGCCGAGGGTGGAGGGAGGCTTTCCGTTACTAGTGCCGTTGACAATTGCTGGGGCTGTGGCTGTTGTAGTTGTTAGCTGGGTGATATTCAAAGGGAAGGTATGTGAGAGACCGACTTTGACTGCCCACAGTTACTGTTATTGCTGATTCTCCGTTACTCCACTGGCCGCCGCCCACCCCCCGACTTGGGCCAACTACGTTACTGGGAAATTTCGTGATCGTGACAACAGGATCAGTTGAAGTGACTATGGTCGTGACGACTTTGGTAACGAAGAAATCGATATTTGTAGTCGAAGTTGGCCCATCTACAGTGACTGTCTCCCCTGGAGGATTTACAGTTGTATAGGTCGTCGTCGTGAAAACACTTATCGATGTGGCCGTAAAACCATCCCACGACCAATACAGAAAATCAAGAAATGGAGCGCTGGCATCGAATGGAACGCATTCGAATCCATTACAGCACGAAACTGATCCGTCTCCAATACAGCTCTGGGTGGTGAGACCTGATAATTATTAGAACGAACGCCCCCAAGAAAAGCTCCGAAGACTGAAGAGACTTACAGCAGCCAACTCCGCAGAATATCTCATCCGAAAGACACGAATCCCGATCTTCCAACCAAGAATCTGTGCTGTTTCTTCCTTTCGCCAGATTAAAGGAGGAAAGGGCTAAATCGCTTGCCGGCCCATCGAGCTGCTTCTCTAATTTCAGCACCCCAAGTATCTTTTCCCCGCCAGTAACGCCTTCATATGTCGGACTTTCGACCCTTCTTAATTTCGCAGCCGCTTGGGAGGCAGTCACAGTGACCGTCTTCGCGCCAGGGTCCACAACGCTTGTCGATGTGCTTGTAATTTGTTGAGTGGACGTTACTGTTACCCATTGAAGGGGGGCCGTGATCGTTGCCGGAACTCCTGTAAGAGCTGTCGTCGGTCCGCCATCTACTATTGTCGTCGATATAACCGGCACTGTCCACGTACAGTCCCATGTTTGACTATTGTACACATCCGCAGTATAGTCGCATGTCGAGTAAACCGAGTCGTATGTATATTCGTAAGGACAGCCGTCACCCAACTGACTGAAGGAGAAGGTAAAGTCCTGATATGTATTGACGGGGTAACATGAAAAATCCACAGCCTCCGGGCCGTTCGTTGAGATGCCAGCCATACCCGTAGGCGTACCCGTCCATGTAAAAGTCACATCTAAAGAGTAACTATCACCCATCTTGACTATCAATCGGTGCTCGCACCAAAATGCTTCGAATAGCCGCTCAGCTCCAACGTGCTTTCCGGATGTCTTTTCGATCGCTGAAGGTATATCTCAACGACGTGCTTCTCGAAGCATGCGGGCGGGAAAACTTTTCAAAAATCATACCGTGCCGCCGGCGGGGGAGCTTTCTTATCATCGGCATCGGGTCCAGCAAGCAATATCAGGCTTATCAGCAGACTCCTGCTGGATGGCTCGAATGTCCCACTCACAGCTGGGAGGCTTCTCAAAGCGGCTCTTGCAGACGCCACATCACAGCCTCGAGGCAATTGCGCTTGGAAATGGAAAAACAAACTCGTTACGGAGCGAAAATTGCCCCGCGGGTGGCTTGATGAACAGCGACCCGCATATTACAAATCAAAAGATCCCAGAAGAGGTGATTGAGATGAGGAGATATGGTTGAGCTTGGGGAGTGATGGAGGTCGGGCGCAGAAGAAGCTTCGGATTGGCATGGCTTATCCCGCTTTTTGAAGCCCCGCGAAAGCTAAGCCAATAAGACAAAACACTTGGCGAATGAGCATTCATGTTCCAACTCAGCCGCACGCACCGAAAAGCGGGTGGACGAATTTGGATATTGTGGGGGTTTGGAGACTTGAAGACCGTGGAACACTGGAAGCGAAAGAGAGAGAGGTGGCTGGGCCCGAGGCCGGCATGCCGGACCACACTGTCTTAAATGTCAGGCTGATACGATCCAGATGCGAAACTGTTCTAAATATGCCCAATTGAAGTGTTTCCGCGGCAAAAGAAAAGAGAGCAGGTGCGTGTTCATCCGATGTTCCCACAAGAATTCTTCATAAGCTATTTTAAGGGACTGGGCTGGTGGGACGATGCTGTGCAGATGCAGGACTTATGCTCGAACGTTGAATGGGAAGAAACTTGCTCAATGATGGTAACCACTATTTGGACATGAATCGTGCAAAGGTACTTGGTTCAAATAACTCTCAATTCGGCGAGCAGGTATCTCTGATTTAGAAATCAACACGCCAATGTGTGTCCCACAGAAAACTCCGCCGGATGCATGATGCTTTATGTCTGAATCTCCTGGTACGCCGCCTTGGACTTAGGAGCCGCTCCGTGAATCATGGTCAACAATTCTTGCAAACCGCTTTTGTTGTCATCCCGACTCGTCACTGGATCCAACAATCTTCCTTCCTGGCCCTCGTAAGGTTTCCCAATGCTCCTGATGATACGCCAGGCACGTCTGAACTCATCCCGAATTGAAACGATGCCATTGTGCGTCACGGTTCTCGCAACATTATGGTCTAGCTCGAAAGGATCTTCGATGGCAAAAAGGTATCGGTGGCGAATTTCTTTCGTCTCCTCCATGGTCTTCGCTGGCAGCTTTGGTGTCTTCACTTCTTCCGCTTGCTCACCAGGTGAAGCTTCAGGCTTGCTGCGAGCCTCAGGCATGGTTGCTGACGATGGTGTTGGGGGTGCAGCAATCGTCGATGTCTCGATCACCGTTTTTGCTCCAGTCCATCCTTTCTCCTGTTTCGTCAAAATCCCACCCATTGTCCGTAAACTCAAGACCTCACGACCCCAGTCAAATCCCTTGTTGCCCACCGTCGACATCTGGCCATTTTGGGCAAAATACTCGAAAAAACCTCTCAGTAAAACGCCCACCGAATCATGGTTGTGATTCAGCATCTTCCTCTCGGATAGGTTCTTGATCTCGGCTTCATTGCGCCAGAAACGCACATCTCGGCCTTTGCAGATTGTGCGTGCTTCGACCTCTGCAGGTGGCAGGTATTCTGGCGGATTATGGTTGACTGCTTGAAGGTTGGGGCATACAAATGGTTGTGCGACGTTGACGAGATAGTGTAGCACCATTAGAACATACCCATAGCTACTCAAAGTTCCTCTGTAAGGCGTATTGATCCCACGAACCTTCGACCAATGCTTGATGAAAAGGATCATTGTCTTTACACGCGGATCGCTGTGAAAATAGCATCGTAGAAGCTGGGTGTTGTGAATAGCAAGGTGGGCAGAGAAGTTGATATCACATTGGATGCCGATGTCCGTTTTTGGGAATTCCAGATGATCTTTGTACCGATCTCGTGGTTTGTTAGGTGATACTTGAGTTGGGTCCGGAAGAGTGCGAATCTTTGCTATGAAGTTGATCTCTGATTCGGTCGGGACATTTTGTCGGTAAAAGTTTCGGCTTCTGAGGAGACTGACGTACTCTTCAACAGTACCTCGGTCACAATCTTCAAAATAGGAAGACTTCAGAGCATGCTCGTAGTCGATTGCGAGCTGCAATGCGCGATGGTGAAGAGCAATCTGTTGTAGTGTTGCGCCTGCGTGGGGAGAGTTCTGCAGAACTTCACGTATCGAATTGTTGCTGACGCCTGCAACGTAATGAGCAATGATGATCGGTGTCACATTGTCCCCTGAATTCGGCTGATCGCGAGCCTTGAGATCATTGATGATTTTCAAAGCCCGGCCATGGTAAAAAACTGGATCCTCATATTGGATCTGTTCGAGAAATAGCAATTGCAGAGAACTGATTTTTTTCAACTTCTCGGAGGCAGAATACAGCTGTCTGTTATATATTGATGACTCCGTGAGGGGTCCGTGCTTGTCTTGTAGGGTTCGCCATGCTTCAACGATAGTCAAACACTCGTATTCCTGTTTGTCTTCTGATTCGGTAAGTGGGCGAGACTCCCATGCCATTGCCAATCGCTCTCCTTCGACTTGATTCCAGATTCCTTGGAGTGTCCGCTGTACGGGAGGGAGTGATGGGTCGAATAATGGTGCAATCGAGTTGTACTTGCGCAGGCGAGTTGACAAAGCCTCAGAGGAGAGTCCGGATATGAAGGCCTTGCAGACAGAATTAAGGACCCTACTTTCCTCTTCGCTGAGATCGGGTGAGGTAGACGTCAAGTCACGACCCCCGAGCTTTTTCAAGAGGCGTTTTGCTGAGATGTAGTATTCACCTAAGGATTGTTTGTCCTTCTGCTTGAATGCGATTTGCTTTTGATCTGAAGACTCCCGCCTGGACTTAGGGGGGGCAGCTTCTGTTGCAGAGGTTATAGAGTTTGCTTGGTTTCCGGTACTCTGCATTTTCGGCCTCTCTTTGGTCTCATCAGGCGTCTCAGCGTCATGTATTTCTTCGTCCTCATCTTCTGGCTCGGCGACAAATCCACTCTCCCACTTAGCACGTTCTTCCAACAAGTCGGAAAGTAGCTTCTCGGTGGGCTTTTGGCAGAGCTTGATAATCGGAACTCTCGTTCTTGTCAAAAGCCGAGCGCCATAACCTAAGTCCAATAGTTTTCTTTCCAGCAGGCGTGGGATAGGAGATTCCGGACAATCAGGGGCCGGATTGGATTTGGGCGTAAGAAGAGCAAGGTCCATGTCAGAAGCCTTGGTCGCGAAGCCTGATTTCAAGCTACCGAAGCACTGCAGTTCCACAGTTGATGTGTCGAATTTGTCATTCCCGAGGTCTTCCTTCTCGTACTGGACAATAGCTGCTTGACAAACTTTCTCGACTACAGCTCTGAATTCTTCCTTTTCGGCCTCTTCCACGGAATCGATGCCCACAATGGGTACGCGCTCTTGAGCAAGATTTTCGAGATGCGCGCTCTGGATGGCTATCTCTTCACCATTTTGAGGAAACATACGTCCTCGTCCTTGACCTTGATTGGGACCGGGCTGATAGAGCTGTCGGTTCTGAGCAGGCGGTCGTGCGAAAGAGCCTGGTTGCTGTTGCTGCTGGAATTGATTGTGATGTCTGGGCTGAAATTGCGGACTTGGTCCTGACTGGTGATTGTGCATTGGTGATTGAGGAGACGCCTGTGGGAAAGGAGTTCGAGACGAGTAAGGAGATCCAGAGCCTGGGTTCTGGAATCGAGGCGAGTGCTGCTGATTTTGATACCTTTGGTTTTGATGATTATGAAATTGTCCCTGATGGCTGGGAGGTCCCCATGGACTGTGACTTTGTTGGCCAAAAGATACTCTTCCAGCTTGGGCACCAGGGATAGGCCTAGTATCAATTGGAATGGACAATTGAGAGTTCATTTGACGTCTCTGTGCCTGATTGGGTCGTTTTCGACTAGCAAAGGACGATTGCTCCAGATCGCCACCTTGGACGGGTGTTGCAGCAGGATTTTCTTGCTGTCCAGATGGGGTCATGCTCTGCACGTGAGTTGGCGGTGCAGAGGGAGCTGGGTGGCCAGTTCCAGGAGGAGTTGTATTTGCGTTGTTCAAGATGAGACAACGGAGGCGCGCCTCGAGGTCACCGCCTCCCTGATTGGGAGGTCCTTGTGATGGAAACATCTCTTGGGAGATGGAAATTGCCCTGATCGGTGAAAAGCGTCGTCCAGCTTTCTCAGATCGTCATGTGCTGCGATCTCTTTTGGTCAAATGAGTGCTGTGGGTTTGACGTGGTCGGTAAGAGGTAGTGACAGGACGTGTAAAGAAATCGAACAATTGTAGTCAGGAAAACATTCACTTTTGGGTTTGTGCAGTAGAAAACCCGTTCACCTTCGGTCCACATCCCAACCAATCCTCGGATGACCTGCTTTGGAATGTATGTACCGGCAAACAGCTACGTCCATTGTTTGGTGTTCGGGCCAGGCTTCGTCCTATTGACAGGCCGTGAGGTTGTCTCTGAGAAGGCGATGTAGGACGGCGAATATAAAGGAGAAGTGACTGTTTGTCCTCCAGATTTCAACTCAATGCAACCTCCGCCACGGCTGCAAGGATTATTTAGCCTCGTTTCGCTTACACTAGCGCAAGACCGGGGCTAATTCCGATGACAGCGCTCGCCGTGAATCTCAAGAACCACGACCACGGTCCAAAGAGACGCGAAGCATTCCCCAGGAAACAAAGAAATCCTACAACATAACATACAAATAACTCGTGCTCCTCCACCGTTCCACCGTCAGTGCATCTGCGAATAACAATACCGCGCGCTCCATCCTGCACGGTATTATCCAGCAGCACAATCCTAGGCGTCAATCAAGGCACTTCTCCAACCATCTCACCCTTGACTTCATGAAGACGACTTAAGCTCACATACCGGTGCCAGGTACTGGGTGTACTTGCACTGCTGCCCATCTGCGGACGCCGTAGAGATCGCGACCTAGGGTTCCTCTGTCACTTCTGCAAACATGAGCGCCTCACCGTCTGGCCTGTCGAACGGCCAAACTCCTACTCCTAACGGTGGCCCTCCTCAATTTGTGCGAAAAGCCAAAGCTGCAGATCCACTGCGACCACGCAAGAAACCAGTTAGACGACCCAATGTCCCCCCTAAACAGCCCATAGGTTTGGGCATCTCTGCCCCTGGCTCGGCAGGTCGTCCAACCCCTCTTAACGGTGTTGCACCCTCACTTGGCATCGGAAGCTACCAAACACCCGCAAATGGCACACACAACCAAAATCTTTATGGCGGCTGGACGCACCCACCTCCGCCTCCTAGTCAATATCAAGACTTCCCATTGCTCACGACAAAGCGAGCTCTTCGTGAGGGCTTGAGATACCACATTGCTAGGTTTGCAGCCCCAAAGAAAGATGTCGACCCCAGCAATCAAGATGATTTCACGCGACCTGTTGTTTTACACCGAAGGGATCCAAAGCAACCTCCACCTGGCAAAGGCATTAAGGATGAAGATGCTGTAGCTGAGGAACCAATGGATTCCAAGGAGCGCGAAAAGCAGGAGATCCTGAAAGCGGAAAAAGAAAAGCAAAAAGCAGCAGATCTTGCTCAGATTGCTCCGACGGGGAACAATCTTTCGGCCCTCGCGGCGAAGAAGACTCAGGCTTTCAGAAATGAGAAGACTACACAGGTCCACCGCCTGGATAAGACCGAGGAGCAGAAGAAGGCGTCGGATTTGAGATACGAGGAAGCACTACCGTGGCACTTAGAGGATGCAGACAACAAAAATACTTGGGTCGGCAACTACGAAGCCGCTCTTTCGGATACAAATGCCATCTTTTTCATTGATGGAGCGACTTTTAGGATGATTCCCCTTGAGAAATGGTACAAATTTACGCCCAAAGGTCATTTCAAGACTTTCACAATCGAGGAGGCCGAGGCCAAAATGAGCAAGAAGCATAAGGAGTCCAGATGGGTCATGAAAACAAACGAGCAGAAAGAGGCAGACCGAGCAACACAAGATACCAGAAAAACGTTAAATAATCTGTACACGGTCAAAGCCGAAAGCAATACATTTAAAAATGTTGGCAAAAGGGAGGTAGAAGATATGGACGATCTCGATTATGATGCAGAGGATCTCTTCCAAGACGACGATGAGCAGGCCACGGTTGAGCCAGACAAGGATGAGGAAACCAAGGATGCTCAGGACAGAATCAAGCGAGAACAGCTCGGAGCCAACATTTTCGATAATGCTAATGAGGCTGAGGTTGATCAGGAGCTTGAGGAGGAGGCGAAAGAGGCTCGGAAGCGGAAGGAGCTTGGCAAAGATTTGGTGAAGGCTTTAAAGAAGCGAGAAAGGAACTTGGCCTACGAGAGTGATTCGGACGGCAATCCATACTCTGAGACGGCATGTGTGATGGTCTGGACAGCTTTGTTGACTAGCTAACAAATCACAGAGCGAAGACGATACTTCGGATGAGGAGAAGCAGAAGGAGATTGACCGAAAGAAAGATGAGGAGGCAAAGAACAAAGCCAAGGCGGAATCGAAGCTTCCATCAGGTACTTCTACGAAGGGAACCAACACACCCTCTGGTCGACCCAAGCACACAGACCCTCTGAAGAAAGCAAAGAATCTGAAGAGACCTGGATCGCCGAATTTGTCAGAATCGAGTGGAAATGAGTCGTCTCGAAAGAAGCATAAGAACAAGCACCCCTCATCCTCCCAGCCAACCCGGACTTCCACTCCAGTCCCTAGCTCTCGACCAATGTCTCCTGCGCCTTCAACCTCACAGCCTGCTCCTAATTCAAGCCCCCGAAAATCATCGATCATTAAGCTGAACGTCAATCCGAACAAGCTCTCTGATATTCAGTCTTCGCCACCTAATCCAAGCCCAGTATACAACGCTATGAGTGACGGCGAAGCCACTGGAGGCGAGGGATCTGATGGAGGACGCAAGAACAAGAAGATTAAGCTCACAATCAAGGGTCAATCACCGACTGGCTCGAGGGCAGGTAGTCCGGCTCCAGGAAAAGCTGGTTCTGTTGGAGGAAGTCGTGCTGGTAGCCCGGCTGCTCTACAAAGTATGCAATCTATCTCTCAATTATCTGGTGGTTTTGGCTTCAAACATGGTCTAGAAGGGGTCTGATGTGGTACCTTGATCTGCCCTCATAGGCGAGACCAGCCAGGTGCAGCCCGGAAAGATTCAGGCGGGAAAAGCCAATCCACGATCTATGAGCCATTTACCTTTACATAACTATGCTAACTACTTTTAGATGCTCCAGCAACTGAAGCTGGACCTCCTCGAGCAAAGTCGCCTGCTGTCGGACCAATTCAACCTCATGAGATCGTTGCAGCTCTGCCTACATCAGGTGCGGGTATTGTAGCCGGGGTATTGATGAACCTTTTCGGCAAACGAGTTGGGGACCAACCTAATCAGACACCAAGGAAAGACTTTATTCAAATGGTGAAGGAGAATTCGAAGTATGGGCCTGATAAGCTATTGCGGAGGAAGGACGGCTAAAGGGATGGACTACGGCGGATTGATGGGATGGCAATGGCATGAACTGGAGGACGCTGTGTTTGATTGTGGCTGTGCTGGAGAGCGTCCCTTTCGAGACGTTGCTGCGTGGATTTGCCTTCTCCGAATAGGACCGAATTTCACGAGAAGCTCGGTGGTAGACCAAACGAAGAAATGCATGAAGTTCTTGAAATTCTTGATTTTGTATTGGTCGTGGGACTATTCATCCATCTGCCATGAATAGTCTAGCTCCTTATTCCTAGCTACCCGATTCAAAGCCTTGAACCTCTCAGCTTCCCATCCATTCCCTCGATCAACTCCATCCCATCGATGCCCGGGTCTGATACTATATCGATTTGGTGCAGCTGCGCCTTTGTATAACGGCTTCCCAGAGGCACTCTTCCCTTTATTCTTCTTCGCGAGAAACTGTGCAGCAGGATCATTCCACCTCTCCTGTTCCTTCAACTCGTCATTCATCTCCACGTCATCAATCTTCCTCGCGACCGGCATAAACCTCGCCTCATCCAGCTCCTCTCTCCTCTTCTCCTTCTCCAACCTCTGCACATCCCCCTTCTGCATCTCCTTCTCCTCCCTCTCCTTCCTAGCCTTCTCATCCGCTTCCCTCCTCGCTTCCTGCCGCCGCATCGAGATATCTATCCTCCTACCCGTCGCATCTCGATACACCGTCTCCTCAACCTTCTCCTCATTCCCCTTCCCCAGCGCCCTCTGCTCCCTTTCCCACTGCGCAGCCTCTTCCCTCTTCCGCTTCTCAAACTGCTTCGTAACAGCACTTGCAGACTGCAACCCCGCATGTGTGCCATCACCCATCTTCACCACGCCCTCATCATCCTCTATCACCGGCCCCTCATCCTCATGCATAGCAGCGCTATTCTCCGCCGCCGCTTCGGAAATTATCCTATCCGCCTCATCGGCATCGCTGTCTTTTGGCTGCAGAGCCGGCACGCCAACAGTCTTCCACGCATTCTTCTTTGCTTTTCGAAATTCTGCGGAGCCGGAGGCTACGGTTGTGGGGGTGTCATCTTCATCCTTTGTGGTTTGGCTTGCGGTCCATCCGAGCGCGTCGTCGTCTGCTATTATGAGGCCGCTCCCAGAGGACTTTTCCTTCCGCTTTCGCTTTTTGCCGGATGAGGAAGGCTCTGCGTTCAGGTATTTAGAGGCGAGGTAGGAAGAGAGTGACATTTTGCGCGGGAAGAAGGTGGTTGGGTGGACGAAGTTGCCTTGTTGCTTGAGCCAAGGCTGAGGTCGGACAATGCGTATCACGTGCAAGCAACCGGGAATCAGCTTCAAAAGTGAGTAGCCAATCAGGACTGAGAATGCACACAGTTCGATGCTCGCGTATTCTCAACGGAGATTTCCCCTTTTCACCTGAAACCAGAGCTCGACCACTCACTGCTTCATCTGGAAGGTCCTCTGCCTGAGTGGTCGAAGATCCCAAGCTGCCTTCGTGTTACCCCTTGAATGCAAGAAAGGAAGCCATTCACCTTGCGTTCCGCAAGCGCCACGACCTGCTCAGATTGGCCCCGGAACTTCTGGAAGACCTAACGGTCAGCCAGGATGCTTGACATCGTCAATGCCGTCTCCTGCTTCGCCTCAATGTCATCCCAGGCCCCGCATTCTGCTGCAAACATCACAAGAGTCTCCCAAGATATGACCGGCACACGAAGGGAAGGAGCCCATAGGTAGAATCGTTTCAGGTGCTGAAAGGGCCGAGATGGCGTTCATCTCGTGGGGTTTCGTTCGTCCATTCACGTCTCCTTGAGGCTCTTTCCTCGATTACAAGGGTCCGAACCCTCCTCTTCTTTCCGTGTGCAACTACATGTTTTCATCTATAAGTCTCGGGGAGCCCGAAGACATGAAAAGTTTCTACGCATTGCACTCTCACACTCTTTTGCTGCCTTGTTATTGCTCTTCGAGATCTCTCAGCTACACTCTTTCTCTGTTTTCGGTTTTTTACGCTCCTTACCATGTCGTCGTTTCTTCGCACTTGTTTTTTCGTGGGAGGCCTCCTGGCCGTGGGGTCACGGGCAGGCCCGGTGGTGGCCAGAGACGTCGAGGTCTATCCCCTGGCCGCTAGGTCACGGGCTGACCCGATGGTTTTGAGGAATATCGATGTCCTTCCTACCATCGGGGAAAGGGGCTTCGAGTCGCATGTTCTAGGTAACCACAGTCTTGCAACGTCTCATGTGAAGGACGTTCTCTTCAACCTGTAAGTAATTATCCAAGGCTCGTGTGCCTCAACTGATTCGTCAACAGAGGTGTTGCCGAATCAGTACCTCATAGTCCTGGTATTACAAACACTGTCCTTTTGGAACTCGAGTGTGTAGATTGCAGAACTTGGGGCTCGGCACTCGTCACAACAAACGGAGTAGATAAACATGAAGACTTTATCCACGATATCATTTCGTTCTTCAAGGACCCTGTTGACACTGTTGTTAATGCTTTCGATATCGAGGTCAAGATTGAGTTTCTTGATGTTGGCGGTCACTTTGAATTCGACCTCGTTGCGTCAGATACCGTTACTTACACATATTCCATCTTCACTTCTGAGACGCCTGCTGGCATCGCTATCAGTTCGGATGTCTCAATAGGCCTCGTACTTTTCGTCGACTTGGTTTTTTCTTTGACGGCTGAGATCGATCTTGAAGCAGGTTTTGAATTTGCTTTCCCAGAGGGTGCTTATATCACTGTTGACCCTCTTGAAGGAAAGATTATTGATCATGGATTGTAAGTTACATCATCTCGTTCTTCCAAGCCTAGAGCTAACCAGTTCGCAGCACTGGTGGCGAGACTAACAGCTTACCCATCATCTGCACCTCTGGATCCGCAACCTTCAAAGCTGCTCTTCGTGTCAGAGTCCAAGCTGGAACAACTGTTGCTATCTTTGGAACAGGATTCGATTTCTCTCTGGGTGTCTACGCAGATCTCATTGAGTACGTAGCAACACTTGACACTACACCAACCTGCGAACTCGAGATCACCGAGTGTCTTGATGTCAACGTGGGAGCATATGCTCATGCTGTCGTCGAGCTCGATTACATGAGCATGGGAGTAGCCCCTGCAGTCGTCACCACTCTCCTGAAACTCCCTCTCCCCAGTCTATGCGTCACTCGCCCTCACGGATCTTCTCTTCCTGCACTCCCAACAAGTGCCCCACTATCAGTGATCTCCACGATAGTATCTCCATTACCTGCGAATACAGCGTCTCCCACGTACACGACGTCGAGCAGCACTCCTGGCGGAATATTCCTCGAAGGCAGTACCACTGCAACCGTCGCTGCCGCCATCTCGACATCAGCAAACTCAACTTTGGCAACCAATACCGGCTCCTCGAACGCCACAAGTGCACCAGCACCAACAACGTCTCTCGCAATCAAAACCGGCTTCTCAAACGCAACAAGCACGATCACCTCCCCGGCCTCCCTCATAACATCCACCGTCTGGACCACCAACTACATAACGGTAACCTCCTGCTCCAGCACCGTCCTGCACTGCCCCGCCTCCGCCGCCTCGGAGGTAATCCTAACCAGCACCTCAATCCTCTACACAACTGTCTGTCCGTACGGCGCCATCCTCCCAACAACTCTCCCCTCCCACCTCGCCGCCAATACCTCACAATCCGTCTCGGCTCAAGTTGTCCTCCACACCGCGCTCGTCTCGCCCCTCCCTCTCATACCTGTCTCCGAGGAACTCGTCCACACGGTCTATGTCCCTACGTTCGTCAACCCAACATATACCATGCCTACCGCTACCAGCTTCCCTGTTGCCTACCCAAATTGGACCGCTGATCTGAATTTGGGGACCGCGACGGTGGTTGGGCATGTTGTTGCGACTCCAAGCACGACTCCGAGTGTGCCAGGAGGATCAAGTAATGGGACGGCAGTGGGAACTGCGAAGATAACGCCTACGAGTAAACCATTTACAGGTGCGGGCGGAAAAGAGAATGCCAGGTTGGCTTTAGTTGGTTTTGTTGCCGTGGGACTGCTGATCTTACTATAAACATAAGAAGTGTTGTCAATTAGAACGGGGTAATGACTTGGCTTAGGAGACAGGCTGCTCTTTGCTGGCTGTAATGTAATTCATTTCTCATGTACTATATCATTTATATAATTCAAGTTAAACTTCAACAAGAAACTACACTTCACAACTGGCGCTACAAAACCGTCCCAGCTTCATAACTCTTTTGTCCACCGAATCCAAAAGCGTGAAATACTCACCTGCCAATCTCTCAGGCGCCTCTTTCAACCTCAGTAGAAACGCTCTAAGAATACCAAGCTGCAGCGCCACGAGCCCGGAGAACAAACACGGCTCCTCGAATTTCTCAACTTCGTACTCGCTCAGCTGGAATTGCTGCTCGCTCCGTCCTTCCTCAACTTCAACATCGTCAAAGATTCGAAGATAGGTAGGGACGTTGTCCATTGACAAGTGATGCAGCGCATAATACTGTCTTGCGAGCAAGGAGACGACGTGCTCGTACGACGACATCACCTTTTGGCAGAGCACGGTGAGGATCGTCATTGTTGACGCCGCAGTGGTGTCGGAGCACGAGGTGCAGGAGAAGAGTGTCTTGCTTTGTTGGAGGATGTATTTGTTGAGGCGGATTGTGCGCGGGATGTTGCGAATGCTGGATTCGTTGATGGTTATTGCGGAGAGCATTTGCAGGGCGGTGGGGAGGCAGTTGCATGGTGGCGGTGTTTGATTGGGAGAGGGCGAAGGCGAGAGGGAAGAGGAGCTGGTGGGTAAGAGGTTAGGTGGCGTGTTGGGTGTGGTGGGCATCAAAATGCGTGGTTCTGGAGATTTTCTCCTTTCTGCCGTGCTGGAAGCGAGTTGGGGTCCATAAGTTGAAAATGGTGAACTCAGAAAAGGGGAGTTGTCGACGAGGCCTATTCAGAAATCAGGAAAATCTCCAAACAGACTTGAAAGTATTGAACTAACCAGAAGAAGCTGAAGTGCTCCACCCCGTCTCAAGAAAGTCATCCAAGCAAGAGTAATGATCCAAAGGAAAGAATCCCGCCCCCTCAACCTGCATATCTTCACTCAGGAAACTAAGCTCCTCACTCATGGACCCATCTCCGAGAAAGGCATCAAGGAAGGACCCATCATTCCCGCGTTTGAATGCAGCTCCGGCCCAAGGACTTGGAGGGGCCGGAGTGAGTTCGTGACCGGCAATAGTTCGGTCTGAGACTTGATCTTTGGTATTTACAGAAGCCGGGGGTAGCGGGACCTGAGAAGCCAGTTTTGTCTTGGCTCTTTTCTGAATGTCCCTAGACCGGGTCCTTTGGGAAGGGTCAGGGTAGGTACACGTGACATCCTTAGACAGACACCTACGGCAGCCGTTGCTTTCTCCGGTGCATTTCAACTGCAAATCATCGAATCAGACTTCCATGACTGAGAATGGACAGTGGACTTTGCAAGCTGCAGAGACGGGACTTACCTTTCTGGAACGGCACGCTTTGCACGCTAGATGAGCAAGTACATGCCCTTCTCGTTCGGGAACAAGAGCCGTGTCCTTGACGTATCGGAGAGTTGTAAACATTTTTGGTATCGGTGAGCTGGTTGGAGTTGTGATGAAGAGAGGTGAGTTGAAATGCTCAAAGGAGGGCGAACCCACTCGGCAATAACCCGATTGGGAATGGGCCGAGAGGAAGGGTCAGCTTACATATACATTTAACGCCTCTGACACGGACTTTTTGGATGCTGCAAGGTAACTACCCTGATGTTTCTGGAACGTTTCGCGATAAGTTTTCCAAGAAAGGGAACTTGCGAGTGTTGGATGATGGGTTCTTGCCGTGTTGTGGGCCCTAGACCTCCTCGGCCATACCCAGAAGAAATAGGAATCGTCTGCTTCGGAGATTCTCCATCTTGTTCGATGTAAAATCATTGGTCACTATGAAGGAGGGGTTTTTTGTCATATAAAAACAACCGGATGTACTTGTCAAAGTCCTCTGCTTCTTTTGATCACACCTCTATCTTTCTCAATCCCAGACAACTTTCACTCTCGTCAAGCCAAAAGCTCTTTGTCTTAGATACAATCTCGCAAGTTATCCATAATGACACTCTTCAATGCCCAGACAACCGGTGACGAAGTCGTTGAAGCCTTCGCCTCCTCCGTTGCTGGCAAAACAAGTCAGTTTCCGTGTCTCCGTACCCTTTCATCTCCCTTTCTCTCTTTACACTTCACTAACGAACCCCTAGTCCTCATAACCGGCCCCTCAGAACACGGTCTTGGCGCTCAAACCGCTCTCTCCCTCGCCGTCGGCAAGCCGCGTCGACTGATCCTCGTCGGCCGAAGCCTGACCAAAATCCAGCCCGTCATCGATGAGATCAACTCCATCTCCCCATCAACGGAAGTGATTTTCGAAGAGCTAGATCTTACGAATTTGAGCTCTGTGAAGAAGGCTGCGAAAGGGATTAATGGCAAGATTGAGAAACTGGATATCTTGGTGAACAATGCTGGAGTTATGGCGGTGAAGGATTATGAGAAAAGTGTCGATGGCATCGAGATGCAGTTTGCAGCAAACCACATTGGTCATTTTCTGTTGACAAATTTGCTTATGGATAAGATCTTTGCTGCTGAGGGGGCGAGGGTTGTGAATGTGAGTAGTGGGGGCTATGTGAGTAGCGGCATCAGATTCGAGGATTGGAACTTCAAGGTAGGATACTCCTCAAACCAACCCTTTCAATGAACTTTTTGCTGTGAAAATGGGAGAGGATTCAACTGCTGACCGGTACGTCGATAGGATGGCAAAGAATACAATCCATGGCTGGGGTATGGACAGTCGAAGACGGCGAATATTCTGTTCGCTTCCGCACTAGCGGAGAAGTTGAAGGGGAAAGGCGTTTTGGCGTTTTCTGTTGATCCTGGATGTAAGTCTCCTTCCCTTCAGCATTCAAGCAAAGACGAATGCTAACTGAAGACGGCAGTGGTTGTCGACACCAAGCTTCAGACCCACGTCACCCCAGAGATGTTCGGAGAAGGGTATGAGATCGCAGTTGCAGCCATGAATGGTACACCACTTCTAAGCCCGCGCTTCTGGTAACGCCTTTTTTGCAAAGCTAACACCACGGCTTCAGGGGAGCCACTCCACCCCTTAGACCCAAAAACACTTGCACAAGGAGCATCGACAACCCTCTACGCAGCCCTGGCTCCCGAATTGAAAGGTAAGAGGTCTTCTCTAACCACGTTCCCATCCACCATTCCTCATAATCAAACACTGATAGCCACCACACCAGAACACTCAGGCGCCTTCCTGCAGAACTGCGCAGACAGCACGGAGACCTTGCTCTCGCACGCAAAAGGAGCCTCGAACCGCGACCAGCTCTGGGCATTGAGCGAGAAGCTCGTTGGAGAGATATTCGCATATGCATAAAGGGGCCTTATTCCCTAGGTCACACACTTTCAGATAAAACAGCGAGAAACCTTGGCATGCTTGAGCGTTCACACCACAAGGCATGAATGAGAGACACTCGTCCAGGTGACACAAGTTACAATGAAATCCGTCTCAAGGGAGGTTGTCATTTCAATAATCACATCAAAAGAGCTGCATTGTACAAAAGATCATCTATTGTCCTGCCCTCGCAAAGCATATTAAAAATCATACGCGCAAGAGCAAGACTATCGCAAGCCAATAATAGGTATCTCTATACACTCCATGCAGTCCAAAACAGAACCTAACCCAGGGCATCAAGCTATCCTTCCCAAGCTGCTCTAGCAGGGTAAGCTATGCAATTCACCATCCAAATCCAAACACCGTAACCAAAGTCTAGCCATCCTTCCCTAGTATAATAAATGTACACAGGGTAGGCTATGTGCGCGTCCCGAAAAGAAGATAAAGGGGGGTAAGCTATCCTTCCCGAGTGGGTAAGCTATACCATGCACCTGTCCGACCAGTACCAAACGCCATTCAAAAGTCCATCCATCGATTAAACAAACAAGGGAGAAGCAGCATGTGCTAGAAGGAGAGCAATAGGGATGTTGAGGTGTGTGCAAGCAGAGAAGTATGGAACCCTCGTCGCTTAGATCAACTCGAATCCATCATCCTCATCCACAACACTCTTCACCACAACAGGAGTAGCCCTCTGCTTTGGGCTTCCCTTCTTCTTCCCCTTCGCAAGAACGGTCTTCTCGCCCTCATTATCCAACACCTCATACTCGCCTTTCACAATGCGCTCCGTCTGCTCGCTAACCCATTTCTGCTCCGCGAGCTCGACCAAGCCGCCAAGGTCGACCGTTCGGCCCTTGTCACCAGGGCTGGGACCCCTGCTGTCGAAGCTATAGAGGACCTCGGCGTCAGAGGCGGAGTTGGTGTGGATCATGGTTTGGATTGGGGAGTTGGTGTTGTTGGTATGTTCGGGGAGGAGCTCGAGGAGGGATTTGGAGAGTGGGGAGGAGGTGTGGTCATTGGATTCGATCACGGCGGAGACTTTGTGGGCTGTGCGGGAGGAGGTGTAGTTTCCGTTTGGCTTTGGGTTCTTGTTTGCGTGGGACTTGTGCATGCTGTTTCTGTTAGTGACTTGTGGATTGGTGGATAGGGTCAGGTCTTACATCGAGCTCCATTGCTTCATTGGGCGGACCTTGTCCTTTGGGAAGGGGAGCTGCTGCTCGGTGCCGTCGAGTTCAGAGGAGAAGGGGATCTGGGCGCCGGCCAAGGGGCGGTGACCGTTGCTCCATTTCTGGGAGTGTTCCTTCTCCCGCTTGAATGGGAGGGAGTCTGATCGGATATCGCGACGCTCAAGAGGGGATGTTGGGCTTCTGGTTGAGGTAGCAGACATGTTCAGTGATAGTATCGAGTTGGTAGTTTGTTGTTCTGTTGAAGGAATGGTTGGAAGTGACGGTTGATGGAACTGGCTGTGTTGATAAAGCTTGCTTTGAGAAGTAGTAGTGGATTCACGAATGTTCCAATCCAGGGAATCGCTCTTTGTTCTCGGTGTTTCAGGTGCCCAATGACAAACAAGAACCAATCTTTCGGATTCTTTCAATTTCGTTATTCGCGGGTTTATGGAGGAAGGAAGCAGGGAGATGCGTTGTTAAGAGGGTCGTTGTCGAAACGAGGGAAGTCCCGCCGGATGACTGTGCTACTCGAAGCGAGTCACCACGAGGCTGACTATAGATTCTCGAGTTGGAAGGAAGGAAGGCGCAGACCACGCACAGTTAAGTGGTGGTTCGTGATGCTGGGAGATGACGAGCGCGGGCTGTAAGACAAAGAGATGCAACGGGGCCGCGTTGGGGAACGGCGAGTGACTCAAGGAGGCTGAGCTAATAAAGAGGGAAACAGGATAATTGGCAAATGAATGGAATTATCCGCGACTGAAAAGAAGATAGCAAGTAGTAATATGAGAAATGGTCTGAATAGCTGATGGATGTTGGGTTATTGGGTTCCAGATGGGGAGAGGAAGAGAAGGAGAGATGGGGAGGGCGCGTCTGGTCTTATTGACTTGGGATCAGCCAGACAAGGCCCGATGGCGGGCGGTCATCGAAGCCCTTGTCCAAGGCTGGCTAAGCTGATGACCTCGGTATCACCGGACCGAAGCAGCAAGATAACAGAGTGCGAGACACAGAGCAGCCATTCCGGGTTGTCGCGAGCGATGACACGGGTTAGCCTGTTCCTGAGTGAGGTGTGAGGTGTGAGGTGTGTGAGGGAGATTGGAGAGATTGCAGCAAGCGCGCTCGGCGGGGTCTAAGGTACGTAGCACCGAGCTGAGCTAAGGTGAAAGTAGCACGAGTAGCTGCGATAAAGCTGGGCGGTGATTCAAGCGTGCATGATGCAGCGCGATAAGAGAGTGCCACATCCAAACATCCACACCATGTGTGACGCCCGACCAGAAGCCCAAGCAAGCTTTGTTGGGAATTGCCTCAACGTCAGCATATTTGCCAGGTTCCGATTCCAGTACACGTCTGGCCGTTCTGGCTGCTGAATGGCTACAGGAATCGACGATGGGAACTGGAGGCGTTGCTGATGCTTATCACGTGGAGACTACTATTATTAGAGCTTTCCAGGGCAAGCTTCACTCCAAACGCGTCTCGCCTTTCTTGCTTGCTTGCTGTGCCTGCTTCATGCTTGCTCGGGCGAGCGCCTCCAGCCTTGCATTGTATCACTGAAGCCCCCCCTCCCCCATCAACCTCCCCTCGGAGTACCGTCGAAATCTTCTGCATTTGAAACTGCATTGGGTGCAGCAAAGCGTTGACATCATCCCACTCTCGCAGTCGAGGTCTGGATCATCAGACACACCTCTCAATCCATCAGCATGTGCTCAACCCACCTTCTCTTTTATTCCATTTATGCTGAGTGAGATGCCTCAGCTTGATGGCTGTTTGGGATTGTGCCGAAATGCATAATGACGCTTTTGGATAGGGACCCAGGTTCACCTGAGACACCACTGAACTGATGCACGTGGCTGGTCACGTGTCAGCAACAGACCTTAAGAATCCCGGGAGAATTGGGTCCTAGTTAATGCATGCCATCGAGATCTGCTTCTTGCGTGAAGCTCTATCATCTGTATTTCTCTTCTCTCCCCTTTCAAATTTCTGGCGAGAATGGTTCAAATATCACGTGATATGAGGCTTGGCGCTGGAGAGCAGTTCTTCCCAGCCTTACGCAAGCACATACTTCACAACATTTCAAAATTTCATCAGTGATGAGCGACACGCCTTCCTAGAATTTTCCTTGTCCAATTCCAAACAATGGAACCGTCCCTCCCATCTCCAGTCCAGGCTCGCCCTCACAATTATGATGGCAATCCGCCCTCTGGGCTCTCCTCACCATTGCATTGAGCACCATGACTCAATCGTCCTCATCATCAAACTCACTCTTCTCCGATCCGTTCTCGTTATTGCGAGCTTCGCCAATACTGTGTCTAGCCGATCTTCTCGTCATGCAGATGTGGCTACTCACCCTGACGCTCTTCTCACGTCCGAGGCTATCATCCTTGGAAGCAGTGCGGTGCTTCCGCAAAGAAACGGGCCTTGAAAAGAAAAAGGAACGCCTTAGTGTCCTGACCATCGTCCTATTTGTTCTTGGTCCTCTGCCACAATTCATCAACCCAAATGCCTGTACTGGAATTCCATGGATATTGGCCTGGAACTGGATATTCATTTTGTGTTATTTCTTCACTGCGATCTCAATCGTGTGTGACCGCGGCGAAGGCCACCCCCCTTTGAGAGCTGGTACGACATTGAGCCTTAGAACCAAGGCATGCCAAAGAGAATCTCTCAAAGGATATACAATCTGGCTTTTTTAGCTCAGCTAGCCTTCTCGGTTTGGCTTATCAGAATGTCATTCTACACACATGCTATGCACAGATTCCTTGGCACGCTTATCAGCATTGTATACTTCTCGATTATGGTTATTAGCTCGCCTGGGTGGTCAATGGCCTCAGTCTTTGGCGCTCTCACAGTTGTGCAGGAGTGCTTCAGTTTTCGGGGAGGTTCGCATGGGCGTTGGCGCTGGCTTTTCATCTTTATCTTTGTATCACTCATTGTAGCCAACTTATACTCGATGTCTCCTTTCCGCTAATCGCTTCTGGACCCTTTTCAAAACCAGGATGGTGCTGTACCCTTTTCGGCCCGAGCGATCGTGCTGTTGACCACCCTTATCCTTGGCAGCGCTTGGGGGGAATTTCTCACTCTCCTCTCCTGTCCGAAACAATTGGACCAAATTTCGAGATCTCGCTTCATGCCTTCCCCAACCGTGATCTAGTCTCTGGCACTTCAATTCCTCGCACATCTAAATCTTCCCGCCGGCCGGACACCTGGGCGAAAGCGGTAAAAGACCCGATCTTTCTTGCTAGCCTTCAATTATTCTTCGCGCTGACAACGCTGGTTCTCGCTCTTGCCTATTATTGGCAGATTTATGTCCCATCAGATACCGTGAAATCAGATTGGGTGGATGTCTTTGGCTGAGGTGCATTGTTTGGAGACTTGCTGGCAAGGAAAAACTATGGACACGGCGAACAAGTGGGAAGACAAAGTGACCGAGTCTTTTAGCGTTCAGATGTTCTACCTCAAATGTTTCGTTTGTCTATGGAGGGAATCCTACTAACTAAATAGTCTTGGTCGAATTATAGTCGTTCTGATGAAGATGTAGTAGTACGAGCATCAGCGAATTCTACTCCACAACAATCTAGTTGTCCCGTATTCGGGAGTGACGTCCACAAATTAGGCAGCAGGCACCCCCCTCGCTTCCCCAAGCAGCCCCTCTTTATTATTAGCATCACTCACCTTTCGCAACTCATTCACAACCTCAATTCACACAACAATGGAGACTCCACTTCCAGAGCCCAAGGCCTATGATGGCAATTGCCATTGCGGGGGATTCAAATTCACCGTCAAAATGCCCTCGAAGCCCTACCACACCTGTAATTGCAGCGTGTGTCAAAAGGTAAGTGCTATCTTTATCACTCCCAAACACACAATTTAATCTTTTTCCTCCATAGAAAGGAATTATAGGGATGTGGCCTATCGAAGACGAGGACATCACTATGCATCAAGGCAAAGGCACCTTGACAGAATATCAATTCGGGCGCAAATACCTCACACATCTCGTGCGTTCACTCGCCCAACTTTTCATCATGAAGAATTTACAAATCTAATCTCATACTCGGAAGTTCTGTCCCAAATGCGGCTCATCGGTCATGGGGCGCACGAATAAGGGCGAGACCAAAAACGGTATCAATGTACCCTTTCCCTCCCTCCAACCCTCGCAAACATCACACTAACGCCCCCAGATCCGAATGCTCAAAAACTTCCATGAATATTTTGAAGCCAATAAGCACGACAATCCTCCTGTGAATTTCGCCGCCGTCGAGCCGCAATATAAGGCGCCGCCTTTCCCATCTCACCCAGACGCCGATAACCTGCAACCGGATCAGAAAATCTGCAATGGTAATTGCCACTGTGGTGCTGTTGCGTATGCTGTGAAGACGAAGCCGCTAGAGGAACAGAAGGTTATGTCTTGTAATTGTAGTCTTTGCTCACGTGTACGTCTCCATCCTCCCTCGCCGTCCCCTCTTGCCCATTCCATCTGACAAACAACCCAGAACGGCGATCTCTGGATCTATCCACCAAAATCCGCAGTCATTATCCAGGGCGCAGAAAATCTAACAGACTACAAATTCCTGTCCGAAGATTCGCTGCATTCTTTCTGCAAGATATGCGGAGTCTCGGTATGTGTTAAGGTAGAGGATGGAGAGGAGGATCCGGTCATGCCGATTAATGTCCGGACTATGGACGGCGTTGATATTTCTACTTTGACCTTGCAGAAGTATGATGGTGCGAAGAATGATCCAAAGTACGAGGTTTGAGGGACACAAAGTAAGACAAATACACGCAACAATATCGGAGAGACGCAATCAAATATCCTTCCCCAAAGTTCTAACTGGGGTTACAGTTCAAGTGACGAGACGTGCAAAGTGCATGTCAAGTGCATGCAATTACGGTGCTCTACAGCAAGTAATCTCGTGTTCAGTACGAAGCTCATTCCAAGCCGGCTCGCGATCCATGCATGCAATGCTTGAAATGGTGCAACCCTCCATATCTACACCCATTTTCCACACCTCATTCTACATCAAAGCCTCAAACCATCTCTTACAGTAAAACAGTAAACAGCGCAAACCCCGCCATAACAGCCGCCCCGGCCTCCGAGAACAAGGTCCCAGCTGAAGCCTTGGCTTCGAGCTCGTTGCTGCCGGACCACTAGGATGAGTTAGCAACAGCAACATGTTTTCCTTCTTCCAGGAGGAGGAAGGAGATTGAGACACTGCGAATCACATATGGGGCTTCCTGGGCTTTTTAGCAGCACAAGGATGTTCGAAATGGAGATCGTGATGTAGCCAAACCACTTCATGAAGTTTTGACTGCAGAAGCCGGTGTTGTTGGGGAGAAGACGTGAAGAATGGGGATGGGAAAAGGGGCTCGCTTAACAACAGGGGTGGATTGTTCACATAGGTTTTCCATGACCAGCAGGCTAGTACGGAAGAACGAATCCAAACCTTGATCGAGGATACACATCCTTAGTTCTCCCAAAAGGAGCTATTATGAAGCTAGATGAGAAACCGATCGAGGGATAAAAGCAAGAAGATTTTGAAAGCCCTTTTGCAGGCGATGGAAAGGGCTTTCATTTCTTCACACTCGCACTTGGCATTGCACTGGCGATGCTTAAATCTCTCGACGGGTGGTGCAGCTGAATTCGAAAGGCCTAATTGGAAGTGAATTATTTCCGCGAACGTGAGACAGTTAAAGGAAAGAAAGAAAAAGACGTATTTTCTCCCTTTCACGAAGCCCGAAATAGGCTGCACGGACCAAGCCCCGCGTCGGTAATTGGCGGGGTCTTGATCGTCCCAGACCTCGATGCATATTCTGACCATCATACATTTCAGGTTTGTAAAGCTCTAATTGGAGAAAGATAATACCAACAAAGAAACCCGCTTCTGGCCGTTAGTTGACATCTGACAGAATGGCGTTTTAAGTTTACGTTTTCTTATCTCGATCTTTACATCCCTCTGTGACTCATGACATCAAATCGTTTTGCCGGCGGGGTGATGCAAAAGACATTGTGACTCTTAGCCTCAGAAACCTAGTCTCACAACAACATCAATTCCTCTGGCAGCATTTCGACACGATGGCTCTTCATGATCTCCTGCCGGGTAACGCCATCAATCACCCATTGCTCACCATTCTCGCGATCCCCACAATTCTCCTCCTGGCCCGCTCAATCTATCGAGCCATCTTCCATCCAATCTCGCATATCCCAGGACCTCTGGTCCCAAAACTCACCTCGTTATGGCTCTACTACCACGCATATATTGGGGATGAAGCAAGCACCATCCACAAGCTCCACGAGCAATATGGACCGTACGTTCGTGTCTCCCCGAATGAAGTAGATATCAGCGATGCGGAAGCTATAGCACCCATCTATGTCACAAGAGGAGGTTTCACCAAGGCACCATGTTACGCGAACTTTGATATCGATGGCCATAAAACCATTTTCTCGACGACGGATATGGATTATCGAAAGCCGAGAGCTACAGCAGTGGTTTCGATGTTTTCAACGAAAAGCATAAGGGAGAACGAAGCAGCAATATATGGCTGTGTAGACCGCATGGTGTCTCGCATGCAAGAAGAAGCTAAGACCGGGCGTCCTGTCAACATCCTCAACATTGCACGCTCTCTTGCAGTTGACGCTGTTTCCACCCACCTGTTCCAAGAAAACTACAACGCTACCGCAGAGAAAGGAAACCGGCTTTCAGTCTCCGCCTTCGTAGATGCCTTCGTGGCTGTGGGGCGATTCTTCTACCTCCCGAACACAGCATTCACCTGCCTTGAATGGGCGCTCGAGAAGCTTGTCCCGGATGAACATACAGCTACGTCCATGGAAGTGGTTGACAAATTTGTCGACAACCTTGTGTCTTCTACTCCAAAAGGAGCGACGAATTACCCCGGTCGATTGATGGCAATTGGCTTAGAGAGATCCGAAGTCAAGGCCCAGTGCAAAGATCTGATTTTCGCGGGTACGGATTCAACGGGAATGAATCTTGCTACGATATGCCGACAGCTTGCCTTGAACTCTGACAAGTCCGTTTCACTCCTCTTCAAATCCTCTCTTAACTTTCAGCTCATGAAAATTAGATATGAGACCCTTCGCACCGAACTCCTAACCAACGCTCAAGCAGGCGAAAGCCGTCAAGACGCCCAATCCCTCCCCTACCTCTCAGCCGTAGTAAAAGAAGCCCTTCGAATCAGCATGGCCAACCCCACCCGCCTCCCACACATCGTCCCCCCCGCCGGCCTCACTCTCTCCAACATCACCATCCCTCCAGGCACAATCGTCGGTATCTCAGCTTACTCCCTGCACTTTAACCCTACCGTGTTCCCCTCACCACACTCTTTCATCCCGGAACGATGGCTCCCGGACCAGGTTACGGAGGAAATGGGTAAGAGTTTCTTTGCCTTCGGGGCTGGGAGTAGGGCGTGTATAGCGAGGAATTTGGCGATGACGGAGTTGTATTGGGCCACGGAGAGGATTGTCGAGGGGGATGTGCTGAATGGTGCGAGGACACCGGGTGGTAAGGAGGAGAAGGTAGAGATTTATGAGTGGTTCAATAGTAGTGTCAAGGGGGAGAAAATTGAGCTTGTTTGGGAGGGGTGAAGGGGTAGGAAGTGGAAAGGGGCTTAAGATGGAACAAAGCAGGGCTAAATTATAATATCCCCTGTCAACCTTCGCCAATGGATTCAGACTGAGAGTCGTACTATTAGACTCTGTACCTCAGTAGGTGTGTATCCCGAAGCAATTGCTCTTCGGTAAATATGAAATGCGCCATCACACAGTGCCCAGGAAGAGAAGGCCCAGACTCTTATGAAGCAGTAAATAATTGTCCTGATATCTAGCAATTTTGAAACAGAATCGTATCAGACTATATGTGGTTCTCAAATGATTGTCTGTCCATACGAGATGGCTGTCTTTGAACCACCTGGTAAAGTGGAATAGTTTCCTCTCATCCAGTCGCAAAAGAAAGATAGAGAAATGACAGCAACATAATCTTCCATGGTATAAATGTTCTTGCTCTTGCATGTTGGTCTTTCGTTGACTCTTCGCCCGTCTCTCATCTTTCATTTCTCACCCATATCAAAGCATTTCCTCTAGCAACAACCGTCTGATATGTGACATTTTGAGATTGAGGTCAAGACAAGGCCTTCCCTATTGCAATGCTGACATAGCTGAAAACGAAAAGCGAGTATGCCCTCTGGAATATCGAGAGTAGAGTACTGTTACTGAGGTGACCAAACAGTAGAAAGACGTTAAAAATAATGCGAGAAGGAGCGAGAAGGGAGTGGGTTGAGGTCAGGCAGAAATTCAGGCATCAAGTTTTGGCGGGGTTTACAGTAGAAGGGTTCACTGGCCAACCGCCCAAACTACTCAACCGCCCAAAATCGCTACCTTCAAAAAATCATAATTCAACACCCATATAATATTTTACTACCAAATTAATTATTTTCTGAAGCTTTTTTAGCCCCTCAATATTCCTGTAAAGAAAAATCACTATGCCGAATTTCCGGATAATTCTAATAAGCTCTCTGAGAGTATGCAATTACAGATGGCCCATAATAATTATCTCGATTATTGTGATGCCCACATTGACGAGCGTCCAGCTGGATTTAGTAGCCTAATTAGGCTAGTGCTTATGTGGGATCGCACTCCCAAATTGGGACTAGTGCTTCCGTACATCCAGCGGAACACTAGATTCTATATATGGAGGCATGCGAGCTTTGGAAATGGGCATCGATTAGTTTATTACTGAGAACCAGTTCTTGGAATCAATTATACTTCCACGCTTCACTTCATACTTTACCCTATATTCCACCCCTTTACCTTGACTACTTGCGTAGCACCCTGCTATATTGGGAGCCTCACAATTATAATACTAGCAAGAAGACTAAATCTATTCGAAAATGCGCAAGAGAGTATGGAATTATATACGAAATCCTTCGAGATCGAATTAATAGAGCGAAACTAAAGGAATAAGATATAGCGGCAAGATAGTATTTATTAGGGAGGCAAGAGGCAGTTATTTAGTATTATATTTGAAAATTGGAAGTATAGGGCTGGCCCTTAATAGTTTATAAGATTTATTATATAATAGTAAATTCGGTTAATATTTGAGCTTTTATATTCAAAAAATTAAATAGTATCTAAATTATAATTAAATATTTAAGTAATATAAGCGATTCTTTATTCCAAGAATTAGGTACTTAAATTTAGTCTTATTATTCTACTAAATGCAAGTTACTAATTCTTACCTCAAAGAAAATTCAATAAGAAATATTATTATAATAATACAAAAAACTTTCTAATATACTCTCTTATATTAAGCTATATATTACTAAAGAATTTAGGACATTATATAAGATATTTAATTAATTATATAGAAATTAGTAAGGGATAAAGATAGCGGGATAAAAATTAGTAAGAAAATGCCAAAAATACTACTAAATAAATAATTTTAGCAATATCACATACTTTTAAAGTAATATATAGCCATTAGGGGGTTGAGAATACTATAAAGTATTAGTATTTAATAGGAATTAAATTTTTATCAAGGCGTTAATTAAATATTAAGATTTTAATTTTGGGCGGTTGAGTAGTTTGGGCGGTTGGCCAGTGAAACCTTCTATCGTTTATCTTAGCGCCACATTATCGCAACTTTTCCGAATTTATCTTAAAAAAATTGTTAGCAAAACATCTTCGAACTCTATCTCACCACAACTCCCCAAGAATCTCACAATGCCAAAAGCCATGACTCCAGTATCTGCTGAGCGACAGGCGCGACGACACAACCCCCTGGAAGAAGACCTCACAGCCATCGGCCCCTTGAAAAACAGACCTGGGAAGAGAAAGTCCAGACATCAAGATGAAGGAGAACAATTCGTGGATTCGAAAGCCTCGAGAAAGATCCTGAGAATTGGACAAGAATTAGCGGATGAGGATGCGGAGGAGAATCAGGTCCAGAAGCCAAGTACTGCTTTTGACTTTGAGTCGAGATTTGGCGGTGAAGAAGACGAGGAACCATTTGAGGATGCTGAGGCTTGGGGAGATGAAGAGGAGGTTGAGGAGATAGAACTGGCTCCGGATGATTTGGAGACTTTCAGCAAATTCTTTCCGACGGAAGAGGATCCTTTATTAAGAACAGGTTGGGGTGGAGAGGCGGACGATGCAGATGAAGGACCGGGGACTAATTTGGCGGACCTGATATTGGAGAAGATTGCTGCGCATGAGGCGGCACAAGCTGCGAATGGAGGAGTGGCACAGAATGCGCCTGGACCGATAGATGAGGACTTTGAGATACCTGCGAAGGTTGTGGAGGTGTACTCAAAGTATGACTTCCCAAAGCCAGTCTCTCCTCAATTGCTAATTCGATGACAGAATTGGCCTGATATTATCGCGATACAAGTCCGGAAAACTACCAAAACCCTTCAAGATCCTTCCCACCGTTCCTCACTGGGAAGATATCCTCGAAATCACTCAACCTGAAAAATGGACACCGAACGCATGCTACGAAGCAACCAAGATATTTGTATCGAGTACGCCGACCACAGCACAACGATTTATGGAGATGGTGATCCTTGAACGAGTACGAGAAGAAATACACGAGACGAAAAAGTTGAACGTGCATCTGTTCTATGCTTTGAAGAAGGGATTATATAAGCCTGCAGCATGGTTTAAGGGATTTCTGTTTCCTTTAGTCGGAAGCGGTACTTGCACACTTCGAGAAGCACACATCATTTCCGCGGTCCTCGTACGAGTCTCTGTGCCAGTTCTGCACTCAGCAGCAGCTATCAAAGGACTTTGCGATATTGCAGCCCAGGAATCGTCCGCGAGAACTGAAGGTGGCGGGGCAACGAATATCTTCATCAGGGCTCTGTTGGAGAAAAAGTACGCGCTGCCATACCAAGTCATCGATGCTCTCGTTTTCCACTTTCTACGATTTCGAAGTGTGGACCCTGCGAGTGTGAAGCCCGAGGATATTGGAGATGCAACGGGAGGGGTTTCGGGACCAGGATCGAAGGAGATTAGATTACCAGTCATCTGGCACCAATGTTTATTGGCGTTTGCACAAAGATACAGGAACGATATCACCGAAGACCAAAGAGAGGCGTTATTGGATCTCTTGTTGACAAAAGGACATTCCAAAATCGGTCCAGAGGTTAGGAGAGAACTGTTGGAGGGGAGAGGTAGAGGGGTACCTATCGAACCGGAACCACCGTCTTTCGGGGGCGATGATACCATGATGGTAGATTAATTTCAGACCTCACACAATCAAAACCCTTTAATTTTCCCAATTGATTTTTGCCGCCAAGCAACTTAATCCTAAAAGAGCTCCAATTTGCGAGGGGTACGACAACTGGGATTAGGCAGCGATATAACGCTGCGCCACATTCGTCCCCGATATCTTCAGCCTCGCCGATCAGCCTTAAATCATGGGCAGACCTCGTCTTTAATTCAACGTCTCTTCTTCACATTCTCTCTGAAATTGATCCTGCTCCATTGAGCACCTTGATTGAGACCTCCACCAGCAAGATGTCCTCCTCTCAACCCCCAATCCCACAAAAAGACACCTCGGAACCCTCCTACGCCGTCCACCGCCCCATATCACAACCCGGATCCTCCTCACAACCACAATCCTCAACGCCCACCGAGCACGATGATGAAAGACCCAATACCCCTCCCCCGTACTCTGGTCCCACCAGCCCTCAGATGACCGCTCCTCCAGCCCCTCAACCCCAACCCAACTACCCAGGCCTTCCTCGACTCGACTACACACTCTACTCACCTCCCAATTTCACGCTCTCCACCGACCTCACAACACTAACCTCCTACACGCCCCCATTATCAACCTATCCAACCTCCTTACTCCAACTAATTCAATCCCTGGCCTCCATCCCGCCAAAACCGACGATCCGCATATACGGCAGCACAAACAATGAAATAGATTTCGACGTCCGTGTTAATATCATGAACCTAATTGTGCCAGAGGATGAGAAACGGAGGATGAATTACGTGAAGTTGATTGGCAAGGGGGAGACCGGGTATAGGGGGGATTTTAAGAAGAGTAGTTTTCCGGAGAAGGCAGGGTTGGAGGACTGGTGTAGGGGGTATTGTGAGGATTCTGCGGGTATAAAGCAGTTCGTCTCCCCTCCCCTATATCCCCTCATTTCCATTTCCCTCAAAAAGGGAACGGGAAAGGAAGCGGAGCATAAAATTTGAATGCTGATGAGAAGAATAGGTTTGCATTGGACAGAATCGTAACAAACTGGGACACCTCCTACCTCGAAGGCCGCCTCCTCTCCCTCATCTCCAGCACCTCCTACAAAGGACACGTCCAGATCTCGTTCCCTCTCACGCACTCCCGGGTTGTAGTCCACTCGCCAGATAAAGTCAACAGATTCTTCTCTAATGTCGCTAAAGTCTTCACGGGGACCAAGAAGTACGAGGTTATTAAGAGCGTGTGGCCGTACGCGGATATCGCGAGAGGTGAACCAGGGAGGAGATGTGCCGTTCAGGAAGAGGAGGTCTGGTTTGCGGATTGGAGGGATGCGATTAGACACGCCGTTATTGGCAAGAGGAAGGGCAGGGTGACGGTTGAGGATCGGTTGGAGTTTTTGATGGAGCCAAGGCCGGAGGAGACGGGGAAGATGGCTGAGTGGTGAGCTGTATAAAGCGGCTCATTTGAGGCATGTTTGTGATTCCTAAGAGCTGCGGGGCGGGTGTACTGGAGTCTTGTCTTGAACGACTGGTAATTTTCTCACTTTATGTGTAATCTTACATCAGCAAAGGACATTTCGTCTTGTAAATATTTGATTGAATAAGTCCATGGTGCATCTATAACCTTGCAGAGATTTCAACAACTTCGCTGTCCTTAAAGATCTGCTTGACCGGCTTTCTCGTTACCGGTACAACTTCAACTTGACCCTCCCATGCCATAGCCTTGACAATCTTCCTCCAAGACTCCATCGCCCTGTTTGCATGCTCAACCGGGACCTGGCTCCCCTCCACTGTCAAACTCCGATTAAACAACTCCATCGAAATCCACCCCTTATACCCCAGCCCCTCCTTCTCATCACAAATCGCATGCAGCACATCCATCACAGGGAGATAACCCCCTCTATCCTCCTCACATATAAACAACCGACAATTCCGACTCCAACTCATCCTCGGCTTCTGCCCCTCGACATGAAACTCATGGCTCTTATCCAATGGTCTGGATAATCTCTCAGCGTCGACAACTTGAACATAGAACACCTTCTTAACATCAATCTCCTTCACCATTCTCCTCATACTCTCTCTAAACACCACGTCCGCATTCTCCACCTTCCCATCTGCCCGCTCAGGGTCCGCGTATTCTCGTCCAGCGATATTAAAGGTATCCAAACACATCCCGAAGTTGTCTCTATCGACAGCCTTCACGACACTCCATGCTTTCTCCCACGTATCGTTGAAAGTACCCCAGCATAAATTCTCATATGCGAATCGAAACGGTGGCTTCTGTGCGGCTCCAATATCGGCAATTTCTCTCAAATCTTTCGAAACGATCGAGATATCGCCAGTGACGCCTTCGGTCATAAACGTGCAAGGGATCTGAATTACATCTGTCCCCAATATCCGCGCGATCTCGAACCAGAGGGTAAGTTCCTGAAGTTTTGCGGCTTTGACAACGGGGTCCAGGAGGCCCTCGCAGTTGTTAAAGGGGCCTATGCCCATGACCTCTAGGTGGAGCGAGTCGCATAATCGGCGAATTTGGTGTGCGGCCAGGATCTGGTTGGAAGGTGTGGCGCCGCCGGCGAAGCTGGAGGCGAGGTAGAGAAGGTCTTCGAAGAAGATTTCTATTGCTGGGAACCCGGAGGTGGCTGCTGCGGTGAACTTGGGGGGGATTTGGTGTGCCCAGGCACGCTGGGGAGTGTTAGTCAAGGATCGGGAGGAAGATAGAGGGTGGTGAAGGGACTTACACCGAGGGACATGCTGCAGATTGCCGGTCTGTAAGACATCTCTGTGGCTGATTTTTATAGAAACGTGTTGATGTCGATCTTTGGACAGTGATGTGAAGGCAGAAGTGACAGTAAATTCGGATGTTGAGGACGGGAGAGACTTGATGTACGGAGGGTTCGCAGATAAGTGATAGGCAGGAATTAGAAGTGGATATAAGAAGACCTGAAGCTGGGACTGAGCCTCAAGTAACGTGATGAAGTCTTAGTCTTCGGAGATCTTCACAAAATAATCTATTTAAAGGGAATTTGCGAGGAGGTCAAGTAAGACCACAAACGAGTACCGGTAAGAGGTATGAAAGAAGAAATAAGAAACCCGTCTCCGCGCCACAAGTCCAAGACGCTTATCAACTTATCTCACCCTTCTCCATCTCCAAGGCTCCTCAGGTGGAGAACGTGGTTAAAGCATTAAGAGGGATATCCACGGCTTTGCCCATCCCCCCCTTTTCACCTCGGACTTCTCGGCCAGTGACCTTGCACCGACCTTGAAACTAGATCGCAGAGAGATAGGCAGCCGCGCTCGAATACCCTTCTAGAATACGCAGTCCAGCCGTCGTTTTGATGCACGACATTGAGTCGTTTTTGGCTCATGCAATGGGGATGGTGGAGGTGAACGTCGGCAAGAGGAGGACAATCGTCGCAGGGTTGAGTGTTTTTCCGGCGGGAGAAATTTTAACCTTAAAGCGAGAGATCTGCCAAGACGTCACGTCCAACGCCCATCTCCTCTCCTCTCGTCTGGCACACCCAAGAATCCCCAAACGAAAGCAGCGGGATTATTCATGCAGATGCAACTGTCCCAGAGAATGACTCGGGGATGAAAAGAGGCACGGGGAAGTGCGGGGACTGCCCTTTTCCCCCGCCCTGCGAACTCGGCTTGAATTTAGTAGTATCTCACCAGCACAAGGTAACGAGTATTGAATAGGTAAAGCTTACCAATAGCTTCTCTTCAATTCCCCCCTCTCTGTTCTCTACTTCTTTTATGCTTTCTAGTACAGCTTTGGACGAAAAGAGACCTTGCCTCACTCCTCTAATCCTACAGCAAGCACAATGACCACCTTAACTCCCTCATCCTCCTCAAAACTCAACATAGCAATCATAGGCGGCGGCCTCATCGGGCCCCGACATGCAAAGTCCATTCTCTCCAACCCGAATACCTCCCTCATCGCCCTCGTAGACCCGGCTCCCCACGGCGCGGCCCTTGCTTCCTCCCTCCAAACAGCCCACTACGCCTCTCTCTCCTTGCTCCTCTCCTCGCCGCACCGCCCCGACGGAGCGATAATCTGCACGCCGAACAACACACATGTCCCCTTATCCCTCGAGCTCATAGCTGCTGGAATACCGGTCCTGGTGGAGAAGCCGATTGCAACGAGGATAGAGGAGGGATTAGGCTTGATTGAGGCTGCGAAGAGGGAGGGCGTGAGCTTGTTGGTGGGGCATCATAGGAGGTTTAATCCTTATCTGCTTGCTGCGAAGAAAGTGCTCGATGAGGGGAGTTCGGGGAAGGTGATTGCGGTGCAAGGGACGTGGTGTTTGAAGAAACCGGATGAATATTTCAATGGGATCGGGGCGTGGAGGAGAGGGGAGAGCGGTGGTGTCGTGTTGATTAATCTTATTCATGAGGTTGATTTACTTCAGTATTTGCTGGGGAAGATTGTGCTTGTGAGTGCATTAGAGACGGCGAAGACGAGGGGGTTTGAGGCTGAGGAGGGGGCTGCTATCCTCTTGAGGTTTCAGAGTGGAGTGGTGGGCACGTTTATATTGAGTGATTCGGTGCCTAGTCCTTGGAACTTTGAGTCTGGGACGGGCGAAAATCCAACGATTCCTCATGTGGAGAAGGGAGAGGGGGCTGGCGGCTTTTATAGGATCATGGGCATGGAGGGCAGTTTGAGCGTGCCGGACTCGAAGAGGTGGAGTAATGAAGGTTGGAATGAGGTGTTGACGACGGAGGATTTGGAGGTGGATAGAGCGAAGGTTCCATTTGATTTACAGGTTCAGCACTTCTATGAGGTGGTGAGGGAAGGGAAAGAACCAAGTTGCACTGGGGAACAAGCTTTGAGCGCGATGGTTGTTTGTGAGGCTGTGAAGAGGAGCATGGCGAGTGGTGAAGCGATGGAGATCGACGGGTTCGAGATCAAGGAAATAAATTCATCAAGATCTAGAATATGAACCATAGAAGATGTATGCATAGTTTGCCCTTTGAAAGCGAGGTCATTTTCGTCTGCTGGTGGTGCCTCGCTTAGAAGTGACTTAGCGAGGACAAAAAAAAAAGATACAATTATGACCACCACACTTTGAAACCACAAAATCGTGACATTCCAGAGAAGCAAAAGAAATCCCTTCGGACCAAGAAACTCAGCTTTCGCTTGGTTTACTTGTGGCAGAGCATATCATCCTCACACGCCGTTACTCAAGTTACCCCATTTGTAGATAGTTTCGCTACCTCAGGAGAAGTTAGAGCCGAGCACATACTACTTTACTTGATTCAAGTGTACGCCCAGAAACTTAACTCGCGCCAAGTTTACGACTAGAGACCTCTTACACCAAAAATGCTTATTTGGGTATATTAAAGCGACCCCCGATCTCGCTTGTTCGGAACGGAGAAAGTCAACAAAGCTATCCGACCAGAACCTTTAGCGCTTCACAAGTTCACTCAATCTTCTGAAATGTTTCAACATGATGGATCTTGCTTTTATACCACATCCATTCGTCATGATATTCGTCTAAGTCGTAAGATATAACATGTATGTGCCCATTTTCATGCAGCTCACCTCTACCCAAGTCTTTCTAACCCAGTCCAAAACGCCTCAATAATCATTTAAACACTCTCCTCAACATGCGCCGCCTTCTCCCCCATCTCATCTTTATCCAACCCAATCCCGCTCCCCTCAACGTTATGTCTAAACTGCTCTTCGTCCTCCCTCAACTCAATCATCACAACCTTATGCGCATTCCTTGGCTTCAGATCCTTGCTGAACAAGCGATCCATACTCTCAAGCGGCACACCTTTTGTTTCAGGTAGCAGAAAGAACACGAAGGCGATAGAGCACAGCATCAGCGAAGCGAAGAAGAAGTATACGCCGTAGCCCATGGCGGTGAACATTTGCGCCGTGAAGCGCGCGACGAGGAAGTTGAAGAGCCAGTTCGATGCCGCTGCGAAGGCTTGGCCAAGGGTTCGCACGTTCTGCGGGAACATCTCTGAGTTGTATACCCAGGGTGTGCCGTTCCAGGAGGGCGTGTAGAAGATGGTCCAAAGGTAGAAGAAGGCCATTGCTGATATGCCGCCTGAGGTAATATTTGCGGTGGGGTGATGAGATGGGTCTGCGATCTTGATATATGCACCGACATAATACAGGCACAGAGCACCGCCGAAAGCACCAAACATGAGGAGGTTTCGGCGGCCGAGGTTGTCGATGAGGAAGAACAGCCAGATGATGGTCACCAGCGCCTTGACGATGCCGAAGATGCCAGTGGTGAAGAGCGAGGTATTTGTGCCCGTGATACCGATTGATTTGAAGACAGTTGGGGAGTAGTAGTTGATGGCGTTAATTCCGGAGGTGTTCTGCCAGAAGAAGAGGGAGCAACCGAGGAAGAAACGATAGGAGACTTTGGGGTCGTTGGCGAGGGCTCTAAATGGTTGCCAGAACCCGAGTCCAACAGTAGCGTGTTGGTGCTCAAGAGCGGCATCGATAGCTGAGACTTCTTCAAGCATATAGACGTCGTTGGTGTCGAGCTTTCGGATCCAGCAGAGATTCTTGAGGGCCTTGGCGCGTTGGCCACGGCTCATGAGCCAACGCGGAGACTCCCGGATGAAGAAGAGACCAATGAACATTAGGCCAGCTGGAATGAGTTGGATTGCGAATGGAATGAGCCACTGTTCTCTTGATGGCTTCATGGTCGTAGAGACACCATAGTTGATCCAGAAGCCCACAACGCCTCCAATTTGCCAACCCATCTCATAGAGTCCGACGAGTCGTCCTCGAATAGCAGGAGGTGCCAGCTCAGATATGTAGATAGGGGTAAGATTCGACGCTCCGCCAACTCCAATACCTGCAAGGGTTCTTCCGGCGTATAGCAGACCCAGACCTCTCTGTCCATTTGCGCCTAGCATGAGTCCAGCTCCAAGAATGAAAACAGCAGAAAAGACTTGGAGACCCTTCTTTCGTCCGAGGTAGTGACCAGCAGCATAGGCGAAGAATGCGCCGAAGAAGGCACCAGCTTGGTAGCATGAAACGATGTTCTCGGAGATCAAGTCGGATTCTGCTTTCGAGTATTGCGCCCAGTTGAATTCAGTTTTGAAGGAGTCTAAAGCAATAGATCCTCCGATAAATGCAGAATCATATCCAATCATCACCGCGCAGAATGCTGCGCTGTTGACTGATTAAAATCATTTCCGTCCACTTTGGGCGATGAGACTTACACTGCTGCGCAAGTATACACTCGGTAGTTGTAAACGCATTTTGGCGTGGGCCTATCTTCTTGTAGACTTAGGATACTCATCTTGGACGATGAAGAGGTCCCCTTTTCAAGGAACCCTGTGGAGTTGAAACCAGAAACGAGTCAGGATAACTCTTCAGAGGTCTCTTCGGTCCTAACTTGCAGTGGTAGATGAAGCCTCCCCCAAAAGAGCTGAATACTGAGAATGAAGGGGAAGGGAAGAGACAACTCGCAACGGAGCACCTATCTTATACTCCATTTTCAAGCACCGAGGAGGAACCTCAGATCTGGGGAGCGGCAAGGTAACACAAAACAAACAGGGACCGGCCCGCTGAAGTGCGTCCACTGACTCGCCATCCGCAGCCGTTTCGGTTGTGGAGACGCCAACTTTGGGGCAGAAAATTCTCCCGACAGGCCAAGCAGAGTGAGAAGATGACCAATTAGGCCTGGAAAAGGCATGTCATGATGTCGGGCGGCGCATCCTTGCTGCATCAGCTCTCACCAGAAACATCGTGGTATGAAGAACTGACGCTTCACTTGAAGAACGCTTTCAAAATTCGCAATGCCCAACCCTACCTTCGAGTCTGGACTTTTGGAAGCTGAGAGCTAGGAACCCTGATTTCTCGTAACAATCGTCAGTTGAACAGATGTCAGCTTTGACATATATCAACTACCGTACCGGTACGCGCTGGCGTGTTGATCGTTTGTCATTCCGGCAGCGCCGGCGAGAAATGTTTCACTAAGTCGGGGTCTAGAAAGGCCCCCGAAGTGCCCCCGTCGGCGTTTGGAGGGGCGGAGCGAGGCACTGTACTCCGCACGTCCACTCTTCTCCCACTCTTCCCCCCTCAACAAACCCCACACCCACGATCAAATGACGGGTAAAGAATTACAAGAATGCACGATTCCCGGTATGACATATACTGTGCACTTGTACAGCCCCTCCTTTGCAGATCTTGCCAAGTGACCTTACTTTCATCTTCTCACGAGGCTGACCCTGGTTCTCTTCTTCCGACCTTCTGCAGTGTTTCTTGTGTAGTCATATTGAAACTGCTTCCGAGGTCTGCTATACTCTCTTCCAAGCCGAGCTGAAGACGCCTCCGTCTACTTCTTTTCATAGGAGCCTTTCTTTTGCAAGAGCAAACCTCAATCTTGCTTCCGATTTATTCTCTACCAACAGACGGCCCACTCCCTATCCCAATATTAGATATTCAATTTATACTGGAAGTTGTCCACTCACTTGGCATCAAATTCATAATCTACACGACCGGGCACGCCGGGCACTCCCTTGGATTTCAAACAGAAGCATCTCGCAATGCCTCAGTCACAACCTCACACTGAAGCTCCGGCCGTACCTCCTCCAGCACCCTCAATCGCACATCTGGACAAAGTGAGCTACCTCTTCGGCTACGGGATAGCACACTCACTATCACCACACCTTCACAGCACAGTCTACTCAGCCCTTAAGCTTAACTATCAATACCTCCTCTACGAATCTCGGAACCTGGAAGCATGTCTAGCCCTCGCTCGAGAGCCCAAGTTCTACGGAGCAGCAGTAACGATGCCTCACAAAGTAGCCATCATTCCTCATCTCGACGTCCTGACCCCTGAAGGAGAAGCAATCGGAGCCATCAACACGATCTTCCTCCGCTCCGCTCCGGATGGGACACGACTTCTATGCGGCACCAACACAGACTGCATTGGAATTCGGGAAGCCATCCTGCAAAACGTCAGCAAATCAGATGCTAAAAATATGGAAGGCAAACCCGGAATGATTATCGGCGGCGGAGGCACGAGTCGTGCGGCTGTTTACGCACTCAAGCACTTCCTCGGCTGCTCGGATATCTATCTCGTCAATAGAGATAAATCCGAAGTGGACCAAGTAATTGCTGAATGCAACAGCAAAGGCTTCGGCGACGGATTGAGATATATCTCATCCGTTGCTGAAGCGGAAGAGTTGGAAGGACCAAAGGTCATTATCAGCGCGATACCTGATTTTGCTCCAAAGAGCGAGAGCGAGTGGACGGCAAGGAAGATCATCGAGACGATGTTGGGGAAGAAGGAAAAAGGGGCTATTTTGGAAATGTGTTATCACCCGAGTCCGAATACGGCTATTGATGCTCTTGCGAGAAATGCTGGGTGGAAGGTTATTGGCGGTGTAGAGGCTATGATTTGGCAGGGGTTGGAGCAAGATAAGGTGTGGCTTCGGAGGAAGATATCCACTTTGCCTGTGGAGAAAGTGAAGGAGGTCATTGCTGCAGAAGTGTCAAAGCCTCATCTATAAATGATCGGTCTTGGATATTCAGGAACATTTTTGGGCAATGACAATGATGAGGAGAAAAGTATCTAGGATTGACGGTACGTAATAGACAGACTGGATATTTTAGCACGGAGTTCAGGTTTTTTTTAATTAACAATCTATAAACATATCAAGCCTCCAACCCATTCCTTTAGGCCCCAGGCCGTGAGTAATCCAGCCCCTGAACCCTCTTCCACGTCTCTCTCACCACTCTCTCTTGCGCTTTCCTGCCCGTCTCCCCATCACTATCCCCCGCCGGTCGAATCGCCAAATACAGCCTACTCCCTAGTCTGACCTCCTCAATGGGGTCGGTCTCAGGATTCGGCGGGGGATTGGCTGATGTGATGAGCCCCCCGGCTTCCCTCAGAATCGCAATCCCAGCTGCGACGTCCCTGTGGTGCACAAGTGAGCACAGGATGCCCGGCCGAGAAACGGAAAGGAACTTACCACTCCCAGCATCCACCTTCCCACCAGATGTCAAAGGATCCCGCTGCTACGTAGGCAAGATCGAGCGTCGCACTGTTGACATCAAGTTAATCATAAATCAGCCCACAACTCTTTTTCTGCTGCGAATTTCTAAGACCGTTTCAGGAACCAAGAAATACGAACCTTCCCAGACTCCTTACGCCATGAACCATGCCTCCCTTTCCCCCACGCCCTCCAATCTCAGCCGCCATATTCACAAAACTATTTACCTTCCTCCACATATTTCCCCCCTGCGTATCCCTCCTATCCTTCCCCCACTCACAGCTAAAAATACAACCTTTCGGCGCCTCTTTCGGTAACACCGCCTTCGGACTATTAACCAACGGCAACCTCTTCCTCTCTTTCTTTTCACTCGCATCATCTTGCCACGCTCCATATCCTACCAAGGAAGAATAAGCGGTATCGAGGAGAGGTTGGTAAATTACTCCGATGATAGGGACACCGGAGAGGACAAAGCCGATCGAAACGCAGAACATGGGGAATAGGTGCGTGTAGTTTACTGTTCCGTCCAAGGGGTCCACAACCCAGGTTGGTGAGTTGTCTATCAGGTATTGTTTTGAGGAGCCGGAGGAGTAGGTTTCTTCGCCGATGAATCTGGGGGGTTTGTAAGTCTTGCTTTCATTCATCTCAACCTCCTTTGTCTCATGTCCCATCACTCAGCTCAACCCCAACCCACAAGTCCATCCGACGAGGAAAGAGGAAAGGAAGAGAAAGACATACTTGTGATCCGGATATTTCCTGTTAATCTCATCCTTCACGAACGCTTCAACATCTGTTTCACGTGATTAGCCCCTCCTTCCTCCCCAGATCAAGCGACTCACCCAAATCCGTCTGCGTAACAATATCAACTGCATTCATCTTCTCCTCCTGCCTGCCCATGTCCCGTCCACTGGCCGCACCCGTCCTCTTTTCGACCCCATCAATGAGGATCTTTCCTGCTCTCCGGCCGAGAGCTAGTGCAAAGACATAAATATCCTTCAATTCTGCTTCTGTAAAGGTTTTGGCCATCTTGTATGGGTGGCCAATGGTATGGGAGGTCAATTGGAGTAAGGTGTGGAAGGACCTTCGTGATTCTGTGATTTTGGCGTTTGAATTGGAGAGTGAGGTGAGGTGGGATGTTGATAGTGGGAAAGAAAAGTCCGATGCAAGGCGAGTGTAAGCGTCAGCAGTGCACCAGGTGGGGTTGTGGGGACGGAGGGGCTGTAAGTTCTTCCGATAGCGGGCAGGGGGTTCAGCGATCTGTTGATCATATATACTTGTGGATTTGGTGTGCAAGGCATTACTATAAGTTCTTCGCTCTAGAGAGGACGATAGTTGAAGGAATCTTGACCTAGTATGCAATATTCATATTCATGCACTGACAATAATCTTCCCTCTATGGTGAGATACCAGAACTCATAACATCCAACAGCTTTTTGTTATTCATCCACCACCTCTCCCTACCGTCCTCTGCTCTTCGGCCGCACTCAGCGCCTGCAATATTTGCCCTGCCTCAATCCCCTCATTCTCGTCACCCACAGCCACTCCCATTCCTAATCCTCCAAACCCAGGTGTTATAGCCATCCCACCAAATACATTCCCACTCGCGTCAAAGAAATTCGTCGTCTCGGCATTGGAGTTGGCAACCAGCTGCTGGAAAACATTGTTTTGTTGTAGGGGATCGGGCTCCTGACAGAAGGCGTAGAAATCTTGGTTCATGTTGTCGGACTCGGTGAAGCCTAGGTTCATGAGGCTTTGGTCCCAGTTGCCGGACCTGGATGTTCTTGTTAGATTTTGGGATAATTGGAGAAGATGAATGTCTCGTCAGGTTCGGGACGATTGAAGAGGGATGTTCTTGCTTGATTGGGAACAACTGGGAAGAAGAAGAAGAGGTTTCGACTCACCATTCCGTCGCATCGAGACGCATGAGCTCGTTAAACATGGGATCGAATTCTACGTCTGCAGAGCTCATAGTCAATGAGCGATGCAGTTGTGGGTTATTTGGTGGCGGAATGTTAAATGAAGGCTGTGGTTGTAGGCTCGTTATAGTGGCGGGCGACTTATCAATTGACGTGGAAGTGCGCTTGTTTTGATACGGGGCGTAAGCATTTTCGTACATATTGAGAGGATTCTGTGGTAACCCGTGGCCTGACGATTGTCCGAAAGACGAGCTCCGTGGTGTCCGGGCTTTCATCGACTGCATTGTGTTCCTCGGAGTGGAGGCCTCGGGCCTGGTTATTGTCCTAAATATTTGAGGACTGTGAGAATTCATCGTTTCATGACTTGCTATACTTTGAGGTGTCTTCCCTCCGGACATGGGGGTATCAGTGTCTTGGCTGGTGCCACTTATCAAGTCAAAAGCAACTTGGCTGTGTCGCCGAGGTTCTGAAGTTGCTTGGTAGGTTATGGAAGATTTGAAGGTTTCGAAAACAGGCCAAGCTGATTCCATGGCATCAAGGCAGTGGTCCAGATTCCTCTTCCAATCATTGAGAGTTATATGCGTACTCTCAATGCTGCTCTGGACAGTATGAACAACATCGTATGCTGTTTTGACGAAGTACTCATAGGTTGGGGGGACTATCAAAAGCCCCTTCGGTAACGGTAAAGTCAGTAGTTGCTCGATGATGATTCTTCGGGGAGAACTGGGGCCAATGGAGGAAGGTACGACGTAATAATCAGAAATAGGAAAGGGACATCACCTACAAAGTTGTTCGAATGTTGGTTGAGAAGCCCAACTACTTGCTTTGCGGACCTGGTGCATGGTTCCAGATCCACTGCTTCATATTCGTTGCTGCGTGGAAGCAGTTGCGATGCGGCAAGCGTCGTGACGTATATATTATACAGATGGTTCTGATGTGGAAGTAAGAGTGTCGATGGGTCGCCATCGTTCGAGATGAAATCAAACAATGAGCCAGGCTGTGATTGGATCCAGATATGCAACTTGTCTTGCACAGTCGTACTAGCTTGCAAGTAATTGGCACCTGGAGGCACACAAACAGCATCGTTTAACGACTTCAGCAACTGAATCAGCCGATTGAAAGTGCTGAGAATCGCAGCCGGGACCCGGGAGCTGCTACACCTGCGCACGTTCAGGCAGTCTGCCCACGGATCCCATTCTTCCAAGCCATCCTCTTCGACGAGTCCGACTACTTCGATTTCGTCCGATCTCAAATGTGGCCGGCGTTTCAGACGAGCTGAAATCAGGGTATCGAGCACGAAACAGCCCAGGAAAACATGCTTCGATCTCGAACGGGACCTTACAGAATTCGAAGAAAGCTCTACAGGATGGTCAAGCTGAAGATCAATTGCAGCTCGAACGGCTTGGCCAATCAAAGACCAAGCACGGCTATAATGACCCATACCCATATTTGAGAGTGTTAAAATCAGGAGAGCCTGCACGTGACCTGAAATTTGTTAATTTAAGTGCTCAACAGAATGGTATATAGTGGTGAGCAAAGTTCCTAGCAGTGCAGGATGAATGGAGCAAGGAGGGAGCAAACTGGACATTAGGGTCCCTTGATGCATCTGCTCCTTCTGATAATGGAGCGAAATTAAAGCTTACCAAGTTCAAGATTGCCTTCCTCGTTAGGAATGAGGGCTCTTGCTTGCGAGTACATTCTCTCCGCGGTCCACACCATCTCTCCAACATTGCCTAGAGCACGTGGGATATTATTTATAGCTCTATGCTGAAACTTCGCATATGCAATGGCCGCCCATAATGCGGCGTTTTCCCCAGATGCTGGGGTTGACCCCGTGTTGCGGTTCTGAGAGTATTGATATGAGGTTCGTAACAAGTCATGCTTCTCAATAATTGGCAGCCAAGAATGCGTATATGAGAAATAGACATCCAGAAGATGCCAGGTTTCTGAAGGTAGTTCTGGGAGATCGATGTTAGCAGCAGCTGGCGTACCACCTGAGATCGCGCCATGGGCAGTCGAAGGACTGAGTATTGATTCATACTCTTTGACCAGGAAGTCCTGTGCATTTTTTTGTCAATATTTCATGGTACTGAATGTGCTCGGAACAATGAGATCAAAGGGATGGCGCTCACATCGATGGCTGAGGATACTCGGGCCTCCGGTTGTGGCTTTTGATAGTCGTTCTGTGATGTCATACTGGCAGAGGTTTCCTGCCATTGGTTCCCATTCTGGTAACCAGTGGATGTTTCGAGTCTTTTGGAAGACTGAGCATCCGAGTCGACCCTCTTTCTTTTCATAGTCTCAACCGAAGGCTCTTGGGATGAAAGTAACCTCTCCAGCTCTCGTGACATCTGAGACTTCCGCCAAGTTTCCACCCACGCTTCTGAGTTATCTAGCCAGCAAACACCGATGTTATTAAACGTTTCAGAATGAATCAACAAAGGCTATATGGAATTAGGCTCACTCTCGTCATTCCACACGCTGAGGACACTTTCGTTGTCCTCATTGCCAGCTAGCGCGGTCAATATGCTGTCTTCGATGGTGTTGACCTCTTTTATAGCTATTCCCCACAGCTTCTCGAGTCCACGTACATATCCTTCAGGCAATCCTCGCTTCTTCACATTCGCGTCATAGGAACAGGATCTACCATTGGTGACACAAGTTGAACAAGCCTGTCTGATTTTAGCATTTGGTGTCCCAAGATGTGTGGTACACTGGGAAATCGAGTCCAACGAAATATCCCCTCCACCCACAACAGCGCAACGAACCAAGGTATACCGGACATTGGAAAGACTTTCTCCTGGAACAAGGCTTTGCCGCAACTTCCCAATGTTCTAGCCCCACCTCAGCATTGATATATGTATGAAAATCCTCTCACCGGCTTTTTGCCATCGCATTTGTCCTTCCTACTTCGACACCTGTCACAAGCCTGTGATACTCGCTTTCGAGGGCCATGCTTCCCAGGCTTCTGAATCTCCTCGGACGACTTCAATTCTTCCTGCTTATGCTCCGCCAACTTCGGATCGCCCAATGCTTGTGGTGCCATTTCCGCGTGTGCTCTTCAATTTAGACGGTTATGGGTTCGGATGTGGAGTCGCCCTCAGGGCAAGGCCGCGAGAGTTGGTCATCCGGGTTCGGCTTGTCCAAGCATGAGGGTATTCGACGTTGTACTCTCGCAGAGCTGGTCCGGGGTAATGAGGATGTCGGGTTCTGGAGCTGCGCCGTTGGCTGACAAGGGCAATTCGTCAGGTTCAGCAAGGGCTTCTCAATGTCGACCCTGTACGTGTTATTACCATGCATCTGCAGCAAAGTTTGTCGGGGCCTTACCAATTCTTCCTTCCCCAAGGTTGGGGTTGGGTTCGTTCACCAATGCAGTGGCGCCAATTGGTGAGAGAATCTGGAGACCCCACACTTCTCGGACGGCTGAGTCTTTTCCCGAATTTAGGTGTCTGTCTCCTTAGTCATCTAATCTGGATCTAGGTCGCGCAGCGTGGAGTGGCTTCTTCTCTGAATGCCGTCGACTGTCGCCAGCTCCTTCGTGAAGATATAATTGACCTTGCTTCTGTCGACGGCGGACGTCCCTCGGTGGCCTCTTGTGACCATCACGCAGCAGACGCAAGCATCCCCGTCTCCCCGACGAGCTTGGAAAGCAGCCGCCCCGATTTGGTTACCCCGCTTTTGCTCGCTTTGCGACTTCATCACGTGTCGAGGGTTGAGACTTCCCGACTCATTGCATGAGAGAAGGAAAAGGAGTTGCGTGTTCTGGAGTTCTGGGGCTCTAGAGTTCTCCGAATTCGTCTGGACAATTGTTCTATCTTGAACGGCTCATTGTGTCGGTGAAATCAGGACATTCGAGGCCTTCATTGCTTTTCCTTTTGAGAAATGTCTGTCACAACTCAGCTTGCGCCTTCCCTCTCGTCATCCTGGAACATAGAAAACCGGCCCTCACCCTGTATACGAGACTTCCCTCCCGAGGCGTCTATTGTCCTCGTTGGATCCCGAGGGTCTGGCAAAAGAACCCTCGGCTTTATTGGTGCCACTCATCTTGGTCGCCGTCTGATCACGGAAGATCACTGCTTCCAGGAGGCAACAGGCACTACACGAGGTATCTTTCTTCGTCAATATGGAAACCAAGCATTCTACCGGAAAAACGTCGAGGTTCTGAAGCAGATGTTGGACAATCACAGGACTGGATGCATTATCGAATGTGGGATGGGCAGTCTGTCATATCCTGCTCAAAAAGCGCTAGCAGAGTACTCGAAAACGCATCCCGTCATCTACATCACTCGAGGAAGTCACAGGATAAAGTCCCTGTTACGACTTGGGGATGAAGAAGCTGCTCGTCTCGAAATCGCGGATTTAGCCCACCGGAATTGTTCCAACCTCGAGTACTACAATTTATACGATCCAAGCGGTGATGGAGCTGAGACACCACCAGAGAATGGGTTAGGAAATGTTTCTTCAAGACTTAAATATGCCAAAGAAGATTTCTCCAGCTTCCTCGATCTCTTGACTGGCCAGGGGGTTATCCGGAGTGGCTTTGAAAGCCCTTTTTCTATTGCGGCCCTTCCACCGGAGTGCAGGTCATTCACTTACGCACTATCCTTACGACTCTCGACAATACCCGCAATAGACCTCGTTGAACTGGAAGCTGGAGCTGATGCTGTACAATTGAAGATTGATACTTGGTCACCTGATCTTCAGAAATTGATCGGCAAGCAGGTTGCAACCATCAGGAGAAATCTTGGAGTACCTGTGATTTTCCAAGTCGAGAACTATGCCTTTGAGGGGACACAACTCACTATGGCGGAGAGGGAACATGCCTATTTCATTCTCATGGAATGGGCTCTTCGACTCGCAGTCGAATATATTATTGTCGACCTAAAGTATTCATCTGAACGAGTCTCTCATCTCGTCCGATCTTCGGGCCGGACGAGAGTTATTGGACACTACCTTTCACGAGATGAGAACCCTTGGGGATGGGATGAAGATACTAGCATGACCGAGTACAACAAGGCCAAATCTCTGGGCTGTGATATCGTCCGATTCGTGCGAGCAACATCAAAAGAGAGCGACAATGACTTTGTTCGGGCATTTGTGAACAGGATCGAGTCTATACCGGATCATCTGCCGATTATTGCTTACAATCTTGGAGACCATGGACGCCCGTCACTCGTGGCCAATAAGATCTTCACACCCGTCACTCATCCGATTATGAACACTACTGTCAGTAAGAGTCAGATTCGGCAATTTCTTCCAACTGCCTCGGAAGCCATGCAGGCTCTGTATCAGTCGCGAATCCTGGACCCGCTGCACTTTTACCATCTCGGAGCCAGTGTGTTCTACAGCTTGTCGCCCGCCATGCACACTGCTGCGTACCAAGTCTGTGGGATGAGTAATGATTTCCAATCGCTTCAAGTCTCATCACTTGAAGATATTCATCGGATTATCCATGACCAAAACTTCGGAGGCGCCGCCATTACACAGCCTTTCAAGGTCCAAATATTGAGCCGAATAGCAGCAAAGAGCTATCACGCCAAGGCCATTGGAGCCGTGAATACTCTACTTCCCCTCCGCACGTTCCAAAATAGCAGTCCTCTGGATGGGAGTACGGAATCGCTTCTCCGGCAAGCTAACCAGAGATGCAAGGCTGGACCAATAGCAGTATGTCTATTTTCTCTTCTTTTCTTGTCCCCTTGAATCTCCTACGAGCTCTGGGACAACCCTCGGAATGTCTGGGACATTCTTGTACATTCAGAATGATCCCATTCGAATGCCATCAGAATTGCAGTCCATTGATCAAGTACTAACATGCCATTTTCAGGCTTACTATGGAGACAACACCGATTTTATCGGAATCATGACCTGTATCAGACGAAACATGTCTCCAAGAAACGCCATCCAGCCCTCTAAAACGACCGGCCTCGTGATTGGGGCAGGCGGAATGGCTCGAGCGGCAGTTTACGCCATGATCCAACTGGGCTGTCGGAAAGTGTTCATCTGCAACCGCACAGTTGAAAACGCAGAGGCTGTCGCCAGACACTTCAACTCATGGGCCTCCGGACTCAGCAGCGATGGCGAAATAGTGCGTGTCCTGAGATCTACCAACGAAGACTGGCCAGTAGGTTATAGACAGCCTACCATGATCGTCTCTTGTGTCCCAGCACGGAGTGTTGGAGATCATGCTCCCGCGAATTTTGAAATGCCAATGCAGTGGCTCGGAAGTCCGACTGGTGGAGTTGTTGTTGAGGTGAGTAGTTCCGATCCGCTTCCCCATTGTTTCCTCGAAGCTGGGGATATTTGGGATTTCTGCATCACAAGCAAGCATTGCTGACCTCCTTCACAGCTAGCATACTTGCCTCTGGATACACCCCTGTTGAAACAGATCCGACGTGTACGGGAGGAGGCGAAACAGGCATGGGTGATTGTGGATGGCTTGGAAGTCTTGCCCGAACAAGCCATAGCTCAATTTGAGCTAATGACCGGAAGGAAGGCGCCAAAGAGAAGGATGAGACTTGAAGTTCTTCAGAATTATCATCGCTATGAGGAGTAAAATACTGGATCGGTATATTGGAAACAGTACATAATTGAACCGAGTTCAGAAGAAACACGGGAACACTTGAATTGCTACGGAAACTGGAGCACCAGGAGTTCTAGATATCATGGAATCTTCAGACTCCCATTTGAGCGACTGGGAAATTGTACAGTAGGATATGTTATTCAAAGCAGCCCAGTCGCCAATAACATGTGATGTTTGAGAAGTTCTCTTGCCCCTTATCCACCCCCCTAATGAAAGGCGGAGCATACACAGAATAAGGTGCCTTCTAGTCCCAAAAGTCAAAAGACTAATCTGATCTGCCAACGCTCCGTTAAGAACACCTTTCTAGATGAAAGATGATCTTGCAATCTCTACAGAATGCATCGCTGGGTAATGTGAAAGCTGCCTAGCAGCCTATGTTCAAAATGACTGCATCACTGTAACTCATCAAGGGAGATCAAAAAAGCAAGGTATCTTGAATTTCAATAACTACTCCGCCAACTTCTTGCTCCAGCAAGAAGGTTAAAGCCCCCCGACGCCACGCTGGTAATCAAAGCAAGGGGACATGAATCTTACAATCATTAATCGTCAACGCCGGCGCTTCTAGTCATAAGTATGCGTAAATAGCGCGGAAATCGACTCTCCATAGTGGTTTCTGCGAATTGCCTCTGCGAGTAGATTCGACAAGTCAAGGATAACGAGTTTCTTGGTAGCGCGTGCCTTTTCGGGGGAGATGGGGAATGAATTTGTGACGAGGATGGTGTCGATGCAATTGCAGTCTTGGAGTTCCTCGAGAGAATCGCCACCGAAAAGACCGTGGGTGGCGATGCAGTAGACTTTCTTCGCGCCGCCACGCTTGACGACACATTCTGCTGCTGCGATCCAACTTCCGGCTTTGTCGATCATGTCATCGACGATGAAGACCGTTCGGTTTCGTACGTCTCCAACTAATGTGATCATTTGCTCCAGGGTTGGGTCGTTGAAACCCTCCTCTTCTTCATCTGAAGTTGCGGTCGCATCTGCAGTACCGCCGAGCGCGTGTCCTTCTGGGTTGAAGAATGAGGAATTCCTTGACATTTCCATTGGGTCTTCGTCTGGACGTTCGAGGATTTGGGAGGTTGACATAGCAGATTGTGTTGGTGAAGGCCAATCATCCGGTACAATATGACCCTGGACAAGTCGACCGTGTGTTATATCTCTAGCCCTCTCGTCGGTGAACTCTATCTCTTCTTGTATTGGTAATGACCGGGCTGGGGTGGGTTGTGCGCGGTGGAGGGGCGACCTTGTTGATGTATTCGGATTCGGACTTTGGTGGTGAGCAGTTCTCCGAGGAGAAGGCATACCTTGCTGGGACTTTCGAGGTGAGGATTGGCTGCTATCCTGTCGCGTATGTGTTTGACGGGGTGGAGTCGTTTCTTGAGGCGCCTGCTCCAGTTTTTGTTCTTCCCGCTCAGCAGGCAATGGCTTAAGCTCGAGCTTTAATCCGTGTTTGCCCATGTGACTTCCACTTCCAATATGCAACTTGCTCACATCAGAATCCAATTCCGTCTCCGGACCGTAACCATCCAATCGATTCATGATCATGCTCGCAGTCATATTGACACCACCTCGTTTTTTGTCCGTCGTGACTATGCCAAAGTTGAGCTTCAACGCGTCGGCTAATGATGTGACTCGTTTTGTGCCTCCAGCATTTTTCGATACGCAAACGGCTTCCTGCCAATTCGGAACGTTGTGCCTAATCCATCGCGCAATCAATGGCTCCGCGTGTAGATTGTCAACCGGGCATCTGAAAAAGCCCTGCATCTGCGAAGCATGTAGATCGATGGTAATGACATGTTTGATTCCGGCAACGTCGAGGAGATTCGCAAGCATACGTGCAGTGATTGCACCTCGATGTGATTTCTTCTTCGATTGTCTGCTGTATGGGAAATATGGTAAAACAGCTTGGTAAATCAGCTTCGAAATTCCTTGGGATTGTGGGGTGACTCTTACCTGTAATTTTGTTTGCTGAACCGCCCTTGCAAGCAGAGATCAAGATGAGAAGCTCCATGATACTATCATTGATCTTACTGCTACCTGATTGAATCACAAACACGTCCTTCTCTCGAATACTGGTCAGGATCTTGACGCTGGTCTCGCCCTGTGCTCATCAGCCTTGCCGCGGGGAAGATTTCAGCAACGCTTACATTTGCGAATTGGGACAGCTCCACAGCAGCAGGAGCCATGCCCAGATTCGAGCATATCTGACCTGTGAGGGCGGGACACGAGCTCCCAGCAAAGATGAGGGTGTTGCGCATTTTGAAAGTGTGTTGAGGAATGTTTGAGGAAGAAGCGGTAGCTTGGGACAGGGAAAATTTTAAAGATGATGCTGGCCAACCTTAAATTCACAACATCGGCTCACAAACTCGTATATCACAAGCAGATCACAAACAACACAGCCCAGTCGGAAGGCAGTACTTGAAGTACCTTCATTTCAATGGGGATTCCCCATCTGATCACTTTTTTGCAGCCTTATTCGGAGGCAGAATCAATAGAAGGCAGACACGTCGTGATAGATGGACCAGGGTTTGCCTATCATATTTACCACGCCTGCTTAAGTGCCAGACCCGCAGCCTGGAACCCCTTTGAAGCAGCTCCCTCATATGAAGAGCTTGGGAAAGCATCTATTGCCTGGCTAGATGGACTTCGGGACAACGACGTTGAGATGTAAGCTCCCGTGACGTTTCGTGGAACGCGGGCTCACCAAACAAAGAAAGAAGATATATTTTGACGGCTTTCTGCCTCCCTTGAAGCTTGATACAAGAATGGAAAGGCTTATGAGGCAGACAAATCAACTGAATCAATATCATGTCTCAAATGCAACGCCATGCCGAGCCTCATTCCCACCCCTCGACAACCCGCCTGGGGGGCCATTTCACACCGCTTCAGTGAAGTCAAAATTGTCAGCACTTCCTCCAAGTCCGTTCTTAGTTCCTGCAGTTTTAGAAGCCCTTTTAGACTCAAATCAGTATCGGGAGCGCACAGAGGTTGTACCTGGTGAAGCTGATCTGTACTGTGCCAAATATTTGAGCCAGCATGGAGGGGTTGTTCTTACCGGCGATTCGGATCTTCTTGTGCATGACTTAGGCAATGGAGCAGTCAGTTTCTTCAGAGACATAACTCCTGATAAGCGGGCGTTAAGCGTCCAGGTTTACCGACCAACAGCTATTGTTGAACGACTTGACCTACCGAAATCTCATGGCCTTCATGCCTTTGCATTTGAAATTTCAATGGACAGTCACGGTACATTTCGCAAACTCCTTGCCGATGCCCGATCTCTCAAAACTGCAACTGCAAGCCCTTCCGAGTTCAAGCGCTTCTCGAAGGAATACCGTCAGCTCCCAGCTCCTCTCGAAGCCAAACACCCCACAAATTTGTTCCCACTTCTCCGGAGCCTGGACCCACGCATCTCTGAATTCGTGTTGCAATATCCCTACCTCGCTCGGATTGCAGGACAGGATGAGGTTACTGAAGGCTCTCAGACGTTTCACGTCTTTCTCCCCTTTCTTCTTGATTGTCCTGTACGCACTAACGCTTGGGAGGTATCAACGGTCATCAGACAGCTTGCATACGGGTTGATCAATCTCATTGTACCAGAAAACCAACAAAGACTGACTGTCTCGGAGCATAGGAAGCAGCAAGATAAGTCAACAGGGCGGGAACTACAGCTGCCGAACCTGCCACAGATTCCAGAGGCCTGTACTGCCATTACTACTTTGTATTCTCAGCTCCAACAAAACTTCCCTGGAGTCTCTGGATCTCAGATCTGGACAGCCATTGCAATCCATCAAGAGATCGAATATTCGTACTCCCGCGCTAAAATACCGCTTTGCAAACCTGTTGTACAGCAGCTCGCAGATCTGGAAAATGAGTATAACATGAGAAACAAGAGCAAGAACCTCACGTGGGACATTGTTCAATTCTTTGCCCAAATTCAAGGTTCCTACTACTCCTTTCGAATTCTCAAACAGATCATGTCTTTAGTGGTTTCTCACGGTCCTCCCCAGTCACTTCCAGAGCCGCTGCTTCATTTGCATCGGCAGCTCGAGTCCCTCCCGAACTTGCGTGATCTGCCAGGCCTCGATAGTGCCCCGTCCATCATTGGGAGCCTCGGTAAGAGAGCCATTTCAACTATCACTAGCCACTCATCAATGGATGAAGAAGCGACAGCGGATCCTCAAGAGTCTCGCAGAGCGCGAAAGAAGAAGAGAAAGAGGAATCAGTCTGCCGCTGGCGCTTCTTCTGGCTGTCAAAAGCCGACCAATCCGTTCGAGTTATTGGGAGACGAATAGAACAGGCCATGTATTGCTTCAGCGCACATTGTCTGGAAACAAATATTCAGTCTCGCTTCCTGTCTTCAAGTGGCGGGTCCATTTTGGGGAAGACATAACCGTCCCTTGGCAATGCCGTCGTCACTCGATTCTGCAGAGCGAAAGCCAAGCATCGCTCCTTCCTTCCTGGATTCTTCACATGGTCTCAACAGCCACTCAGGAACTAAGACCCCAGTCCACCATCGCCTTCGAGATTCTTCTACGTCCATGTATAACTATCCGCAGATTATCCATGGTTAAATACATTCGTTATTGAAATACTGGGTAGCGTGCTGGAGCTGAATATGGACGCCCCGGACGATCGGCAGCTGCCAAATCGACTCGTTCAATCTGCAGCCCAAGAACCCTCATTCCATTCGTTCAGCAAGCTTCCAGCCGAAATTCGACTGGAAATATGGAAAAACATTCTGCCAGGCCCCCGGCTTATCCAAGTCCACTATGATATGCGGGTTGGGAAATTCTGGACTACCACTCCATCTCCAGCAAATCTCCATGTGTGCTCGGAGTCGCGATACGAGATGTTGAAGGAATGGCGGCTTCGGTTTGCTACTCGTGGCCATCCTCCATTGGTTCACGCAAATCTGGATATCGATACAGTGCGGCTAAGCTGGGATCCTCTGAGACTGAGAGCAATTAGCCAAGAAGACTTATGCAGCATTATATCATTAGAGGTTGGTGGGAAAGAGGTCCAACGTGCCAGTGCGGAAGCAATACTTCAGCCCATTCTCACCATGCCCAATCTAAAGGACTTCTCGCTCGTTTCACCGGCTCTTTGCGATATCTACCCATATTCTCTTAGCCAGCAGCTCTCTCACCCACACGTTGGTCCAAGTGAGGGTGAGAATTGGCTCCTAAGCGCGCAGCGACTTGGCTATGAAGCGAGGAGAAACCGGGCATTCTATCAGCATACGGAAGTATCGAGATGCTTTCGAGCTTGGGCAAGAGAAAATCCAGAATGTAAACTACCTAGGCTACGACTTTTGCTATCGGAGCCTGATGGCAGTCGTCCAGGACAGTTTTTCTGGAAGCCATGAGCTGGTATTCTAGATGTGTGTATAACGAGTCGAAGTTTGTCCAACGTTTGTCCAGAAGAAGATTGGGTTCGCACTTGGGAAAGGGCTGATGTCCACAAAAAGCATCGTCGGTAGAGGAGTTTAATGACTGTCAGAGCTTATGTCGATTGGTAAACTGGTACTGACTGGTTTTGGCGGAGTTGGATTTTGGCTTGGGTGGCGTCGCTGTTGACTTGTAGAATGCTCAAGTTCAAACCCGCATGCAGCCGTTCTTTGCTCCCTCTCAGTTTCATCTTGTTGTTTGTACTGCTTCTGTATCGAGTTCCTTGGCTTCATCTTCCCCAATCCCATCTTCATTCAAGCAAATATCTTGCACGATCCTCTTTTCAAAGCAATCCTGGTCGACCTTTTTAGCCAAGTGGTTGATGGTCCTTCCTGAGCTTTCACCACAGTCCCCAAAAACCATAGTTGGAAGATTTGTACAGAGTTCTTCTGCTCCAAAGTTTCGAACACACTCCCCAGGCAGGGCCCATCACACAAGTTCTGCGCCCGGCCCCTTTTCTTGGGGCGGACATCACGTGACTACTATTCATTTCCCAGATTTCCAGTACTCAACCGCTCTTCAAGGTCGTAGCCTTTTCATTCTCTACATAAGAAGTACAAAAACTGCATGATTCCAAATACCTCTAAAGCCCTCCCCTCTCCCCCCTCCAGGCCACGATCGGCACTTCCAGCTGTCTTGGCAAGTCGACCGCGCTGAAAACTGCAGCCTGAAAAGTGGTTCAGCTCTAGGTCTCAGAACAAGCACCTCCCTCTCTACCGAATAAAGATACACGATGACTTGAAAAAAATACTTCACTTATAGGAGCCAAGAATCTTGGTTTTTGTTTTATCGGGAGGGAAGCAGCGCCCAGACTTCGGTATTGGAGATTCATCGAAAAGGGAAGCTTGACACTGCCGACGTATAGCATACTCCGTTGAAGAAAAAGCTACGTCTAGATTGTTGACACATTTCGACATTGTAGGACATGCTCATATGGTATCAAAAGACTTCTCAGACCAGCAAGGCATCGCAAGTCTCTTGCGGGTCGTAACTTCATAATCAACACTTCAGAACCAAACACCACAAACAGCAAACTCACCTCCTAACTTCCTCACCGCCCTTTCCACCTGTGCCAAAAGATCGACTTCCAAAACTTCATTTTCAAAGTACCCACTACCTCAAAGCTACAAGACATGTCGCCGCTCGGAACTCAAGCCCTCTCGGAACGCGGTCCGCTCCCTTGTCCGCGGTCCAAATGGGTAATCACCCGCCCCGCCCCCTCGAGCCTGAACCCTATTTCCTCCCCGACAGGGGCCTAACCCATCCCTTTCGAGCCAGCGAATCACCAAACAAGATCTAAGCACGGAAAGCATATGGATCTCCCCTAGCCCAGCGGGAAATAAAGGCATCCTTTCCGCAGTACTCTTCTCGGCACGTCTGGGGTACTTTGTTGCGGGGTCATTATTCGATACGGACTAGGAGGCGCTCAATTAGGAATGAGGGTTTGAAGCGTAAATTGGGAGTATTGGGGAGTTTCTTTGCCATGTATTCATTCGCATTGAGCAATACAGGGCTTCTCTTTGTCCCTTTCGGAAGAGCATTGTTTAGGAATACTTCTCTGTTTTACGTTTGCATTGAATGATATCGGCCCTAACCAACCTGGCACTAATCATTAAAGATCACAAAAGGACGTTTCCATTTCAGGCTGAATATGAGAAGAAACCCACGAATCTTCTTTGACCAGAACGTAACGTAACGTTGTGCTGAATTACGCAGCAACAGTACCGCGGCCGCAACTCCCCTATCATTCCCCGACTCTAGCACCAGCCACAGGATGAACATAGTGAGACTGAACCACTCTCGTCTCTGGCCAAACCTTCTTGCCAACGACTCATTCATCAAGGTCCCATTTATCCTCCGGCCAACACTTCCCTAGGCCCTTCATGGCTTCGCCACCGCTCCACCCCTTGCAGTAATCAGCCTGCCAGAGCATGTTGTAGCCAAGATTGAAGATCTTCCAGACGCCGGCCTCAAACACGTAGTCGTTCTCATACACTCCTTCCCAGAATTGCGAGGGGACATCTTCGGATCTTTCTGATTGCTGTACGGAATCGTGGAAGCCTACTTTCATGAAATTCCGAAAGCGTGCTTTTGCGGTTCTCGGATGAGACGTTGGGTTGGCGGTGATGATATCTTGCATCATGAGGTGGTCAAGGAGTTATCCACGTGATGGGCATCCCTCCCGCCGGTGGAGACAGTGCCAAACCATTCGACGTAAATACGAGAAACATCCGATTTTCCTTTCCCTAGATAGTAGGGAAATTAATTCAATAAAGGCCGACCAGGGAAATGTGGAACATTGTCGTGAAATATACCATAAGACCATCAAAAACGAAAATGGATGTTCTCCACTAACACGTACCTATACCGTTGAGGAAATGAACTGAAGCTTCGGGGGGGTCCGAGAACTAGAAATCACTAGGTTGCAACCCTATCCATGATCATGATTATCTTCTGTGAGAAACAGATGATTTACCGAGTCCACGACAGAGGGATAAAGACTTTTGTCTATGTAATATCCGTAGGCATGATGAAGACACCGTATCGAATTCGTGTCTTCGAATTCTTAGACACGAGCAAGAAGCGATACCACTGCCGTTGAGAGATTAGAAACTTGGTCATTGAGATCATTCGGGGTCTCGGATTCGAGAGTACCTTATCATCTTAGTAGAACCTCTTCGCCATTTCAACGAGAGATAGAACGTTGAGAATTGTTCCTCTACGTTAAAGTAATCATACCTTACATCTAACTAAGCTCTTAACTTTTAAGAGAGACTGGCAGTGAAGGTGTCAGTCTGCTTCCGCAAAAGTATCATTCGGTGTCCATACCACAATGCGCTAAGAGGTGACTTTCAGATCTGAAGGTTAGCGACCCAGTCGGTACAATCCCCGTAACAGACCAGGCGTCCTACTGGAGCCTTTCTAGTATATGCATTAATAATACACCGAAGACCGAGCCAGAGACCCAAAGTATTCCGAAGGTGAAACTCTTCAGTAACAACTCCAGGTGTGCATCGTGAGATCTCGAACATGGATGAGACGATCACGTGATGAGACGTATTGTTGTGAAGTCACAGTTCTGAGTGAATACGCGAAGGTGAGCACTTGTAAGTGTGATTTTTTGTCGCCTTGTAATGTATAAGAAACGTTCCAGAGTCGCAATGCTGGCAAGGAGAGGCAAAGCATAACATAATTGGTTTCTGAGACAAAAATCGCACTTGCAGTGGTGGTCATGATCAGTAAACCAGGGGAATGTTCTGAAGGAGCAGAGAAAACGACATTGCACTTGCTTTCGAATGTAGCCTAGCATATGGGTTAATAAAGTTCAACAATCAGAAGGGTGAAAGCAATAGAGAAGTATCTTGACTCATTTTCTCCGCTTCAGAGACGGTCTCGATACAGCAGTGCAATGCCATGTCCGTTAATCTGGGTGGCAACATTGAATGTCGAAGAAAAACAAATCTCATCCATCGTATACAGTCTCCGAGCATTTCGAGGAGTCCTCGTCAGCAACGTGCTCTCGTCCGTCGTATACAACTCTCGTAGAATCCCTCCAAGAACTTGATCTTGTCTGTCGTGCACAAACCAATCAGCGCATCGTGTAGTAATGCCTACATGTTCGCATCCGTTGTCTCGCTTGCTCGTGGCGAACGGAAAAGAGCGATAGATTCGTCCCCCGTAAGATCGATGACACGGGCAATCTTTGCTGGCTTTGGGTTAGTAGCAGGGGGGTCACCGTCATCAGAATCCAGTGTCAGATCAATATGCTCGCCAGGATGCTTAATAACTCCAGCTTGTTGGTTAGCTCCCTCGAACTTGGTGGTTTCGGATCTCTTCCTCTTCAAGCCCTGTGGTCGACCATTCGAATCTCTCAAGCCTCTCTGCACACTTCGACCTCGGCCATGAGCTGAGCTGTTAGTTACTGATAGTCTTAGAGACTGTTGATGTTCAAATTGAGACTGTCCCATGGCTTCCTGTCCCTCGACACTTTGAAGCATTCCCGAATAGTTGCCAAGTTCGTTGGCGTAGTTGACTCTGCCTGAAAATTGGATATTCTCCTTTTGCTGGAGGCCATTTCCAGAAGGGCGGGGTTGAGTCCGGAATTTGTCAAGATCGAAGCCATCATCGAAGGTTGAAATTGGAGCAGCGATCGTTTCTTCAATTCGCTTTCTGTCATCGCATTCAAGTGCCAACTGCAGAGCCTGCAATTTGTTGGTTCTCGGTGCGTCACGGAGTCCCTGCGTGAGGAAGTGTGCGTCTGCAAGCATCTCCTTCAATGCCGAAACCGTAATTGTAGGGTCGCGATGAACTGCAGCATGCCGAATATAGTGCAATCTTCCGGTAAGGAGCTGTCCAAGCGTGGTTTTATTCATTCCGGCACTGTGGCTAAAGGCGTTCGGCGGGATGGAATATTTGTTCATTGTTCTCAACCAACTAGATAATAATTAATATGGGGAGTTCATATAACGGACAGAAGTTGTCGGTACTGATTTAGTTCCCCTGCCTCTGGAGTGTCCCAGCCTTCCTTTTGCAACAACAAGGGAATCCATTGCTTTGCCCAGTAGAATAGAGCTGCTTCCATGATATTTTGCATAGCACATAGTATGGAGTGTTTGATGGTAAACGGCAATGTCTGGACAGGAAGACGTCGGTCGGCACGTTTGCTTTTGTAAGGGTTTCCTCGAACTCCGGGACGTCTGTCAAGCTTCGGCGGATTCATCGAAAGACGTCGATCTATAAGACGGTTGTCAGCCATTCTTGCTTATTCAATGGATGGTGAGCCCATCTGAAGCAAGCCCGCTTGAAACGTATCTCTTACCATCCCCAGCAACTGGTTCTGCATTGTTTGGCATCGGCCGAGGCACCAAAGCATGAAGGGGGGCTTGCGGAGGACCGATATTGTAAATTGAACCCGGAA